GGATGAGATGACAAATGCAATATTCTATCGACTTTTGTTACCGCAAAAAAAAAAAATTTCTTTCCAACCATTGGAGAGGTATGATACAAATCCTAATACTATTCTATTATGGAATGTTAACGCTTCAAAAATTCTCAAACGAAGAAATATTTTTCATTTATTTGCAAAAAAATTTTTTGTCACTTGAATTGCTATATGGAATTTATATTAAAACTATTTCCAATTCTCAATCTTATTGAAATTCCAAATGTTTGTGAGAATTCGTAAGGAAAAATCTTAGGCAGTTTTTTTTTTTTTGGTAAATTATTATTTTTTGCTACTTTTAAATTAAAATGATTGAAAGTTATGGAATGAGGTATATGCGCATCCAAGTTGATGTATATTTCCGACTAGATTATCCAAAAGTTTGACTACTGCAGCAAAAGTTTTTTCCAGGCTGCTTTTTATATATGTATATATATATTGGAACATTTTTGCTGCGTCAGCCAAACCTCCACGACTGGACCAACCTCAGGAAGTTGAACTCAAAGCACATATATCAAAGCTATATGTAACAAGCAAAAAAAAAAAAGAAAAAAAACAAGAGGCATGATAATCTGAAGTTTTTATTCCGAATATATGATATCATGTCATGTAATTGATAAAGGAAGCGAAATTTTTCGTTTAGTCAGCAATTAGAGAGATTTTAATTTAAAACCTTTAGAAGGTGGAGAGAGAGAGAGAGTGAAGAAATAAGCTCTATTCAGTTTCACTAGGGACAGAGTTCAAATTTCCAGAGCGTTAGCTGAAAAGAACCTTTAGTAAAAGGAAAAAAAAAAATTGATATGAACCTTCATGTCGTTGAATAGAAATATGACTTTCATATGAATATCGTTTTATAAAGACACCTATTTTTTTTTAATTTCTAGCTTTTTCGATGCTTGAACTATTTTAAAAGTGTTCTTTAGGAATTTTTTTTTTTTAATTTTCAGAGAAGATTTTGCCGAAAAAAAAAAAATTATTGTGATTTATTTTTTTCTCAATGAAGTAAAAAGTTTTTTTTTTTTTTTTAGACAGTAATGTGTCTAGTCTGCGTTTATCTTTCACTCTGGATGGCGTATCCATTCTTACCTGTCGGTTCTTCACTTATAATATAAGTGGAAGCCGCCAGTCTGAATTATGTACCCCTCTGGTCTTATTTCACTTGTTTTTAAATGTTAAAAGTGTAAGAGAAAAAAATTTTCTCCTATAGTTGCTTTTATTAGTGGAATTATAAATTGCAGAATTTTTATTTTTTTTAAAATAATTTTTAATTAATTATTAATTTTAATAATTAATAATTAATTAATTAATAATTATATAATAATAAAATGCATGGTCTGTCCTTCTGTCCTAACTTGAAGTTGGCCTTTTCTGATTTCACTTGTTTTTTTGAATAGTAATCTTATGACGTGTCAAATTTTGACAATTCTTTTTCTCATTTTTGCCAAAGTTGTATAATTGTGTTTCCAAATTTTGGAATAAGTTTCTTTAAAATTCCAAAGTCGAAAATTCAATTCACGAAGCTGAAGTACACAACGTTTACCAACGAAATTTTTTTTTAAAGTTCTATATTGATTCAAAAATTGTATACAAATACAAAAAATTTATGATGAGAAAAAAGATGCGCTAGGAAATTTCGTACATGATAGTAATTTGAAAAAATTTATTTTTAAAAATTAATTTTTAAGATACAAGGGGCCAACGATTGCCTATTAAATATAAATTATAAAAACACAGGCCTCGAATCAACTTAAAGACACAAAAAAAGTCGTTTTAGTCGATTTATATTCCAAAAGAAAAGTGGATTTGATTTTTATTTTAACAAAAATATTTTATAGATTTTTAAATAAAAATTTTTTTTTTTTTTTAAAATAATCCTTTTCGAAGGGTTAAAGTTGAAATTTAATTTAATTAATTTAAATTATTTAGTTAATTTTCAAACAATTATTAAATTTTACAGAACTAAGAATAATTTATCAAACAATTTTTGGAAAACAGTTTTTAAATTTAATTGAATTTTCAAAGATTTAAAATTGAGATTTTTTAAATTAATTGAAACTTTAAGTGTTTTGTAATTAAAATTTTAGATGATTTCACTAAAAATTTGTTAGAAAATGCGGACAAAATACCTACAATAATTTGAAAATCATTTTTAATTGAAAAATGTTTTCAGATAGTTGAAATTTCAAAGAATATTATTAAAATAGATAAAAATAATTGAATTTCCTCAGAGTTATAATTGAAATTATTAAATTCCAAAAAGAAAAATTTCGATGGAAAATTTTAGAAATAATTAAATTTTAGATGCTTTTAAATTTAAATTCTTGAAAATTCAATTAATTTTGAATTCAAATTTTTGTGAATAATGAAATTTTATTTGATTTTAAATTTTGAATTTCAGTTCATTTTGAATTGAAAATTTTGGGAAATAATTGAATTTTAATTGAAATTTTGGATAATAATTTAATTTAAGTTCATTTTTGATTGAAAATTTGGATAATTAATTTTGAATAGAAATTTCAGAAAATAATTGAATTTTATTTCATTTTAAATTGAAAACTTGGTAAATAATTAAATTTTAAATTGAAAATTTTGGATAATTATTAGGTTTTTAATTGATTTTGAATTAAAATGTCGGGTAATAATTGAATTTTAGTTTATTTTGAATTGAAATTTAAAAAAAAAAATAATTCAATTTTATTGTGATATTTTTTTTTTAAATTATAAACAATTGTTAAATTTCATAAAAATTTTAATTAAAAAATAATTTTGATATATAATTGAATTTGTGATGTATTTTATTCAAATTATTAAAAATAATTAATTTAGTGAAGAATCATTTTAGTTTAAAATTTGTTAAATAATTGAATTGAAGAAGATCTATATTTTATACTAAAGAAATGTATTTTATTTACATTTTCTTTTCAAATGTAAAAAAAATGTCGCATTTTATTAAAATAAGTCGATAAAAATTGTATTTTTGAAAAAAGTCGGAAAAAGTCGTATAATCCGAGGCCTGTAAACATATAATTTCCGTTATTATCATTTAATATGTAATAATATTCTAATAAATTAAATTATTATTGATAATATTAATCTTTAATTTCTTTATAACAAACAATTAAATACTCAATTTGGCGCACTTGCGCGCGTTTAATTTTGCTAGTTAATTAATAATTAATAATAATTTTAATAATTAATTTTAATTGTTAAAAAATTAATTAAAAATTTGAAAAAAGTAATTAGAAATTCATTTTTAAAAAATTATTTTTTTATTAACTGTAAAAATAAAATACGAATGTATTATTAAATGCAAATCGCGATTAAGCAAGTGAGCTGATCAGTCGTAGTGCTTTTGAAGCTCAGGGAAAAAATTAAACTCGTTTGAAACAATTCTTTTGCTATTTAATTACGTCTTAAGGCGACGTTCGCTCAAATAATTAAAGCTACGGACATCATTACGCAAATATAAACTGAGGTAAAAGGCCGTAGAGTTTCTGGAGTCACAAATTACAATTATTTCTTTTTTTTTTCTCTCTCTCTCTCTCTCTCTCTCTCTCTCTCTCTCTTTGATGGTAGGCCCCGACATAAAACTCATAAGTCGGTGGTGTAAAGGAACGCTTCAGTGAAGTTTGCTCGCGGCGTGTTATGTAAGACGTTAAGACCTGCTATGAAATTAAGAAAACCCACGCAAAGAATTAAGACTATTATTTATTTGAATAAGAAGAAAATGATTTACTTTTCCTTCTTTTTCTTTTATTTTTTCTTTTTTACTTTTTTTTTATTGTAAAAGGTATTACTTTGATCTCATGAAATGTTCGTAAGGATATAATGGAATTAATATTTATATTCACTGATTTCATATAGATATACACATATGTAATATTAAGCTTATATTGGAAGATATTTGTCAATATAACTTTTTGATTAAAGTCGAATGAGTTTCAATATTTTTTTTCCAAGAGTTTGGTAGAAAAGAAAAAAAAAAAAAAGTTAATGCGTGTAATAAATACATCGAAAATTCACGGCAACTTCATTAGTCTGGAGATTTAGTTGCCGCAGACTGCGGATCGTGGTTTTTCTTTCATCTATTTTTACCGCACAGAAGCAAGCGGGTGCAGACACTAGGATGCGTCTTTTGACTTGAACAAAACAGCTAAAATATTGTTGAATTCGTAAATCAATACTTTTAAAGACCATTTCCAAAGTTTTTTTTTTAAAACGTAGTTTTTTTTTTTTTTTTTTTTATTTAAAATGATAATTTCTTTTTCTAATTCATTTTTGAATGTTATGTTAAATTTTTGTAGTCAACTTGAAGGACACAGGTTATTAATTGAAATATGAAAGCTTTTTTTATTTTATTATAAACAATTTTTTAAATAATTATTAAATTTGATGAGCCAATTTTGTTCAAATGAACAAAATATTTTTTTCAATCTATAAATTATTAAAAAATATAATTTCAATGTAAAATAAAACAGTAAATTAAACAATTATTAAATTAATAACTTCTTTGTAAATATTTAAAACAATATTTTGTAATAAAATTCGTACTTAAAGAAGTTGCAAAAAAATTTTTTGTTCATTTGCACGTTTAAAAATTTTGGCTCATAATTTGTGTTGGGAATATTTTTAGACTCAAAAAATAATGGACAAATTTTATACATTTGTTTTCTTTGTAATTGCAAAGAAATTAATTAAATAATTAGTAAAATATATAAAAAAAAAAATTATCTAAATTGTCCAATAAACGCATTTTCTAATTTGCATTCTTTTTTTCTGATACTTTGCGAGCACTCAATTATTCATATTAAAATTTACTTTTGTCTCTCTCCTTTATATTTTATAATTGAACTTTTCAATTATAATTTTATTTCCTATTATCTCGTTTTAATTTAATATTCAAATTATATCCCACGTTATGTTCCACTAATGCTTTCTTTCGATAACAAACAACATAACCTCAAAAATGTACTTACTTTGCAAGCAGCAAACACAACCATTATGGATCGGAATAATATTCACAATTTTCTCACCTTTTAGAAGAGAAATTCACGTTTTTATTGCAATAACTTTAATACGAATTAATAATTTCACTAATTAGATATCGTTTATGTAAAATTTGACAGTTCTGCAGTTTACAGGACACTTGTTTCCTTAATACAGTGCTACAAGCAATACAGCTTTGTGATTGGTTGTTGTTTCTAAAGCTTACAATTTACGCGCGAAATTTCAAAATGTTCAAATATTTATTAGTTAAATATTTAAACATTTTGAAAGGTTTTGCTTGTAAATAATAATAAAAATAATAAAATATTATTAAATAAATAAAGAAAACAACTCGTAAATAATTATTATAATTATTCTCTTGTTTGTAATTTGTAAATGATTATCCATTATTTTAAAAATTTATTTAAAAATATTATATAAAAGTAATAAAAATTCAAATTTAAAAAAAAAATATCAATAAATATAAACAATAAAAGCATGCTTGAAGGATCATTGATTTAAAAAATGTTTGTAACAAGACAGTAAATTTTAAAAGGAATCTTTTTTATTTGTTTTTTTTTTAAATTATGAACAATGAATTTTTCATTAAAAATATTAGTAATTATAAACAATAAATATATTCTTCTAAATTAATGAAATAACTTCATTAAAATAAATAGAACATTTTTTAAAACAATGTTGTTTATAAAAAAATCCATTTTTTATAAAAATATTAATAATTACAAACAATAGTGATGATTGAAAATTAATTAATTGAATAATGTTGACAAAATTTTGGAGAAAAATTTTTTTTCTGAATTTTGTTTATAAAAAATTATTTATAAACATATTAACACGTTTAAATAACATTGGTCTGTTATAAATTTACTTAATTGAATAAATTAATTAAATGTAAAAAAAATTTTCGAAAAAAAAAATTGTTTAAAAAAATTATTTATAAAAATTTTTTTTTTATAAAAAAAATATTAATAATTATAAACAATAGAAGCACGATTAGAAATTAATTGATTGAAAGGAATTGATGAAGGGAAAATATGGAGGCAAGAGATGTATTGTGCTCTTCGATGAAATAGCCTTCGAAGCCCCAACCCATTCTTCTCTTCGAAGAGCGGACCGAACAATCCCAGCAGAGTACTCATAGCACAAATCACTGCTTGCTGGTAGCTACAACTGCTCAGGATTGTGAATCCTCCCCTCTTTTGAGGTTCCTCCCCTGACAATCTGGCTTCAGTCCTGGTCAGGACGCTGCATCAGACTCAGTTCGAATCGTTCGGGTTCAGTATCGAAACGTCAAATTCTTCATTGTTCCTGCAGAACGACTGTTTAATTAATTCATTCTTGCTAATATCTAAATATATATTAAGCTTGTAATAGATATTTAGACTTCAGGGCATTCTTCTAAGGGTATACTTCAAAATGGTATGTGCACTCTTCACCCCTCTTCAGGTATGAATGCAGCCATGTGAGATGATTCATTATGACAGCTTTTCATTTCATATTTTTTTTTTATTCTTGCTACCTATCTCGCTTTTTTACCCTCTATTTAATTTCTGGTTTCAAATTTCCAGCTTAATATTTTCTATAGCTTGCAATGATGTTTGTATAAATATACGTGTGTGTGTGTTAGTTTTTGTAAGAACATAATTTAATGAATCCTTCGAAGATGAGTGGTAAGCCACTCAAGAGTCTTCGAAGAAAAAAAAAAATTTTTTTTCTAACTTTATAAAAAAAAAAATATAAAAAAAATTTAAATACTTCTATTTAAATTAATTAAAGAAACAATTATTTTTTTTATAAATTAAAATGGTAAGCTTAAAAAAAAAATTTTTTTTTTATTTTTTTTGTTCGAGGAAAAAAATTAAAAAAATTTTTTTTTTTATTGTCATGTATAGTGAATTTATTATTTTAAAAAATTATTATGGAAATAAATTTAACCCCTGCGGTATAATATTTCAATAGACTTTTTATAACAATAGGTTGGAACCGTATAATAGGTTTTGAATGTTCGAAGCCCTGTGAGTCTTCGAAGGCCCTTTCGAAGAAGCATAGACTGGCCATGCAAGTCTATTAATATTTTTCCGCCTTATGAAATTTCTTTTCATTGATCATGCTAAAATGGATTATTTTTTTAGCTTTCAACAGGATTCTAACGATTGTGTCATAATTTTTGTTCGATCAATACCCAGACAAAGATTCTTGCGCAGACTGATGAAAACCTTCATCGAAGCGACTCGATGCGCACAACCTGGACCATGTTTTCTAATAGTATCCTCCCCACCCACTTTTTTCTAGTGCTTATATTAAAAAAAATATTCCCTTCAATCCTTAATTGGCATATGACTCAACTTTCAGCTCCATCGATCTGAAACTCTAAGTCTGAATGCCTATTGTTTGGATCATCGAATGATGGTTTCGAGGCACATCGAAGCGCTTATTCGACGAAATCAATACCATTCAACCCCTCAGTTTTTTTTCTATTCTCCTTCATATTCTTATCGTTTCTTGTATTATTGTTCGTGAGCTGATAATAATTTTTAATAATTTGTTTATAAAAAAAAAATTATAAACAATTTTTTTCAAAAAAAAAAATTTTTTTTTTGTAAATTTTTTTTTTAAATTCTTTTATTATTGTTGAAAATGTTTATTGTTTGAAATAATTTGTTTAAAAAAAGTATGTGTAAATTTTTAAAATTTGTTTATTTAAAATTCAATTTAGATGAATTCTAATGAGTAAAATTATTTTTTCAGGTTTGGACCAGCCATGTCTTGTAGGCGGCGTCGTGAATTGAAATTCACTATAGATAGAGAAGACGTACGCGAGAAACGCGTTAGATAGAATGAGTGGACCTCGACAGAGTGAAGCTCGTAGCTTCAATGAAAAGTGTCCAAGGCCACCAGTTCCTGGTAAATATATACAAATTTTCTTTTACTTTTTGAAAATTATTTTGAAAATTATTTTTAATTTTCTTATTATTCAACAGGAGGAGAAACAGAAAAGTTTACTGGCGCTTGTAATCTTCAGAGTCCAGCATTAACACCAAGGCGTTCGTCTCTCGTCCGTCCATCGATATCTAGTTATTATGATGCTTCCGCACCTTTGGGCTTTGAACCAGAGGGTTCTTGTGGAAAAACCATCATGGAGAATGATCCACGTATACCATGTCTTCAATGGGCAAAAAATCTCCACAATTTGCTACACGATCCTGAGGGTCTTGAACTTTTTCGCAAATATCTTGATCAGGAAGGGAGACCACACGTGAATCCACTTAATTTTTGGTTCGCGTGTGAAGGCCTTAAAAAACAACGAGATCCAAAACAAATATATGAACTTATCAAACTCATCCATGGAAGGTTTGGGAAATTTTTTTTTTTTAAATTAAATTCAAATTAAATATTGTTTTGTTAATTGTTATTGTTGTTTTTAGGTTTTTCGTCAAGTCACAGCTACAAATACCGGAGGAAGTGCGAAAGGAGGCAAATCGTAGAGTTAAGGAAGGTCTAGTCGATAAGCAGGTGTTCAATGTAGCGCAATTACAAGTTGAACATCTTATTAACGAAACGACATATCCGAATTTTTTGAGGTCCGATACATACTTACAGTATGTTCAATCCTGCCAAAATCCTGATCCTGGCGGTTGTCCAAGTCCAGGATCAAGTCGTGAAATGTCCCTTTCTTGTGGGCCTAATACGCTACCAACATTATTTGAAGACAGCGAATTTATAAGCTCGATGCATGGCCCTCATACAGCAAGTTCAACGTCCATGGAAATGACTAGAGAAGTTAAATTAACTGAAGAAGTTCTCATGCGTACGCAGCAGGTCAGAGCGTTGGACTTTAAACGGAAACCGGAAGCTTTTGCTGGGTATGTGTATTTTCTTTTTATTTTAAAATTCTAGCATTTTAGCATTAATTAATTTAGTGTATTTTAAAAAAAATTTTATATATAGTAATTTTTTTTTCAATTATTTTTGTAATTTTAAATAATTTTTTCTTTTTTTTCGAATATTATATATTTATTTTCCTGCTTGTAATTTCATATTCCCAGTTATATATTTTTTTGCAAGCTGTGTTGATGTTTTTAAAGATGGGGCATTATTTCAATGTTGAACAATTAAAATAATTTTTATTTTAACCATAAATTCGAAATTCAATTTCATTTATGTATGGGGAAAATAATTTTTATAAACAAACTTGAAAAAAAAATGTCCTGTCGCAGCTTTTTTTATTATTATTATTTCAGGCTTCACAGTGTTTCTCCTAATTTTCCTCTATTTTAAAAAATTCCTCTTTTTTTTCACTCATTTTATGTTAAAACTCATAAAATGAGATATTTAATAAAAATCTAAATTTTAATCAAAAAAATTATAAGCCTTTGCACGACTTTTTTAAATGAGGAAATTAATTTTAATAAATTAAAAATTTCAGTTTCTTTGAAAAAAAAATGAATAAAATCAATTTTTGTATATTTTACAAGATGGTTTTCGGTTTGATGAAATAAAAAATTAATTGCATTTTTCAAGATAAAAATTAGATTAGAAGTAATTTAAAACAACTTTAAAGCATTTTTGGTTAAGGAAAATATACATTTAGATTTTCCCCTTTTTTCAAACAAAATTTTCCCTATTCCCCTTCTTTTTTTTGTAGAAAATTTTACGCTGTGAAGCCTGTTATTAAAATTATTTTTCTGTGCTAGTTTTTTGATTTTGATTTTTTTGTTTTTGTTCGTTTTTGCCGTTTTATGTGGCGATTGCGTAGCATTTATTTACAACCTGGAGCTAATCCCTACCATGTAACCAGAATGCACGCTCAATATTCCTCATACAACCCAGTCTCCAGACAGGATTCCGAACTGCAAAGTGTGAGCAGCGATGCTCGCACTGAATCTGATACAATGTCACTTAATGGCTCGTCAGTGTAAGTAATTCCTTTTTTTTTAAGTTCTATCATTTTTCTTTTTTTCTTTATCAAAATTTGTATTTTTCTAAATATTTTTAATTTTCAGGGATGGAATGTCAATAGGCAAATCGTTTGCAAGTAAAAAGCAGTACAGTCGACAACATCGAGCAATGAAGGAGAGTGCATCGAAGAATCGTGATAATTTGGATTCAATGATACCGCGAACACAACGATTGACACGTGATGTAAATCAACCACAAGATCCTGAATCGTTTGCACATCGATTGATACAAAAATTGGAAATTGTCAAACGACAACAGGAGAATGGTGAGAGATTAAGTCGTCATTTACAGGATCCAGAAATGTCATTTGGAGGTGATATGGATAATGAATTAAGTGGACAAATAACAACATCAACAACGGCGACTAATCTTGGTGATGGTCGTGGTATTTTTTTCACTGATCAATTGAGACAAAATCTATTTATTGACGACGATAACGATCAAGCAATTCTCGATCAACATGTCTCGCGTGTTTGGGCTGATTCAACACCGTCAAGATCGCCACATGGTTTGGCATCGCCGCCACCTCCACGTTTACCCGAGAGACGACGACCGCCACACGTTTATTCACGATCAAATAAACCGCGACGGGACAAAGATGTTTTCTCAACTTTCTCCATTGACAGTGGTAACATTCACGATTTCCCCGAAGGAAGCGATCTTATCGGCGCTGGTTCCATGAGTTCACTTGGCTCGCATTTGCCTAAATCTAAATCCGTACCATCCGATTATGCTGATTCCCTCCATAAACATGATTTTTACTTGCAAGGTAAATTATTTTTAGAATACCTTTTTGTTGATCAGTTATTTGATTTTCTGTTTTTTGGAAATAATTTTAAAAAAAATTTTTTCAGGTCGTGAACAGAGAATCAAGAAAGCAGAAATTGCCAGGCGATCGACGACAAAAAAATCATTGACTGAATTAACTGATAGTGGAGTCAGTGTTCTTAGTGAGGCATCGTCATTGCCTCGCGATAGACGTCTTCTTTCTTGGCTTAAAGACGCTGACAAAGGATCGGACGTCAAATATGTTAGACAACAATTGAATCTTTATGGTTCTCGTAGTGGATCTTTAGAGAGATCAAATCAAGACATGCTCGCTCCTGCTCAACCGTTTGTGGCTGATCCTGGAATGCCACCTCTTCCTCAGCCGCACACTGTAAGAATCGTAATTATTTTATTAAATCATAAAAAAATTATCTATATTATAATTTAAAATAACAATTTTTTTTTTACAGGATACACAACTTGAAGAAGCGAAAAGAAGGTTACTTCCTTTAATGGAAGATGATCGAGGACGTGGTGGCAATAGGCAAAGATATCCTGGCAATAAACAAATTTACGAGCAATCGGCTCAAAGTCCAACTTGCTCTTATTCAAATCAATCGACATTGAGAAAAACGAAAAACGAGGAAAAAGATTTTACCACAGTTGTGTTCAATTTTTGCGACGAACAATATCCATATAGAACAAAAATACCAGGACGAAATATAACTTTAAAGCAATTTAAAGAAATTCTTCACAAAAAGGGCAGCTATAGGTATATAAATCAAAAATATTTTTTTAAAAAAATATTAATTGACAAATTTTGAATTATTGTATTAAAAACAAATTTTATTTTTAGGTATTTCTTTAAAACAGAATGCGAAGATTTGGACGTAAAAGTAATTCAAGAAGAGATAACTGACGATTCTGAAATTTTACCACTTTGGGAAGGTAAAATAATGGCTGAAGTTAAATCTTTGGAATAAATTTTGCTTTTTTTCGAAAAAAGAAAAAAAACAAGTAAGAAACGTTGCAAACATTTTTTACTAAAAAGAAGAAATGTGTGTTTCAAAAATACTTGTTTTAATTAATGACGATATTTTTACACATTCTCTGTAACAATTCGAAGAAAATCTTTTTTTTTTTTACTATATTTTACGACATGTAAAGTAAATGATAAAAAAAAATAACTAGGAATCGAGCAAAAAATAATCAGGGTATCTTTTTTTTTTGTGAATAGAATTCATTTTTGTACAATTTTCTCTCAATTCTGATAATATTTAGCTCTTAGATACAATTTACAAGTTCGATCTGAATTTATCGGTTGAGTGTATAAAAAAAAAAAACAAAGAGATTTTTTTCTCTCTTTTTATATTTTACAGAACTTTTTTGTAAACTTGATTTTTTACAGAAAAAAAAGGAATAATGTCTGCGCAATTGAGATAAATGATAAATTGTTAATTTTTTTAAGGAAGCAAAGAATTATTCAAGACTTGACTGTGTACATAATTGTAATAGTAATTTTTCGTAAAGAAATCTTCATATATTATTAATGGAGAATCGATAATAGACTGATGTGCGACTGCGATTTTGTTTTTTAATTTACGATTCGCGGCCGCTCAAAACAGTTAAATCTTTACAAAAAGAAATGAATTAAAATTTTCTTCCTTTCGAAGACTTCCCAATAGTTTTCCAATCGTCTGTACAAAGCGCCTGAGTAGTTTACCGCCTTAATAAGGTCTGCGTAGACCCTAGACTAGAATTTAAAAAAAAAAAAAAAAAAAAAAACGAAAAAAAACAAGTTTCCATTGTTCAGAATGAAGACAAAAGTCGATTGGAGTCAAAAAAAGAAAAAAAAATCGTCTCATGTCTAAATCTGTGCGAAGGTACTTGAATTATAGGGAAAAAAAATTATTATTACAAATTAGTTTGTAAGAATAAAGATATTATGTATATTATATATATCATCTGGTTCTTATATATAATATGTATAGTATAATATATATATATATATATATATATATATATATATATATATATTATATAGAAAGCGAGAGATAATTATTGAAAATAAAAAAAAAAATGTAACTTACGATTCATCGTGCCGCCAATCATCGTTGACATTGTAAAATATAATCATTACACACATTTAAAAAAAAAAATCGTATTTGATACGAAATAGACTGAAGATACATGAACATGGGATTTGCGTTAGAGAAAAAAAAGAGACGAATACCGCGGAGGAGGCATTAGCATTTAGAACGTAACAATGTTTTATCAGGTGCGGAAAATTGTGCCTTTTTAGTGGAGTAAGGTTGAATATTAAGCCTAAATGAATCAAAACAGAAGTCAAATTTTTGACTATGTACTCGATAAATTGAGGGTCCGTTACCGAGACGCCAGCCGTGATCATGCATAAATTATTGACATTTTTTTTTTTTCTCTTGCTGTCAGTGTACATTATTATTTTACATATGTAACTCGTTTTTGGAAATTGCGAGTTAATATTTTTGAGAAAAGAATTTTTTTTTCCTAAAAAAAAAAAATTCCAAAAAATGTAATAATTCTTCTTTTTATTTGTGAAATTGAATTTAAAGAAAAATTAATTTATACACAGCAATGAGTAACTATAAAATATATTCTAGTATTACATAATAGAGCAGCAAAGCTACTCTATATTTTTTTTTTCTTTTTTCGATTAGTTTTAAGAATGCCTAGATCTTGGAATTTTTGCTAAAACTTATAGTGTGTTGTATGAGAAGCTTTTTTTTTTGAGCGCGATGTAATTATTTATTGTTGGGCGTAAAACTTCTCTTTAATCAAATAAAAAAAAAAAAAAAAAAAAAAAGAACCGGCAATATTTACTAATTATTCTGTACACTGTATAGGACATTTTAAATGAGATTTTTTTTTGTTTTCTTTTTTAAGCGAGTATTTCACGGAAGTCGGCACAATTTCTCAGAGCGGTCTCTCCGTGAATGGTATTTTGTTAAAATCTACGCTATCACCAATTGTCCGCCTCCCTGAAATAATATACTAAATTAATGTAAATTTACAGAAACAAAAAAAAAATCAATTTGCAAGAAACTTTATTATTTTCTAATTTAAGATTTTTTATAAATTTATCAAAAAATTTATTTTTTCGGATTTAAAGTTTCAGGAGGCGGCGCACTGCAAATAATTGATCTTTTTTTTTTAATCGTAATTAATTATGATTAATTAATAAAGTGTTCCTGTACCTAATTAATTATTATTATTATTATTAAAATTATTATTGTATATCAAAAAGTATTCAAAATAATAATGCGATTTTCACTGGATTTTACCTTTTTTTTCATTCAAAATCTTTCCCTGAGAAAATATATAAATGTTTATTGAAGAATCAAAAACAAAATGTTTAATTCCTTTTTTTTATTATCATTTTGCAATTAATAAATATGGATAAAATTCTTGTTTAATTAGAGACGAGAAAAAAAGAAAAATGTAATTGTTGGTTTATTATGAAAATGAAATTCAATTTTTATTATTTTTAAAAATGCAATGTAAATTTTATTGCACTATTTAAAAGGGAATTAGCTATTTAAAAAAAAAAATTGAAAATCTTGCCTTTTCAATTTTGAATATTCAAATTAGAAAATTTAAATAATAGATCTTGATTTTAAATTTATAATTTGAATATTGTCCAATTAATTATCAATTAAGAAGCTTAATGAATATCATTGATTTATTCTAAAAGATAAAATTTTTTGAATAATATAAAATTTAAAAAAAAATGAATAAAATTTAATTACGTGATAAAATTTGGCTAATAAGAACTCGTGTCAAATGATAAATACAAATACAATAATTGAAATAATCAAATTCTGAACAGATAATAAATTTAGAATCATGCCACGTGGACTGTTGCATTTTATTAAATGTGCTTGCAACTAAGTGTTAATTACATTTTTAAACGAATAGTTTTCTTCGATAGAGACATTAATAACTCGTTATACGAGTTTTTTTTTTCCTTCTTTTTCTCTGTATTTCATTAACACCTAGATAAATTTGCAATTTCGACTCAAATAGGGGAAAAACATTTTTTTTTTATATTATTTATTTAATATTTTATTATTTAATAAAATTTCTAATTATTTAATTTTAATTAAAAATTATCTTTATCTACTAAATGAAATTAAATAATTTGAAATTATATTAATTGATTTAATAACTAAATTAATTTGTTTAATTAAAATTTTTTTTGAGAGTTAATACAAAAAAAAGATAAACCGTTTAATAGCTCTTAAATGATATTTGATAATAATGCAATCTTGATTTATAAATTTGGAATGTCTTTGGCTTTATATATATATTAAACAGCACGTGACACAATAGAATTGAATTCATTTGATCTTTATGCCCTTCTTAACATTGCCGCTTCTTTAAACTGGTAGATATCTTGAAAGTCTCATCACGTGCTTTCTGTTGACAGTTTCAAGAAACGCTACTCGATCACAATTTATTCACTCCCATTTCTAGTTTTCATTTTTCATTTAATTGTCATAATTCTCTTTTAATAAAATCTTTTTTTAATGGCAATTTTTCATTTATTAATATCGCATATGACTAACACGATTTTTTTTATTTTCAAAAAAAAAAAATGTAAATTTGTCTCTTTTTTAATTCAAGTATTTCTTAATAAATTTTTCACGTATATCATTGAATTTAAGATGCAAAGAAATAAAATTCGCGCAGGTAAAGAAAAAAAAAAATGTCAATGTTGTGCCATTTTTAATTTAACAGAGACAATAAACGTGCCAATGGTAACGTCCTTTTAAAAGTCATGCGCTTTTCATCTAAACGAAATTTGTTATAATTGTCAGTTAACATGTTTATAAGTACCTTATATGTCCTCAAGTCATGTGCCTCTGATGAATGAACGAAGCGAAATTAATTTATTATTGTTCTTAGTAGAAAGTAAACATTGAATTAACGTTAAGTGATCGCACGTACAAAATCAAGTCACATAAATCCTCTATATATTATTATAGTGAATAATATTTTTCGAAATTCATCACCATTTCTGATATAAAAATTTTCATTTTCAAAAAGAAATGAATTTTCCATTCGAGTTTATCACAAATTCCATTTAATGTGATTCAGTGGATTAGAACCTGAAAAATAGAAATAAAAGGTATATTTTTATTATTTTTCTGATTCTTCATTTCCTGTGTTATTTATATAAATTGCAAGAAAATGTTATGTAATTATTATTTATAATATTTTGTAATTATTTACTGTCGCAATTGTTTTCACTAATTTTTTTTTTTTTATAAACAAAAATATATATATAAAATATATTTTTTTGTAATTACGTAAAGATAATTTAACTTTTTTTTTTTGTGTACTCGTTTTCTAGAATTAATGTTTCGTTGTGTTTTTTTCATAATTATTTAAATTTAATTTTTCGATAATATTTTCTTTTCTAAAAATATATTAGGAATATATTGGAACACGTGACAGTTAGAAAGGTTGACTGGATTTTCCTGGTTCAAGGAACTGAGTTACCTCCTTTGCATGTGAAATGTTTTAAAATCATGTGATTTTCTACTTTTCCTAATCATGTGATTTCTGTGTTACAAAAAAAAGAAAAAAAAAAAAGGAAATTCTTAAATATGATTCCACGTCATTAGAGATTCAATGTTTTCTCCCGATAAATTCTATTTATCATTCATCAAAACTATAAAAATTAGTCATACACATTAACAAGGAAAAAAAATTAATAATTCTAAAAAATACTTTTTTTTAACGCTAGCAGTCTTTTGAAAAATTTGTTTTTTATTTTTTACTAATTAAAAAATTTTTTTAAATAATATAGAATTTTAAATCAAAAAAATTTGAAATTCAAATTTCATTTTCAAAAAAAAAAAAAAAAAAAGAATTTTTTTTTTTAATAACTTCATTTTCTTACTCGAATTTCCAAATTAGGATATAATATCCTTGTGGAAAAAAAGAATTTTCCAATTATAATTACAAGTACCAGTCATGTAAATTAATAACGAAAAGTGGTTTAATTAACCCAGAGATTAAAAGATAAAGACAGCATATAAGTGGCTGTGTATAAGAAATGACAATTCATTATATACATATATTGCTGTTTGTAACTACTTGCTTATAGACTTATGTGTTGAATGATTCATTGTTTATGTTCATCCACCTTTTGTTATCTTTTACCTGAATAGTTTGAGCAGTATAAATACATTATTATACCAAAAAAAATCAAGTCTTTTTTTTTAAATTTCAGCAAACAACAAACGAAAAATCTTTTTTTTTATGAAAAAAGCAAATAGACTTATTTTTTTCTTTTATGTCAATAAAAAAAGTAATTTTTTTTTTTTTTTTTTAAAGTGTCATTAAAAATGATAGATATCGTTTTGTTTATGAAGTAATATTCACGAGAAGATATTTTCAAATTCTTCAGAATATAAATTTCAAATAATATATGATATTTGAGACTAATTATCCATTATACAATATATATTCATTTTAAAAAATAATTATATTGATAAATTGTTCGATAATGTTTTACAACCACGAATTAACGAAAAATATAAAAATTTGCCAATTTTTATAAAGATAAACAAAATAATAGCAATTTAAATTCCATTAAATTTAAATTACTTTAAAAAATTTTTTTTAATTTACTTTAACGTGAGACAATTATGTCACGCGATGTCACGTGTAAAAAAAAATAATTTTATTACAGTTTTTTTTTTGAATGTTTTTATTTCGAAACCTTGAATTTTCCGGTTCTACTATAAATTATTATTATAATATTATTATTATTATATTGATGAAAATATTGTATATTATACAAAAGCTTTAGTCATTTTGTAAAATGAATGTAAATTTTTTTTTTTTTTTGATTCATTTATGTGATGATAGTTCGTAGACAGGAAGTTGATTAAATTCATTCAAGAAGTATGTATTCAGAGTATATATAGAAAAAAAAAAACTTTTACGTTTTCAAGTTGGGATTTCCTTTTAAATCTTGTTTTTATATAAACAGATTTTATTGTAAATGAGATATTTTTGTCTTTTCCTTATCAAATAAATGGAATGATTTTATCAAAAAAGCTATTAATCAAAAAAAAAAGAGTAATGAATATGAAATAGTAAATCAAATACTGAAGAAAAGTAAATTTTCTCAATTTTTCCAAAAAATACAGAAAAATAAGAAATTTTTTCTTTGAAAATAGCTCAAGATTTATTGAATTTGTTTTATTAGAAAAAAAATCCTCTTTTTATGGAATGAGATAATTTTTTTTTTTTTTTTTTTAATTAATTACGGTTCAGAAAAATTGGATTAAATTCATCCAAGTATGTAAATAAGTCACGAGTCGTCGTCCTGATTGGTGTATTTGTCGATGACGACAACATGTGTGGGGGTTGCCCAGAGTGTGATTTGAAACACGGGAGAGAATCACGAAGATAGGGAATTTACACTGGCGAAACCTGCTGCTCGGTACCATTTATATGGCAAGCTGCACAACCGCGTCAACTCAGTCGTGTTCATTATTTTGCAGTTTGAAAAATTGAGCGTTAAACAATTTTTGTTATCCTGTTGATTATTTTTTTAAACCCTTAAAATATTAAAAAAAAAAAAAATTTCCCTTTTCAAGTGTTTTATTTTTATTTTTTTTTTTTAGTTTGAAAAAAAACGAAATCATTAGCGTTCAATTTTATTTTTTTTTTTTTTGGTGCGTGTGAATGTCGATACCAGTTTTTCGTCAAGTGACTACTAAAACGGCATCGCTTCAAGGAACGGTTGTTATTTCTTCACTGTGGGATTTTCAGTTTTTTCTTTTTTTTAAACGCTTCACGAAAAAAAGAGACGAGAAAATGTTTAAAAAGTGGAGAAGATAAAGGCGACGAGACTTAAAAAAAAAAAAAAAAATTGAAATTTTTTATATCAAATTCTTTTTGCAAAATATTAGGTAAGTGATGAAAAAAAAATTAATCATTTTAATAATTTTCAATAATTAAGATATTTAAATTTTTTCTTATTGTTAAATATTTACATTTTTCAAAGATATTTATCTTTTATTTGATATTGTTAACAATCTTTCCATTCAATCTTTGTTGAGAAAATCAATAATTGATAACAAACAAAAAAAAAAAAGAAAATTTTTAAACCTCCTTTTTTTCTTATTGAATTAATTTTCTTTTTATAAATAATAGAATAAAAATATTAAACATTTCTCTATTTTCTAGTAATTTAAAAAAAATTTGGATAAATTTCTTTTTTTTTTTTAAATGTCTTATTTCCTTTTTTGACAGTCACATCCACTAATCAAGGCTTTTGTCTCAATAAGACTTAGTCATAAAAAAAACTCGTTCTAGTTCCGGCCATTCACCCATTACCTAATTATTGTTTACTATATATACTATTCTTATTATCGCAAAAAAGCGAATAAATAAAATAACAATTTAATTTAATTTAATTAAAGTAATTAATTAAATTCATTCAGTTAAATTAATAATTTTTTTTTTAATTAATTAAATTTAAGAAAAATAGGAAAACTAATAATAATTAAAATTAACGCTTTTTCTTGATCATCAGTTAATATTCAGATTATAGATGTAACCTATTTATAAAACTATTTATAAATCTCAACGAATATTGGATTTAAATATCTTGATTAAGATAATGAAATTCCTTAGGAATATGACACTGTTAATTGAAATGACAGTTTAATATACCTATTTTTTCTCCACTTTTTTTTTTTTTTAAAGATAAATAATCTATGAAATTAAGATCATATATGTAAATATTTTTTCATTAATTTAAAAAGCACTTAATTCATCTATCAATATGGAAAAATGGACTAAATTCTTTTTTTTTTTTTTAATAAAAATATAATATAAATGATAGTTTTACGTTTAAAATATTGAAAATTAAATTTTTTTTTTCTAATTTTTATTTAAATTTAATATAATTATCACCTTCGTTGCTCGAGCCTATGTGTCTGACTAAACACGTACCATAATCACTTACTTAATGACGATTGCATTTATTTTTGAATTTTACCTTTAAATAAATTTTTTACAAATATAATGAAAAACTTTAATCTAATTGAATTTTAGAAATTTTTAACGATACGAATATGATAATAATTAATAAAAAAAATTATGTTTTTCCATTGACTATAGAAGTCATTCAGTAGATTCATATTCAGAATCATCGAGCTTTGGTTGAAATTAGTACAAGTGGATACGATTGGTTGGCGTCATACTGTTATTGATTGACTTATTGATAGATATCACGTGCGTGTGGATCCTTCTGTTGTTTTACAAAAAAATTTCTATTTACAAAATTTTTTATAGAATAAAATCAAAAAAATTTCTTATAAAATACTTTATAAATTAAGCAAATAGTTATTTAAAAAAAATTTTAATTTACTCCAATTAAGTGCTTTATTAAATTAATAAAAAAAAATTGAGTCTTTTTTTTTTTTGTCTTAAATTCTTTTTTCTTTAAGGAAAAAATAATATTTATCTTTCGCATGAATTATCGAAATTCGAATATGACACGTTGCGCGTGTAAGATGGTATTGATCGTCCTTTTTCGCGATAAAAATGTAAAAGTTATGAAACCGTTTTGCAATCTTACATAAAATAGATACTGGGGCCATTTTAATACCCGCAAACGAATACTCACGTAACATCTGGTACATAGATACAAAAGATAGATGCATATTTGTCTATATGCACGTCTTCACTTCTCCATGTCTTCAAAAATTCTTTCTCACACCTAAAAAAAAAATGAAATATTCTTAGTCTTACAATTTATTTATATTTTATAATTATTAATGCATCAAATTTTATTTATTAATTTAAACAAAAAGGAAAATTTGCGAGCGAATTTTCAATGGAAATTCATTTCTTGTTTAATAAAGTAAATTTAATAAAAACTCATTAAAAAAAAAATTAAAACAATTTTTCTTGTGAATTTAGAGAAAAATAAATTTTGTTTATCTTCTTTCTCTTTTCAATAGAATGATTTTTATGTTGCATTATTTTTGTTTAAAAATCGAAAAAAAATCTTTTACGGGATCCGGAACATAAAAATCACCCTGTATATATATATAATTTGCAGACTCTAAATTGGAGTTAATAAAATGTGTAATAAATATTGAGTATGATGATAAACTCTCGGTATGTCATTATAGATGATTATTAAAACTTGTTGTCTACACATCAGGCGGATCATGTGATTTCTCATGTGATTTTCAAAAAACAGGAATTTTTTTTTTCCGGTCACATGTGTCTCAAGGCTTACACACCTGTAGAGAATGTTGATTAAAATTGATATATATTTCTCACATGACTTTAGTCACGAGACCAATATGAGTATATACACACGCACAATTAAGTAAACTCGCATTTATATCCATGTGAGCACGTGCTCTTGTTTACGAGGCACGATAACATTTCAGAACTTGAGTTGACAAATGCTAACAAGTATTATTAAAGCTGAAAATAAATATTAATTTGTATATCAATCGTTGCTTCAAACATATATATATGAATAAAGTTGAAAATCTTCAACAAACATCTTTCGAATTTTTCTTTTCATTTCTTTACTTGTTTGTCATTTTTTTTTCTAATTTTTGAGAATCTCTTTTTTTTATCTATTAAAAAAAAAAAAATAAAATTTTTAAACTCTTACAGATTTTTTATCATTCTTAGTTGCACATGTGCGTGAATATTTATAACTTTAAAAGAATTTACTTGGAAATCGAGTACATTTTTTCATCTGATTACATAATGAGAATTTTTTTTTTCTTAATTTTAATTTCATGAATCATTTATCACAATTCTTGTAATTAGCACTTATTGAATTAACAAGTTTTTAATTTACTTCAAATCAAATATTTTTGATGAGTTTGAAAATAAAAAAAAAAAATAAGAAATTTTCATTGAATTTGTTTTTCGAAATTTTAACAATTTTTTTATTAATTAAATTGATTAATGACAGTAAAATTTACAAATAATAATAATAATTTAAAAAATTGAAAATTTCTACAAACATTGAAAATTATTTACTCTATAAAGCATGCAAAATTGAAAAAAAAAAATTTTTATTTGCTTTGTAAAATGTGAAAATTAAAATTAAAGAATAATTTATTTGCTTAGTAAATATAAATTCATCGGTGTATTGAGCTGGTTATAGCTTAAAGTGATAAGAGTTTTTTTCAAGGATATATAAGCAAGTTCTTGGATACATATTGATGACTTGAGTTCATTTGCAATGAAAAGCAATTTTAAAATTGACAAATAGTGCTCGATTTTTTTTTTTTTGTTTTTAAATTAAAAAATTCAAAAGATCTGTGATTTTGTTTTTTTTTCCTATTTTTTGCAATTTACACAAATCCACATGCATAACTGACAAAAATGTTTATTTATGAAACTTACGCTTGGAATTTTATTCTCATTGGATAAAGTGAATTTATAATCGTGTAAGGGCACGTGATAAAATAATGTTATGCAATAATTAGTGATCTAAGTGTGATGGCAATTTATTCTGTACATTCGTACAGTTTTTTTTTTTTTTTTTTTGTTTGTTTTGTATCACCTCTTTGATGACTGAATGTTTCAGTTTAAAAGTATTATAAAAATGAATTTTGTTGCGCAGATTCAACTTCCGGAGAGAAATAGCTTTTTTTTTATTACTAACAATAAGTTGTTTATAATTGATCTTTGCGGTAATTAACATTGTATAATCTAACATATATGAATTGATATTGTTAAACTTTTTATAATGATCTTTTTTATTTTTATTGTTTTTCTTCTTTATTTAAATTTTTTTTCTCTTATTTATTTAAATTAAAAAAAAAAAAAATTTTCCAAGAAAACAATAAATATATATTTTATTGTAAATTAAATGTTTTAAATAGTGAAATTTAAAAAATGAATGAAAAATGTTATCGCTTTTCTTGCAAATAGAATTTTTTTGTGTGTCAATTAAAATTATATGTGAGAAATTTTTGATAAATGAAATATTTTATACCTCTGTTTTCAGAATGAAGGGAGTCGATATTGTAGGTGATGAGAAAATGGGAAAAATCAGTGGAGCATATATAAATCATGCACTAAGTGGTTCTGGTGGAAGTTTAAATCTCATTCAAGCAAATGGATCCTCTCAAAAACTTCAAAATTCACACAAAGTTCATCCTGAAATACAGGGATCATCCGACTTCATCTGTAAGTTCCATTTCAGCATCAAATATTATTATTCTGTAAAAAGTGGAAAATATTTCATTAATCCTGAATTAATTCGAAAAGTACAGAAGAAAATTCTTATTGACACGTAATTTATTAGATTCGCAGAAAATTAATTTTTTTACTATTTTTATGATTCTAATCATTTCCTCTGATTTTGTATGAATAATACAATAGGAAAAGTAGTAATAAAAATAAATTTTCTTTTTTTTTCAAATATTTTTACGATTCTAATCATTTAATATTAAATTTACATGAATTATTATTTCTACTGAATTCAAACAAATAATATAATAGGAAAAGTATATATTAAAAATAATTTTAATGTTATAAGGAAATATTTTGTTTCTCAATTTTCCTCATTCTTTACGGAAAATAAATTTACAAAGAACAAAAATTTAAATAAAAAAAATATTTTATCAGAATTTTCTTTATTAAAAAAAAAAGTGAACATATTTTTCCTCATAAATGTAATATTTACAAAAAAAAAGAATAAAAGAATTCAAACTAAAAATTAATAATAAAAATTAAGCCTTGATTAATTATGTTATGTTAATTAATTAGCATTAGATTATGTTAATTAATCATCAATATTGAAAATACATTATTTAATCATTAAATTGATTAATTAAATTTAAATTTTTTTTTAAATAAAAAAATAATTAAAATATGTACTTTTATTGAAAAAAAAAAAAAAAAAAAATGATCAAGTTTACGCTAATAATGATCATAAATTACATTGATTTCTGTCACATGCCACGAGGATGCCACAATAGTAAGTAATTTTGAAAATGTCAAATTTATTAAATTACCTTTTTATTTATCTTTTTTTTTTTCTTATTGTTTACGAGGCAGTAAAAAGTCAAGACTTGTGTGACATTGGCCTCTATACAAAATGCATTTATCTCAAGAAAGGTCGACAGATTCTCAAATTTTTAAATTTATTCACACAGTTGAATTATAATAATTTATTATAAAAGAATAATTAAAATATGCATATTTTGAACAAAAAAAAAAAAAATTCTTTACTCAGAAAATTCAGATATTTTAAAAGCATAAGTAATTCAATCTCCTAATAATTTATAGCTCATAAACTCTAGTTTTTTTTTTTTTTTTTTTACATATTTTCCTATTGAGAACGAATTGATAATCATGTATCAATTTCATTGTTGGAAAACTGAACAAAAATTGAACTAAAATATGTTGGCATTATATAATGTCAAGGTTGACAACGTAATGTAAATAAATTATTATTATTTATATTTTATTTAATAATTTTTTATGTTTAATATAGAAAAATTTATTTAAAAATTTTTATATTTATTTCGTTATTTGGTTCTTAAAATAATAAGTGAGTTTTTGAATTAGAAATTAGTTTGATTTAAAAGAAAATATACGAACTTAATTAAAACAGAATTAATTCTTTGTAAATAAGCGAAATTATAATTTACTATTCACGGAGTCAACTTGTCTGCATTACTTCAAACTGAATGTTTAAAATAGAATTTTATTTTTATACTGGAAATAAATTAAATTTATAATGTTCAATATATTCATAAAATTGTTTTTCTTTACTTTCCTAGAAAAGTTTTTATCATTAATTTTCATTTTCCACTATATTTGTTAAATAACAATATAAATATGCAATAAGATTAAATTAATGCTTATTATTGTTTTATAATATTATAAAAAATTATATAATTAAATTACTATTTAATTATAAAATTAAATTATATTAATTTATGAATGCGTAAATAATTTTTTGAAAAAGGGGATAAAATATTAATTTTTTTTTTTTTTTTTTAAGTGGTGGAAGAGCCCGGTGATGACGAGAGCAATCAAAAGAATAGTATTTGCAAATCGGCAGCAGAATATGCAAAAAGACGTGCACGTGGGATTTGCACAAAAAAAACTCTTTATAAAAGATTACCAATTTTACGATGGTTACCGAGGTACAATGGACAAGATGCACTTGGTGATCTCGTGGCAGGAATTACAGTTGGTTTAACTGTGATTCCCCAATCTTTAGCTTATTCAAATGTCGCAGGATTACCACCACAGGTATTATTAAAATTACAAATTTTTTCAATTATAAAATATATATATATATATGACACATTTTCGAAAGAAAAAAAAAATTGATTGAATAAGAAAAAAATTCCATTTGATTGTGATTACTTTTTTCTTATTTGACAATCTTATTATAGGTCAATAGTTTCAAAAGAAGAAAAAAAAAGTTTTTTAAACCTATATTCAAGTGATTCTAAAATAGTTTACAATTTCATGTGTTGCAAAAGAAAGTTAAATATTTGAGTCTAGATTTTTCGTTTAAGATAATATATTAATAGTGATGAATGACTTTTTTTTTTGACACTGTGTTATTAAATATAGCTAGAGATTAATATAACGTCGCAATAGAAAAATAAATAGTCGCGCAAAACTTATCAATTTTTCGTCAGTTTCAAAAAAAAAAAACAAAATTTAAAGAAAAACTTTTAAAATAAATTTACAAATTTAATGAAAATTAAATTTTCCAAATATTAAAGGATTAAAATATTAATTTTGTATTATTAATTATAATTAATATGATAAAATAATTCTTACTTTTATAAATTGCAGTATGGACTATACGGCAGTTTTCTTGGCTGCTTTATTTATATTATATTCGGATCTTGTAAGGATGTTCCTGTTGGTCCCACTGCCATTGCTTCATTATTGACTTATCAAACAGTGGCTCATTTAGACGATAAAGTTTCTCACGCCATACTTTTATGTTTTATAGCAGGCGTCTTTGAATTATTAATGGGAATCTTCGGTCTAGGTGATTATTTTTCATTGAAAAATTTCTCAAGATCTAGAAAAAAAAGAACAATTAATAATTATTTATCAATATTAATTTAATATATTTTATATATTTGATTCAAATTATTAATTTATTTTTAGGTTTCATTATAAATTTTGTTTCTGGTCCCGTTAGTTCGGGATTTACATCGGCAGTAGCTTTAATTATTGTTTCATCACAAATAAAAGATATTTTAGGAATAAATGCGCAAGGTACCACATTTGTTGATATGTGGACAAGTATCGTAAATAAAGTATCGCATATTTCTTATCCAGATGCTTCACTTGGTGTCTCGTGTATCGTTTTTTTACTTATTCTTAGGGTAAGTAAATTTTTAATTATTTAGCTAAATAAATATTTTGTGGAATAAAAAATTTAACTAAATTAACATATTTAAAAAAATATATATATATATATATTTTTCCAGATGACAACGTCATTAAGCATAGGTCCCAAGGAAGAAGAGCTTCGAACAAAAAAGCAAAATGTTATCAACAAAATTATTTGGCTCACAGGCACATCAAGAAATGCCCTATTGGTCATTATGTGCGGTGTCTTAGGCTATTATTTTTCTGAAAAAAGACCATTTCAATTAATTGGTAAGAATTATTTTCTTTTTTCTAATTTTTTTTTCCTTTGTTGTTGAGAAAAAAAAATATTCAATTTATTTAAATTCTCTAAGTTTGTTTTTTATTTATTTTTTTTTTTAAAAAAGGTTACATTCCAAATGGCATGCCATCGATACAATCACCACCCTTTAGTATAACTAAAGATAATACGACAATTTCCTTCATTGAGATGTGTAAAAATTTAGGAAGTGGAATTCTTGTAGTGCCCCTTATTTCTCTAATGGAGAATGTGGCTATCTGCAAAGCCTTTGGTATGTTGGAAAAATAGTTTTACTATAAATTATTTCATTTAAATTTTTGTTTTAATTATTATTATATTTAACTTCGTAAAATTGCAGCCAATGGAAAATCTGTGGATGCTACTCAGGAATTAATAGCAATTGGAGTGGCTAATATAGGAAATTCTTTTGTTCAATCCTTTCCGGGAACCGGTTCGTTGAGCAGAAGTGCAGTTAATAATGCTTCCGGTGTTAGAACACCTCTTGGCGGACTTTATACTGGTAATTAATAAAAAAAAAGAAGAAAAAATTTCTCTTTTTGAATTTAATGAAAAACTAAACTTGAAATTTTATTTGTTCAGGTATTCTGGTTATCCTGGCTCTTTTATTCCTCACACCTTATTTCTTCTATATTCCAAAAGCGTCCTTGGCTGCGATTATTATCGCTGCTGTCATTTTTATGGTTGAGGTCAAGGTTGTGAGGCCCATGTGGAGGACAAAAAGTACGTGAGATTTTTTTTTACGTCCATTTTCTTTTTTTTTCTTTTATCAAATCGCAAATCCCGAGAAAATATTAGATTTTTAATTTAAAAATTTTTGCTTAATATTTCGTTTAATATTTATTTGGAAATTAAATTAATATTAACTGACCTTAATTCATTTTCTCTCGTAGAATCCGATTTAATACCAGGTATTGGTACTTTTATCGCCTGTCTTGTTCTGCAACTGGAAATTGGCATTCTTTTTGGAATAGGATTGAACGTTCTTTTTATTCTTTATCATGCAGCAAGGCCAAAGATATCTGTGGAAAAACTCACGGTATATTATACGAGAAAATTTTATACAATTAAAAATACAAATTACAATATAAAAATTTGTTAACAAAATAATTAGAAATAATAAAAATAGAGTCAAATTACAAAAAATTAATAAATTCATTAAATAAATTTCAGAGTCGTCATGGAATTGAATATCTGATGTTAACTCCAGATAGATGTTTAATTTTCCCATCAGTTGACTATGTAAGAAATCTTGTGACAAAATATAGTTGTCGTGGTTCAAGTGTATTGACGCCAGTTGTAATTGATTGTTCACATATTTATGGTGCCGATTTTACAGCCGCGACTGTTATTGAAACATTGACAAAAGACTTTGCTGCACGTGGACAACCATTATTTTTCTTTAATTTAAAACCATCGGTTCATGCTGTTTTCGAAGGTGTTTCGCCCACTGATTTTGTCGTTTATTATACACGCGAAGCACTTGACGATCTTCTTAAAGAACGCGGTTATTTCAATCAAATCAAGCATGACATTCCATTGGTCTAAAACAAAAAACTCATTGATCTTTTTTTTTATTAATTCGTATTTTCAAAAAAAATTATTCATCGATAGCGATAAAAAAAAGAAGTATTAATTCTGTAAATTCTAGGATTGTTAATTTCAATAATAAATAATGTTAAAAAGTTAAGATTTTTGAAAGAAAAAAAAAATAAGAAAATTTCTCGCAAAAAAAAATTAGTTAATAAATTATAATACACTATTATTAATTAGTTAGGAGAATTGAATATCAATGTTGAATGCTTATAAAAAAAAAAAATGTCTTGACTAATTAATATTAATTAGTTTTTAAATATTTCGTGCCACTGTGTATAAAAAAAAGACGAGATTTAAATATTCACTTAAATTATTTAAATATTATATAGATATATAAATCTTGTTTTTTTTATGAGAATAAAATTAGGTATTTTAATAAATTTTTGACGTCGCATGAAAGTGTAATTATTATACACCGGAAACAGTATTGTCGAATGTATAACTGCCGAGCGATATAAAAAAAAAAGACATTATTTATAGTATTATATAATATGTATAAAGATTATTTATTATAAAAAATCTTGAGTACTTATTGACAATATTTGTTAATATTAATCTTCAGTTGTCATTTAATCATCATTATGTTTTAATTATTATAATTATATAAATCATATTAAATATAATTATAATATTAAACAAAAATTTTAAGATTGACTTCTCTAGTTTTATTTTAACAAATATAATATAAACTGAATAATTAAAATGAACTCTTATAAAAAATTTAATAATTTTAGAGTCCAAATATTGAAATCCTTAAACGATAAGAAATAACAAAAAAAAATGTTCCTTTTCGCTTTGATATGGCAGTGCGTATGTGTAAATAGATTAAGTTTGTAACAAATACTGTGATAATTTTGTAAAAAAAAAAAAAAAAAAAGAGAATGAATGAAAATGATAACATGTACTATAAAAGTAGTCAAATGTAGTATTATAATAAATTTTAGGGCCTAGTATACATAATCAGCAAAAAAAAAAAATTGTGCACTTTCTGCCATTTAGAGATTACATTTCATGAAAATATATTCTCTAATATTAAAAGAAAAACAAAAAATGAAAACAAACGAGAAATGTAAAATATAATATTTGTAGTTCCTGTTAAAGAGTTTATAAAACAAAAAAGAAATGCACTATCACGTTATAATCGTTATAATATTAATATATTTATAAATATTATACGATTGTTGAAAACTTCATTTCTCGTCCTTATTATTTACTTCCTTTATCCAAAAAAACCTATATATATATTTTTTTATATATATTTATTTGATATTATTATTTTATTAAATATATTGTTATAATATATTTTTATTGTATTTTTATTATACCTATATTTGTTAGTTTAATGTTCAGATTATTCGAAATTAAATTATTTTATGGAAAATAATAAATAAAATGTATAGTGAAAATTAAAGATTTGAAAGAAAATAGAAATTTAAATAAAATAATGAAAGTTAATTTAAATTATAATATAAAATTAAATTTTGTAAATTTAAATTATTTGGTTCGAAAAATACAGTTGAAAAATATGTTACATAAACTTTATTGAGTAACATAATTTCGAAAATGCAAAAACATTTCAATAACAAAGTACGATTGTAAATAACATTGAAAATATTCTTAAATAGAAATGGCAGTTGAAACTATAATTCAACTATTTTGCAATGAAAATATTTACCCATATTTAAAAATTGTATGGAAAAAATTGTTCATTTAAAAAAATAAATATAAAATGTTTTATAACTATACATGTTAATAATAGTAAATTCATTAATAACAGTAAATAAATTTCTAAATCAACGTAGTTAACGAAATGCAATATTAATAATTATGTTTCACATATTATTTAGTGTATTTATGTACATTTGAGCAAAATCATCTCTCTTTGCACACTTTCCATTTTTCTATATATTCTTTTTACTTTAATGATTTGAAAATAATTTTCTTTATTTTTCTTTAACTTAATTGTAAAAATATTAAAATTAACGCAAAAGTGGATATAATTTTTTTTTTTTAAAGAAGAAATTCTATTTTAGACAAAAAGATAAATCATCAAAATATAAGTAATTTAAATTATCACGTTACTTATATTTAGATGGTCTTTATATTTATTAAGTTTAATTTATTCTATTAAGAAAACTTTTATTTCTTTATAAAAAATATGTTTATAGTTCTAAATTTAAGTCTTTACTTTTGTTTTTAATACTGCGAATTAATTAAATTAAAAAGTAAATAGACCCTGACTAATATTTACGTATGTTCGTGGTATATATATATATATATGATATGCTTTCTTTTTTTTATTCGATTTTTCTATTCTTTTTTTTTTTATCTTGTAAATTTAGACTTTCTCACATTTTCTACATTTTTTTCGGAATTATTTTCAAAAGAAGATTTAAAAAAAAAACTCGTTATTTAATTTGTTTAACAAAATTCTACTTTAAATTAATCAACTATTGAAGATATACTATATATATCTTTTTTCTTATATTTATCTTTTCTTTTGTACGTATATGCATTTTATACATATATAATCACACAACTTTTATATATCATATATTGCACATACTTTGAAAAATTAATTATTCATAAAAAACACTTATGTACATTTTTTGACAATTATGGTGTTTTTAAATGAAATTTTTTCATTTTAATAAGATTTTCATTAATTTTATAACAAAAATTTTTTAATTTTGTTGAAAAAAAAATTTTTTTGTTAATATTTGCAATAATTTTCGTTAAATCAAATTTTGCCAAAAATTTTGCAAAATATATTCGAAACAAATTGACTTATATTGACATTCGTTTCATTATTGAATTTTCCAACTGATAAATAGTTTTTTAAAAGAGAATATCTTTTTGTGAATAACATTATGTATTCGTATATAATTTTTAATAAACCTACTTTTTCAAAAATTGACCAAGTTTCGTTAGATTCTACTTACGATATGTCTCTCTATATTGCTCATAGAATTGCGGATACCTTTAGAGCCAGCCAAAGTCCATTCCAGTGAGTTGATAAAAGCGCTGATTGAATGGCCTATAGAAATCCCTTAAACGTTCAATTGCCTCAGGTTCTATGTGCGGATGACTTCGGCCTTTATTTTTTCCTAAAAAAAAAAAAATGGAATTTAAAAGGAAATTAAAGTATTCTTTTTTTTTGATGATGATTTACTCACCAAGGCAATGGGGAGTTGCTCGTTCTTCCGATTTTAAAAGACAGGGAAATCCCTTGGTGGTATTAAAATAAAAATGCTTCTCACAAATGACACGTTTAATGCCAAGAAAATCTTGAACTCTTGTCATTTCAGTGACGGGATCGGCAATAAGTCGTTCACCAGAGACAAAAAGAAATTGTGACAATGGAAAATATTGTAGCCAACGTTCCAAATGTCGTGCATAAACTCCAATTCTTAATGGTGACCAAGTCATGTCAACAACTTGTGATTCATTTAAAAAAGCTAAATCCTCAAATTTCAACATTGTGACACGTTTACTTTTTACTTGTGTATAATCGGAAATTGCTCGTGTCACTGGATCACGAACAACGACAATTAATTTTGTCCCTGGATTCATGTGCTGTACTCGTCTTGGTGCTTCGGGTGTCACAAAATACGATGGAGTTTTTTCCATTGTTATTTGACCCTCTAAAGTTGGTGGCATTTTGCGTCTATAGATTATGTAAAAATTTCAGAAAATAATAAACAAATTTTTAAATTCATTAAATTTATCACTATTTCAATTTACCTATACCAATGGAATCCTTTTGCATAATAATGATCGAAAAAATGAACTTCCGAACCAGCTGCACGAATATCTGGATGAAGTCTCAAAAATTCAAGAAGAGCCCTCGTCCCACCTTTTTTTACACCAATTATAAGAGCAGTGGGAAGTTGTCTATTTGGTACTAAACCATGTTGTCGCAAAATCTTGTACTTTGGAGATACATCAATAATATCCTAAAAAAAAAATCAATTTACAAATTAAATATATAAATTATAATAAAAAAATTTTTACTAACCTTGAAACTTTCATTGCTGGTTAAAAGTGAAACAACTTGAACATTAGTAACTTTGTAATTAATATTCGTAAAGTCATCTAATGGAATTTCTTCAACTTTAATTTGTTCGGAAACTCTTTTTAAAAATTGATTTGATGTCAGTCTTATTCTGTGTAGTGCAATTTTACGTGAAAGATTACCGATCAAACACGATTTCTCATTGAGAATTATCCACAAGAGAAATAATATAAGACAAATAATAATTAGAATTTTTTTCAACTGCCATGATTTTCTAACTTCCATCATGTATACTTCTTCTTTTTTCTATCATAATTTTATATACTATAAATTATTTTCACTCTCTAATTCTGTGAATACCAAAAAAAAAGGTACGTTAAAAATTGCATAAAAATAACAATTTTTATGGTTATGTTTACGTGTAAAAATAATTTATAATAAATCAATAATAACAAAAAACTTATTTTCAAAAAACTACAATAATTATTCAGAATACCGGAATTTGTTTTCTATTAATAGAACAAAACATACCTTATTATTGAAAGAAATCAGTCAGCATACAGGAAGAGATGAATTGTTTCGAGCACATGGCCAAAAAGACATTACTCGCTGTTTAATTAACTATGTGATTATAATTGATGTTTGTTGACACACGAAATTCATTATTTGCTTTCTTTGTTGACAAAATTTGGACGGGAAGATTATACTATTAACAGTAGAACAGATATATAAATTGTAGTCACACAATATTTTGGCAACGTGTTGGTGAAAATCGATAAAACCCGCGAATTGAGAAAAATATGCATTATTTTACGGGTTTTTTATTTTAAAACTATAGTTTACAAGACCAATATATATAATTTTGACAAAATGACTATATTAATATAATAAATAATCAAATAAGTTAGAAATATTAATGGTAAAATCTTTTCTAAAAGTGCTAAACGTTATTTTTTGAAAAAGCGACATTTTAAATAAGCGCGTCAATAATGGCGCATGTTCAATGCTAATTTATATTTCTGGGGAATAATAGGGAAAAAAAAACATGACAAAACTAAAACACTAATGTATCAATAAAAAGTTCCTAAACTATTGACATATAGTCATTTAAATAAAAATAAATTTTGACATTAGTATCAGTGAAGTAAATAAAATATGTTGACGAATAATTGAGTCATTAAAGCATAAAGAGTGTTTTGTAATGAATATATTTATGATAAAAGAAAATACGTAACTGTATACGTCAACAAATTGAAACTTAACCTCAAAATTAATGACATCTTTTTGCTTTTTGTATTTTTGAAATAATAACAAGTTTTTATTTGATGTAAATAATAAAAATTTTAACTTATTTAATTAATTTCTATATACTAGGAAAATTATACTTCTATTAAATTTGAATGTATATTCATTAAATGCATTTTCTACAAATTGATCTTAATGGTCTGTAATATAATTTATTTGTCATTCAGAAATTAAGATGAAATATTCGACTTCACCGCCAACAAGCAGGTGCACATCTCCTATGTCAATGAGATCATCTTCATCGCTACCAATACCTGCCACTTACAGGTAAATTAGTTTTAAAAATTTTTCATTCTCATTGCATCATTTTTTTTTTTTTAATGAAAATTATTATTGCTTAGAAAGATATAATAATAAAAATTTAATTCTTCTTGATGGAAAAAACAGAATTTTTTTTTTCTTTCAGACAAGAATGCTTTGGTGCACCAACAAAATTTTACAAATACTTACGAAAACTTTTAATGTTCGAACAAATGGATTTTGAATTTGCTTCATGGCAAATGGTGTATCTTTTTACAAATCCACAAAAAGTTTATAGAAATTTCAGAAGTAGAAAACGTAAGTATTATTATAATTTATCGTGAAGAAATAAATAATTTGAAAATAATTTTTTTTAAAAATTATCTATTACAGAAACAAAATCACAATTTGCCAGAGATGATCCAGCTTTTCTTGTTTTATTAACATTTTGGCTATTTGTTTCCTCCATTGGATTTGCCATTGTTTTAGGTCTAGGATTTTTTCAATTTCTTGCATTTTTATTTTACGTTATCATAGTAGATTGTATTGGAATTGGAGTGATAGTCGCTTCTCTTTTTTGGTAATGAAACAAAATTTACATTTCTAGACAAAATTAAAAAAGAAATATTTGAATTAAATTTATTTTTACTATTAATAGGTTTGTGACAAATCGATATCTACGAATAGATAAAACTCAGGACGTTGAGTGGGGTTATTGTTTCGATATTCATTTAAATGCTTTTTTTCCACCTCTTATAATTCTTCATTTTGTTCAACTATTTCTATACAATGGTAAAATATTAAGTTATTAAAAAAAAATTATAATTCAGAAAATAATAATTATATTTATCAATTTTAAAAAAAAATTCAATTATTAATAACTCAAAAATTAATTGTAGGCTTCATTATTCACGATGGATTTTCCTCTCGTTTTCTTGGAAATACTTTTTGGATGATTGCTGTCAGTTATTATATTTATATAACATTCTTAGGATACGCTAGTAAGTTATTAAAAACTTATATTTAAATAAAAATTAAAATTATATGAATCAAAAAAAAAAGGAAATTATATTCCACAATATTCTGTTACAGATGTAGAGATTCTTTCTAAAACGCATATTATTTTATCAGCGTTACCGATAGCATTTCTCCTCTACGTAACAACTTTAGCTGGAGGAATAAATATTACCCGAATGATAATGAATTTTTATCACGATAGAGTCGTATAGTTAGTGTAAATAAAATCCTTTTTTTTTTTTTTTATTAAGCTGAAAAAATACCAATAAAATTCTAATTTTTCAAATAAATGCTTTTATTTAAATCATGTTAAGGAAAAAATGAAATGAAAAATTCCTTATTTTGTCAAATGTCTCATATATTTAAATAATTGTTAAACATATTGTTGAATGACATAAAAAAACTTTTGTATTGAACTTACAATCAATGTATATAACGTTTTATTTTCTTTTTTTTTGTTTCTGTTTTAATAATGTTAAATATACATTTTTATTTAAAAATTTTTCATTTAAATAGATAATTAAATGCGTTACTTATTAACAGCGTGTAAATATTTTCATAATTATAATTTTAATATATAATTTTTACTATGTAAATGTCAGATATAAAGTGAATTATTATCAAATTACAATTAGCTTTGAATTATTTTTTTTTTTCTACTAATATCACTACCGTCATTTTTTTGTTCTCTTCTTTATTTACATGATGCTGATGTGACTTATCTTTGTCATAAATATTAGATCAAAAATCATGAATATTTGCAAATCTCGTGAAAAATTAATAAAAATCCTTACAAAATTCAAATTAAAAATATTTTCGAGATTCATTAGAGCAAAATTCTTTTAATTATTCACAATTACTTTTGTACAATTGATTTTTATTCATCATTAAACAAAAGAAATTGTGTAAAGATCTAATAATTATTTTCACTTGTTCTAAAAACATTTATACGTAAAAATTCATTTTTCTGTAATAACTTCTATCCATTCACAATCTGGCAGTAAATTTCTCTTTTTCGATATGCAAATTAATATCACATGATATTATGCATAAAGGCTGGTTTATGCTGCAAACTTATTAAACTCATACTTTTTTTACAACAGCAAAAAAGGCAGAATTGTAACTCAAAAACCCGAATAAACCGATTTTTAAATTGATCTTTAAAACAAAATTCCCCAAAAAAAAAACAACAGTATTTTAAATTGTTTAAAAATATTTCAAATAACATCTTTTTTTTCTAATTAAAAATTTGAAAATACTGTTTACACTTATTATTTTATCAATAAATATATAAAATTGTTAATAAATCCCATTCCCTGATAAGTAAAAATTTTTTTTTACTAGTTAGAAACCAAACAATAATGTAAAATTTCATTTACAACTAATTAAATTCATTTCACAATTTTTCGATGATAAACGTAAGCACCTCTTCTGTTTAAGGCAATCAACATTGTATAAAAATATTTTTCAATAATTATTTAACAACGAAAAAAGTACCGAAAATTTTTATGTTTTCAAAATAATGAATTAAAATATTTTTTTTATGGCAAGTTGTTTAAAAAAAATATTAATATATATTTTTTTAATTATAAAATTTTTCAAAAAAAAAAAAAACAATAAGACTGTAAAATACAGTTAAAGGACAATTTTCTTTGTTAATTATAGTCATTAAATGGCAATTGAAAATGTATGACTATAAATAATATAAATTGTAATTGACCATTGATTATTTGAAAGTTTCTCGACATAATACATATTTGAATCTTCATAGTTCGTTTACTACCAACTACAATAAGGCCTCATGATCAATTTAGTACCGTTAATCTAACACTATTCATTAGACAAATGACTTATGTACAAATAAGACATTGAAAAGAACTTGGATTTTAAATTGTTTTCCCCGTAGTATTCTTCTTTTTTAATTTATATACACATTTTAAATGTTAGAAGTGCTCAACTAATTGAAAATTTCAAACTATAAAGCATGATGTAGTTGAAACACATGTGCGTGGTTTCGAAAAAAGAAATTTAATTCAAATTAGTTAATTAGAAAATTAAAAGCTTATGTATTATGCTTTTTTTTAAATAACAATAAAACCCACAAAAAACGAAATAAAAACACAAACATTTAAATATTTCCCTAATTAATTTTGATTCAAAATATTGTGCTATTTTATAAAAAAAAAAAATCATGTTCAACGTGATTGAAAAAATTTTAAAAAACATTGATCGTAAAAAAGATCAATTTAACAATTAATTATTTCAATTTTAATTAAACGATTAATTATTTTAACGGTGTCATGATTGAAATCAAAACATAATGGCACAGCTCTCAATCAAAACATCGTGAAAAAATCCAAATTTAAACAAAAAAAAAACTATTATAATTAGTATAATTAATGCAATAATGTAAAATGCTGCATTTATGTTAAATATCTATATAATAATAAATAATAAACATTGTAAAATGTTCCATAATCGTATTAATAAATTAATCAGAGAATTAAAAAAAATCTCTTTTTGTTAAAAATTCAAAAAAAAATTTTTAAAAGCAGCAAAAAAAAAACAAATGGTTAAAAAATTATCTAAGAAAAAAAAAAACTAAAAATGACTCGTCCTTCAAACTGTCGCGATTATTAAAATTATTTTCGTTTGTTATTTTTAAGAGGCCCGTGCAGTTTCCAAAAAAAAAAAAAAAAATGAGACTAAAATTTTCAAACTACCTATTTTTTTGGTGAATTGAGTAATCTTTCGCGTTCCTTTTCCTCCTCGGAGAAATGAATCCTTGTGATTACAATATCACCAGTGCTTAGAGTTTGACACGCGACTTCTTGATTTTCTTTTGGAACACTTTGTGATTGATTTGAAATTTTGTTTACTTGGCACATACACGTATATTTTGCAGGTGATGTTGTCGTTGACACTGAATCTAAAGTGTCAGTGTCATTTGATGAACCAGTAACTGCCGATAAAATTGCTTCGAGTCGTTCAATTTTTTCAAATCGATCCATTTGCACGTCCGAGAGAATTTCGTCCATCATGTGCATTGATTCAGTTAAACTTGGCGCTTCTGAATTACGTGGTGACACTACACCGCCTTTTTGATCAGAAAAAAAAATAAAAACAATAATAAAATTAAAATAATAGAATATAATTTAATTATTACAATAGAAAATAATATAATAAAATCTCACCTGAGTGTGATGTTTCGGAATCGAGACTCGGATATTCAGCGTCATCATTTTTATCCTCATCATCATCGTCATCACTTGAATCGCCTTTATCTTTATCTCCCATGTTCTCAAGTTTTTCCAATTTTTTTGCAACCTTATAGCTACCTTTCAATTTTTCCTTTTCCTCTTCGGTGAGTGATAAATAGCGCAATAGACGAATTTCCCGATTGCTAAGAACAATATTTTTTCCCGTTGTATCTTCCATTCTTTTACGAAGATCAGCCACTTCTGTTTCAACTTTACGTTGTTTTTTTCGTGTTTTCACATCCTGTGGCTTTATATGCATGCACACTTGTTCCTCGCACAATTCCGCAAAAAGTGTCAACATCTCTGGCTTAATAAGTCTATAATAAATTTCCAAATTTAGAAAATATGAAAAATTAATATTTTGTGAAACTTTTGGCAAAAAAAAAAAAAGAATAATTATTAACTCACCTTGACATGGCATTGTAAATTTGTGGAACAAGACTAAGAACATCGCTACTAGCATAAATTAACATATCACGAGTTAATGGACGTCGTGACCAATATCTTTGATCACGACGATAAATATTTTTCAATTGTTCCTTTAAAAGATTACATGGCGCGCCGTAAAGTTCACAAAGTGCATTTAAATTAACATTTTTTACTTTATACACAGGTTTACCAGTTTCTTGAAATTGTAAAATAGCATGAGCAGCCTGAAAAAAAAAATATTTATTTACCTATATTTAATTTTTTTTTCTCTTAAAAAAAGGAACTTTTTCATACCTGAGTGTCGAAAATATTGTTAAGAACGATTCCAAATTGATTATAAAGATTAACACTGTCATTTCTGCAGTCATGAATTACCTAAAAGAAGAAAAAAAGGAAAATAACTAAAATTACACGAAACAGTGAATTATAATTAAAATTTCTTTTAATTAGAAACTTACTTTAATTACGTTTTCATTTTCTAAAAGCCTATGAAGTCCACCGGCTTGAATTAAACTTGGACATGTGCATAAATCAAAAATATAAGATTGTCCACTTATTGTTCCAATTTGAAGAAGTGTTAATTGTCCCTTCATACCAAGATTAACTCCTTCACAATCAAAAGAAATGACAATTTTACCATCAGGTGGTGGTCGTCTTGGATTCATAATATCTTCAACAATTCGAAGGCACTCACGAGGATTAACAATCACTGTTGTTTGCTGTATCACCTTCAATTTCCAAGCGTCACCCATTTGTACACTTTGTAAACTACGATCTCTCTCTGTATTATCAGCTAAAGTTTTCATTACAAGTGTATTTATTCTTTGCTTCAATGTTTGTTGTTGTAAACTAATTGGCGGTGAATTATTATTACTCTCAGTCGGTGAATGTAATATATTTTGCAATGAATTAGGCTGCGAGCTTGAACTATTATTTGAAACAATACTATCTGGTTGTTGATTATTTGATGAATTTTGAAAAATTTGCTGCGATATTTGAATTGAACTTGAATTTTTATTTTGTAGATTATTATTTTGATTTTGGTTTTTAGCATTTTCCTTTTTTATTTTACCATCAGTATAAGTTTTTGGTCGACCAATTAATGTAACCAAATTACTTTGCACATGAAATGCATCGGAGAACATTTTCAAAAATGTCGATAAATCTTGATGTGTTTGAAATATTGTATCTTGGGGAAATTTTTCATTTACCATTAAAAATAATTGATCAACAGTTATTACACCTTTTTGTTCAATTGACATGGCAAAAAAATCTAATAATCTCGCTGTAACTTCAGGATCAATTGAAATATCAGGTTCCAATTCACGAAATGGTTCCGCTTTCATACCTTCATATTGTTTTAATATTACTGTATCTTCATTAACAACAAATGCATCGGGATGTTTTTCAAGAAAACTTTGAAATTCTTTATAATGCTGACCAGATATATGTCGTACCTCTGGCGATGCTTGTGAACGATGTCCAAGAAGACTTTTTATCGGCACCTCAGTTCCGGCTCCGTACTGCATCAATTTATTAGAAAAATATTCAACAGCTTCACGTGCATAATCACGTTTACCACTTGATTTTGATCCACTGTCCTCCTCAATTATTGGTTGAAATGTATTTACCGATACATAATCATCGTCAATAAGAAAGAGCGATGGATATTGTGATAAAAATTTTTTAAGTCCACTCTGTGAACCACCGGCTATTTGACGCATCTCTTTTGTAAAACCTTTTGCTCCAAATTGACAACTTAAATCATGTAATGTTCGTGGACCTCCTTTATCCATGAGTCGTTCAAAGAAAAAGAGAAGTGTCAAATTACGTACCAATTCATATTCAGAGCTATCCATTTTTCTTTTTATAATAATGTGATTATGCGGTTAATTTCCTCTTTTAAAAATTAAATGAATCTAAAAAAGAAAAAAAATACCTGTTAAAAATAGTTTTCTTTTTTTTTTTTATTTAGAACTAAATTTTTCATCTCCTTGACATGTCTTGACATACTTGTATTTACAACAGTTGCTTTCAAGCAAGTCTAATATAAGTAATCTCATTAAAATAACAGGGTCATGTTGAAAGAATAGAATACAAATTTTATACACTTAATTGTTATTCAAGCGTTAAAATAATATACACATTACGGGAATAATTAATAATAATTGAATTATTTTCTATAGTAAATAAGCACAATTAGTATATTAATCCTAAGTATCTAAATTATACAAAATAATTTCCAGCGGAAATATACAATTAATGAATAGTTGACAGAAGACAGCAATTAACCTATTCAATACGTGGATATATATACATATATATATATAAGTAGTCATTAAAATTCCAATGGCAAATTATAAACTTGGAATAGTTTAATAATAATATTTTGTAAAATTTAAATAAAAAAATCAACTTAAAATTTCAATATTTTTCTAATAATATCTGGGAAAAATATAAAACAAACAGAATTTCTCTTATAAAATTTCGATATTAAAATTTACTTAAAATCAAGGTTGTATAATTTATAAAATGATTAGAAATTTCAATGGGCAAATTTTTAGCCAGAAGAAAAAGAAAATCTGTCCTATATGGACCCATAATCTCAAGAGAAGAAAGATCTACAATTATATACGCTATACATACCTTTAAAAAAAAAAAAAAAATTAAATATGCGATTAAATGAAACTATTTTGGTGCAGATCGGAGCCGAATGACTGGTGGTCAACAGTATACACAGAGAGTCAACATTTGTCTCCTCTAATTTTCATTCAAGGAGCTTTCACTACATATTCACTTCATGTTCCCAAGTCATCAAGGGACAGTGAACTTTATATATGTACCTTCGACAGCTCGCGTCATACTAATCGGGCAAACATTGATATAAATCTTGGAAACAGATTCTCACATTCTAACCTCAAAAATTTATTAATGTAGAAATTTTTCCCCCTTTTAACAAATGATGAAATAATTTTTGCCAACTCAACTGAATTATTGTATGATAGAATAAATTGTCTCAAGTTTTAAAATATAAAAAAATTATTCAGTTTAATTAACTTTAGATATTCAATGTAGCACTAAATGGGGTTTGAAAACCCATTTTCTAAAAACAAATAATTTTCCAATGTCAACAAAACTTGTTTACCACTTTCTTTTTGCACAATATTTCTTGTTTAATATTTGTGATAACGTTTTTTAAATTTAACTTCACTATTTCCCTTTATTAATTCACTATAATTAAATGTAATTAAAGAACTGTCAGTTTTTTAAATATCAACAAACAAAAAAGCTATTATGAAAAAAAAAACATGTCCATTTATATTGGTAGTATTGACACAGGTTGGTATTCTATTTAATTTGAATTTAAATTCTCAAAAGTTAGAATTGTCAAAAGTTAGGATTGTCAAAAGTTAGAATTGTCAAAAGTTAGAATTGTCAAAAGTTAGAATTTTCAAAAGTTAGAATTTTCAAAAGTTAAAATAATCGAAAGTTAGAATTCTCAAAAGTTAAAATATTCGAATTACGCGCTAAACTATAACCAACATGTCAGCCTTAAAATTCCACAGTCGTAGAATTTGATTTATCAAATATTTTTAATGTATTATGCAATATTATTTATTTTAATATTCTCTTTACGAAATCATTAGGAAGCACTGATTAGTAAATTTTCAGGAAAATAAATTGATTATTAGAAATTAATATTTAAAAAGAAAATAGACTGTGCGTGGCGAACCTGCCAGCCATTTCCGCTATTTGCTTTGTCATGAGGTGACGTTTCGTTTACTACGTTTGCTTCAATCTTGACGGGTTTAAGGTGTGTTCTCGAAAAGCATTATTAAAAGTTCATTTTAATAATTAAAATTTAATAAACAATCAATACCAAAGGATTGTCTATTTTCCCAAATCGTACATAATTTATCGGGTGAATTAAAGTTTTTAGGTTAGAAAATCCTTGAAATCGAGGTGGATTTCATTGCACCTTGTCATTCAATTTTTTTTTAAAGAAGATTCTTGTGTATAGTGTTTAAATACCTTCTTTGGAGTCATGGGTTTGACTATCAGCAGTGTATTAACTCGACTATTTGGAAAAAAGCAAATGAGAATACTTATGGTTGGTCTCGATGCCGCTGGTAAGACAACCATACTTTACAAATTAAAATTGGGCGAAATTGTTACAACAATTCCAACAATTGGTTTTAATGTCGAAACCGTCGAGTACAAGAACATCTGTTTCACGGTATGGGATGTCGGTGGCCAAGATAAGATTAGACCACTTTGGAGGCATTATTTCCAAAATACCCAGGTAAATATATTTCGTTTATTTTTTTGTGGTTAGAATTGTTGACATTTGATTGTTTTATTTTTGAAATATAAAAAAATTAAAATATATAAAATAGAGATTGATTTCTATTTTTTTTTGTGTTTGTGTAATAGAAAATAGATGACGTGTTAAAATGTCAGTAATTTAACATTAATTAAAGTCATTAAGAATTGATATCTTTGCAGGGCCTTATTTACGTAGTCGATAGTAATGATCGAGAACGTATTAGTGAAGCGGAAAAAGAATTGGCTAATATGCTACAAGAAGATGAATTACGAGACGCGGTACTTTTGGTATTTGCCAATAAGCAAGATTTGCCAAATGCAATGTCAGCTACTGAATTGACGGATAAACTTGGTTTGAATTCAGTTCGTGGACGTCGTTGGTATATTCAAAGTACATGTGCAACTCAAGGACATGGTTTATATGAAGGACTCGATTGGCTTAGTAATGAACTCGCCAAAAAGTGATAAAATTCCATAAACTTCTCAGATAAATGCTTTCCAAGCTCTGGCTATTTCAGCGGGTGATACAAATGTTAAAATATCATTTTAAAAATTCGCTTTTAAAAGCCATGGCCTTTTAAAAAGAAAGAAAAAAAAAAAAAAAAAATTCTATGCTCTTTATCTCTCTCTCTTTTGGAGGGGATTTTTTTTTTCTCGTTATTAATGACTATCATTTATAGAGATAGGGAGATAAACGAGATTTATTAAATCTCAAAATACACGGAAAAATTAACTTTAAACCAAATAAATATGGTTAAAAATGCATTTTATTTTTCCGAATTTTTGAGAAAAACCTTCGTATATATCAACTCCGTTTTTGTATGATCTTTGTACATAAATTCGTACTGCAAAAACAATTATTAACGCCATCTTTTTTCTATACTTATCTAGAAGTATGTTGAATGTTTCAAGTATTTAATTTTTTTTTTTTGTGAATTGAAGTTTCATTCTTGGGGATCACAAAACAATTGTAATGACCAAAATCATTATTCTTTAAAAAAAAAAAAAAAAAAAAAAGTTGATGTAGTAATTATAAGGTGTCGTTTTTTTTTGGATTTAGTTTCATTTTTATGAAAATTGTCTTTTACATTTTAAGATATTAGTTTGTAAGTCTGAAAATAAACTACGAAATCGAGTTACTAGTCTTATATTTACAGAATTTTTTTTTTTTTGGCTGAAATATCCCTTTCACATTTTTTATAATGAAAAATTAATATTAGAATAATTGATAAGGCAAAAAATATTTGCAATTTACAAATTAATCTTGTACTTTATTTATAACTTTAATTATTGTACAAAACATGATGGAAGTACATTTTTTTTTTGCTTGTTTTTATACTGTCCATCGTATTTAAACTGTGCCTTAAAATTGTTCTATTCTTTTTTTTCGAATGATTTTTCTTATATAGCTCGTTATCTAAACAATACCTATTGAAACTACTAACATAATTTTCTAATTATGTACATGCACGCACTTGAACACACTAGGCACGCACGGATTTTAGTTAAAAAAAAAAAAAAAAAAAAAAATACAGAAGAAAATTTTTTTTGACCCTTCAACACAAAACTACATTTCTAAGTTTTTTTTTTCTTTTTTTTTTCTTATAAAATATATCTATATAATATACAACCGACGAAAAAAAAAAAAAATTTTCCCGATTCAATTTTAAATCTCATATTCGATTCCTGAGACTAAAATCAGAATATTCTTTTTTTTAACAAAAAATCGTATTTCCATTTTTTTTTTTTTTATCAAAAATTCGATTTTGAACACAGTTTTACAAAAAAAAAAAGTTAAATGCTTAAGAAAGTTTTGCAAAATTTAAATTCACTCAAATTAGTAATAGTCGATTGTTTTTGAGAAAAATTACTTCACCAGGAAATAAATACACTTATTTGATTTTTTTCTTTTTTTTTTGTTTTATATTATTATATTTTTAAATTATTTTCGTACCCATGTTTTATTTGAATGTTCAATGGCATTTTTTTCACCGAGGGCAGGAAATGTGTGATTTGACAAATGCGATTGAAGATCGGCGCTTCGCAATATTTGTCCGCATGTTGCGCATAATTCTAAATTTTTTATTTGGCCATTAACTTTTTTTTTATGTACCTTAAATAGTTCCTGTTGTTTTTTAATGTCCGGTAAAAGAACAAGAAGTTCGCTAAATACACTTTCAAATATTAATTCACCCATAACGGCATGACAACGTTCATAATAATCCTCGGCATTACAAAGATCCTGACGAAATAGTCCACTTATAAAACGAAATTCATCAATTAATTCTTGTTCCAATACTTGATTTACTTTATCAACAAGATTACGATTTCTCATTTGAAAATCAGGCGGTGTTATAAAGGGATAATTTTTATTTTGACAATCATTATCGGGAATAATTGAATAACTTTCACCTGAACTATTAGTGAATGTTAATCCATTATCGTTTTGTAAACGTTTTACATTATTTAATTTCACAAAAAATCCTGGCGGTGGTACTGTTGATGAAAATCCAGGTGGTGGATTTGTAAAACCTGGCGGTTTACTACTAGCGCTGCTTAATGATGGAAAATCAGAATTATTAAAACTATTGTTATTCGTTGAATTTAAACTATCGATCTTTAATTCCGATCGTTTTCTTTGGCTGGAATTTGTTGTTCCATTTTCAATATCAGAATTACTGAGACAAGATTCGGAACGCGAGGTATTGAGTTCGGATTTTTTTTTATTTTTCACTTCCTTTTTTGGTAATGTAAATTTTTGATCATTATTATCACTGTTTAATTCTTTTTTCGGTGATGTTTTCTTTTTTTCCATTGGATTCAATTTTTTTGTTAAATCATCCTTTTTTATGTTTTTATCTGTGGCGCATGATTTTGGTGTGTCAATTGTATTTCCATTTTGTTTTACTTTTTTCTTTTTTGCTTTACCTTTCGTTGCGTCACTTGTACTTTTTGCTGTATCAGAAGCCTGAAAGAAAAATTTTAAAAATTAGTTTAATAAGAAAAAAAGGGAAAAAAATAGAAATTATTTCACCTGTGTTGATGTTGGCGGAGGTGGTTCCCACGATGAACTGGAGGAAACAATTGAAATAGTTGATTGTTTATTGTATTTGGACGATTTTAATAGAGTGGGAAAATCTTCGCCTGAATTAATCGTAGGTGGTGAAGTGGCAAGTGGTGCAGGTGCAACTTTTTTTGATTTTGGTGTAACGGCAGGTTTAACACAAGTGATTTTTGTCCATTGTGAAGTATTTGAATTACTTGTTGATGGTTCAGCGCGACCAAGTGCAGGGAATTCAGAATCTCTCGATGATGTTGGTCTAATTCGAATATTAGTGCCATTTGCTTTATGATTCACGTGAATTGAAACATTTGTTGGTGCTGAATTTTGTTGACGTTGCGCTCCAATTGAAGCATATTTATTTGTACTTGAAACGCTAAAGTTGACTGTTTTTGAAATTCCACTATTACTTGGTTCGGGTCCCAAAACAGGGAAATTCTCATCTGTAATTTCCAATGGTTGTCGTAATGTACTGCGAATTGTGACATTACCACGACCTTTTGATTTACCCATATTGGGAATAATTGGCGCCGAATTCCCAAGACTTGGAAATTGTTCAGTACTTTGAACATCAACCAATGGTTGTTGAACATACATTTCCTGTGGTAAATAATCACCACCAACTGCGCCAGCATCTTGTTCACGTGAATTCCAATCTTGTTCTCTTAAATTTCTCGATGACGGTGGACCCATTCCACGTCGATAACGATTATCAGCTCTTGGCGCCAATGTAAATTCCAATTCAAGTGTTCGCGCTTGTTTTGCCGCCGCTTTTCCCATTTGTCGTCCATGAATTGTTGCTTTATGAGCTTTTAAATCGATATTCGATCTAAAAACACTTGTAAATTTCTCCTCAGCACATGTTCCTTCTTCACAAAGAAAATGTTCATGACGAAAATGCTCCCTGAGATAATCATATGAACTGTAATATTGATGAAGACCATCGGCGTCACAATAATGGCAGTATAAATGATCTCTTCTTAAATGTCGATATAATTCATCATTATCCATATAACGTTTTACACAAAATTTACATTGTGGATGACCCTTGTGACTTTTATCATCTAAATCACCCTTTATAAGATGTTGATTCAATTCATGTCTCGAGTAAGAGCGTCTTTCATGGGAAAATATCTGTAATAAATTAAAAAAAATTCATAATTAAAAATTATTTTAATAGAAATTATTTTAATAAAATAAAAATTAATACCTTTAAATTGTCGACACAAAGTTCACAAAAGAATCGATCGTGTCTTCGTCGCATATGATCGTTTAAACTAGTAAAACTACTAAAGACTTGTCTCTCGGGACATATTGAGCAACTGTGAGCTAATAGCTCAGTGAATCTCTCTTGAATTTCGAGATTTTCAAAAAATATATTATATCTCTCGTCGACCAATGGTCCTTTACGAAGATGTCGAAATGGCTTTTGTTCACGTGTAAATACAACTTTTGGTAAATCCTGACGACAAATTGGACATTCATTTTGTTGACAAAGTACACGCATTCGTGTACTACATTCATAACAAACGGGATGTTCACACATTCCAATACTGAAGATGTTGACATTTTTGTAACATACAATACACGTGTTACTGCCAAAACTATCGTTTCCTTTTGACATTTTTTTTTTGTTTTTTTTTTTTTTTTTGCTTTGTTGAAAAAATCTCAATAAATATAATACGATAAACGAGCGTCAACAAATTATATTTTAATACATTTTTCTCTTCAAAGTGTTTAAAAAATTCTTTATAATTGACTTGTAAATAATTTTTTTTTTGATAAACCTGAAAAACGAAAATAATTTTGTTATAAAATAAAAATAAGGAAGCTTAAGGCTTAATTTGCGTTTCAAATATTGTTATGAGTTATGACAAGTTAACAAAATTAAAGATATAATTTGAACATTTTGTACTCGTTGAAAAGCATTTTTAAAAAAATTAATGAAATATCTTGTTTTGAAATTAAAGAAAATAGAAAACTATTTTTAACAAAAGAAACAAAAAATTTTTTTTTTTACATCATGTGTTCCGTAATTCATAATATGCATATCATGTTAAGTAATATGTGAAATACCAATGCAATTGAAAGAATTAATTGAAAATGAATAAACTTACTGTTGTTTAAATATTCTTCAAGGATGCCAAATATATTCTGTCTTGTGATGATTTTTAAAGTATTATTTGATCCCAAAATAGCTATACATTTATGAAAATTGGCAACAAACAGATGGTGAACTATCCGTACTCGTGAAGGTTATCACGATATCGTTTTCATAAAAAAAAACTATATATATATACTGTAATCAAACAACTTCTCACATGACATGCATCGTATTCCTTCCAGTTATCATAAGCTTCTTTTAATTTAAAATTTCAGACACGTCACGAATTAAATTTACTATTCCAAAAATTATTTCTGTGATTGCAATAGTAAAGCCTAAAATCCTTGTAGAACGGAAGTTATCGGAACTACATGTGTGTAGTGATTTGATACTTTTTTCGTAACTTCCTGGCGCCAAATTTAGAAAATGTTTAAAAAAAATATTACATTTTTTTTACAGATATAATAATAATTTATTTTTAAAAATTTAGTTATTAATTTATTAACAAAACATTAGAAAAAGTGTTTAAATATTAACAAAAAAAAAGTTGTTATGTCGTTTTAACAATTCAGTCAACCAATTAGAACGTCGAGAATGATACGTTACATACGTTATATACGTTTATATAATCTGACATAACCTTAAAATTTACATGCAATTGACATTTGACGTTTCAATGTCAAGAATGTTTGTAATTTTTTTTTCTTTTATAAACAAAACAAATACAGAATAATTTCATCAATAAGTAAATAATTTATGCAATAATTGAGTTTTCTTTTAGCAGATTAAGTATTTTTATAATATTCAAGTTACTCAGAAATATGTTTACAAATTAAAGCGGTTACAAGGGAAACCATGGATGCAACTCCAAGTTGTGTTTCCTTCTCCTTCCAGTTTCAACTTTTTTATTACAAAACCAACCAACTCTATTGACTCATAGAAAGAACAGATTCAGATACGAAAGAGAACAATTTCTACGCTTTATTCCGTTGTAAACCATGATTTAATACAGAAACAACTTGTTACACTTTCCAATGAAAGTTTGTAATACAACTGTCAAGCGACACATGTGCTTCACATATAGTGGGATAAATTATTTAATTTAATTATTTATATATAACATTTAATTTATATTCACTATTCAAAATGATTGTCGACAGAGGTTTTATAAATGTACTAATTTTAAGTACAGGATTTATGTTGGTATTTTCGGCTTTTCAAACGATGGGTACAATAGAGGTAAGTTTTTTATTTAAATTGATTGTTATAATTATTATTTTCTGTTTGTCGTTTATTCACTTGTTTATAAAACAAAACATGATTATAAATTTTCTATTCTTCATTAGAAACAGATTTTTAAATGACACATTGTTGCATATACATATATCTTACAATTTCCTGTATTTCTTTTGTTTTTAATAAGTTTTTATATAACAATAAAAGTCGATTTAATTTATCAATTGCATTTAATGAATCATTAAAATAATTAAAAAGATTTAAAAATTGTAGCATTTTTTATAAATTTTATGTAAAAGAAAATTATATTAAAATAAAAATTTTTTTTTCCTGTGGAATCAATTTGGTGATAAATTAGTTTCAAGATTAGGTATCTATATCAAACAATATGCCAATGTCGAATGATTGAGAAATATGCAAGAATTCGCGTTAAAATAATGAAAAAAAATAAAAATATTGCACTTTTAATTGTTGGAAATATTTGTACATTTTAATGATATTTAAAAATGTTATTTTTAAAAAAATTTCTGTTTAGAGGAAAAAATAGTCCCATAAAATTTAATGAACAAAGTTTTATAGGATAATAAAAGAAAAAATTAAAAATACCGTATTTTATGTAATGATTTATTATTTTCAAGTCTGACTATTTTTAATAGTTTCTGTTTTGTAACAGAAATTTAAAAAACAAAAATTCAGAATTAGAATATAAACTCAAATGTAATTTATGTATACAAATGTATATACATCATTGGTATGTTTTAAACGAACTACTTTTATAGGAACAGTTTCAAAAACTGAATTAATTACATGATTTCACGAAAGAGAGATTCTGATTTCTTTGCATTTTTTATGGGAACTTATAAAACCGGTTATCTTTAATTTTTAATTTTTAAAATTAAATTAAAAAATTATAATTTAAATATTTGTTAAAAGAATAATTAACTGTTTATGAGGAGTTAATAATAAACATATGGAAATTTAAATTCATTTTAAAAAAGAATGAGAAGATTATAGACTAGCTGCAAATTCGGTCTCAGATATTTTCCCCTTTGTATAGATGTTTTATGAATACGTTGCTTCCTTATTATAGGTTGTTAACAGTTAATCTGTTTTTTTTTTTATTTTGATACGAGACATGTTTGATAATTAGTTACTATTCTTTAAAAAAAAATATATATAATAAGCGCATATTTGAGCTAGTTGTATAAAATAATTAATATGTACAATACATTTTTTTATTTTTACTATTACTAATTATTTAATTAATATTCCAATTGTATATTGCCTTAATACAATTATAATATATATTTAAATTTAATAATTATCGCAATAAAGTATTAGAGCTTTTTTAAAAACACTTTTACTTTCATTTGAATATTTTTAAAGAACTTGAATTAATTATTTATACAAATCAGGCGGGAATTGATATACATCAAAAAATGATATATTTAATATTTGTTGATTATATTTTTAATATAAACGAAAAGTATATAATTTTTTTTTCTTCGGAATATCAATTCAGCTTGTAAAGTAGAAAAGAAAGCAAATGATAAGGTCTACTTATTTTATTTCGTCATTGATTTCTGCAAATAAGATAAATAAAAATGCATGTATAAGAAAGATTTGTTCTTAATATTAAAATAATTAAGTAAATTAAATTTTATGAATAGAAAAAATATTTGTATTTTAAAAAAAAATAAAAGAAAATACAAAATTATTCTATACCAGAAAACATAATATTTTCAAAAGCAAATTTTAATAAAATTAAAATAAATTTATTATCTCTTAATATTATAATAAAAAATAAAATTTTCATTTGAACTTTCTTTATATCATGAAAAAAAAAAATTTAATTACTATTCGATTATTATTACTTGTATTTTCTTTTAAATTATTTTTAAATACATTTATTTATATATTAAAGTCATAAATATAATATAAGAAAACACATGTGGCCTGAATAATTAAAGTAATTATTGGTGTCTTATCGACCTCCTTTTCAAGATAGTCGTATCAATTTGCAATAAAGTAAATAAAAATTATTTATTATTTTTTAAATGTATAAAACTAGTACAATGTAACACTTAACAAATTATAATTTCTTTTTGACAAAAGTAATTTAATTTTTATTTTTATTTTTTTTTTATTTTAAACTATTACTATTTTTACATAAACATTTTTTGAAATTAATAAATTATAATTACTTAACGATAAATTATTAAAAATCTCCATCTAATGTTAATTATTTAATTTAATGGTTTAAATATATTATTGCATATGTATATTTTAATCAATTCAGTGATGCATCTGTTTTTTCTTTTTCGATTGAAATGTTATCAGCTTTTCTTCACACGATAAACAATAATGCAATAAATAATCTTTTCAAAAATTTATAAAAGCAAAAAAAAAAAAAAAGAGGAAAATTCGAAATTGATAAAAATATAAAAATTTCTGTTCTAATTTACTGTAAAATTAATTGTTTTTCTATCATGTGGATTTTTTTTTTTTTTTTTTAAAGAGATTACAATGCGGGTGTTGAGGTATTTTTCATGATATTAATAATTTTTAATTACGAAAGGACAGGAATTTACTGATCCTCTTATGAAATCCAGGTTATTGGTTTTATAATCCATGAAGATAAATAATTCTCAATTGACTTAATATTGATAACGAATAATAGACATTTTTTAATTAAAGGAAATATTTCTTTTTTTATTTTCTAACGATTACAAAATAATTATTTAATTAGCAAATTAGTTTTTAAATATATTTTTTTCTCTGCTGTATTTTAGAAAACAATTTTTTTTTTTTTTAATTGACGTTATTTTGATATATTTTTTTTTTGGCAATTTTTAAAGACATTTTCTTTACTCAATTGTATTATTTTATTTTTTATTATTATTATTTAAATCAATATTATTTTTAAAGTGATCATTATTTGTTTTCCTCAACAGTTGAATTTTAATATAATCGTTATTTTAATTTTAATAATAATAAATTATTTAATTCTAAAAATTAGTTACTAATTAAATATTTTCTTGAATTAACATTTCATTTCAATTTTTTAGCCCTCGGTTTTGGAAAGTATTCACAAGGAAGATCCAACGTTCACAGGAAAAGGATATACGAGTTTAGCGATAATTTATGCAGTATTTGCATCCTGTAATTGGTTAGCGCCATCGTTTATATCATTAACTGGACCAAGAACAACAATTATTACCGGTGCATTTTGCTATATATTTTTTATAGCAACATTCCTTTGGCCATCAACAAATCTTCTCTATATTGCATCGGCACTTGTTGGTATTGGTGCAGCATTAATATGGACCGGTCATGGTCAATATCTCACGGAAAATAGCGATGTTGAAACAATGACACGTAATGCTGGATTATTTTGGGCAATTTTTCAACTCTCTTTATTTGGCGGTAATCTTTGTGCATTTTTTGCCTTCACCGAAGTGGAAATACAAGAATCAAAAAGAAGAATTGTCTTTCAAGTATTGACAAGTCTTGCCGTGATTGGTGGTGGTGTTTTATTATTAATGAAAAGTCCACCGCAAAATTTTGTTCTTGGCGAAGCTGAAGGTGTATCAAGTGCCGATAAAGAATTACGAATTCCAGAGAAACCAAAAGAAAAACCATTAATGGCTGCATGGCATGCAATTAGAGATGCATTTGTATTATTTATAACACCGCAAATTTTATTATTGTCATTGACATTTATTTATACGGGACTTGAACTTACATTTTTCTCATCGGTTTATTCGTCGAGTATTGGATTCACTGAGGGAATGGGCGAATCAAGAAAAAGATATATTCCATTATCAGGTATTTGCATTGGAATTGGAGAAGTTCTTGGTGGTGCAATTTTTGGAATTCTTGGGACAAAACGAACGAAATCATTGTCCGGTTGGCCAGTTGTTGGAGCGGGATTTATTATGCATTTATTTGTTTTTCTTATCACTTTACTAAATTTGCCGAATAATGCTCCCTTTGAGGTAATTATAATTTATAAAATTTATTAAAACAATTTTGAATTTATTATATAATAGAGTAAATATGATTTATAGAAAAATAATTAATATTTTAATTTTAGGATACAAATGATGTTGGATTTATAAATCCCTCGCCAGCGCTTGCTCTGGTTGGAAGTTTTGTTCTTGGCTTTGGTGATGCATGTTTCAATACTCAAATTTATTCACTTCTCGGTGTTCTCTATTCAAAGGAAAGTGCTCCGGCATTTGCACTTTTTAAATTTTGTCAATCAGTAGCAGCAGCCATTAGCTTTTTCTACAGTACATACATTGGTTTACATTTACAATTAGTGATTTTATTCTTGACAGTGATATTGGGAACTGGAGCTTTTTGCATTGTTGATTTAAGGAATAAAAGAGCCCAAAACGCTATGCAATCTGTGATAGACACAACACAATCGGAAGAATCGTGTGTCAGTGATTAATATATTATATATACTTTTCATAAGAAAGTAAACAAAATTTTAAAAACTAAAGCAATAATTCAAAATAGTTTTCAAATTATTGAAAACAAATATGATACTCGATATATTGCTGTTAATTATCTCGAGATTACAAGCAAGTTTTGTATATAAAAAGCAATATTTTTAAAGAAACGTTTTTTTTTTTATATAAATAAGTAAATGGAATATAATTTCCATTTAAAATTTAATTATTTGAGTTTAAAGATAATTATATTATTATGCATTTAAATTTAATATAATGTCCATCATCGTAAATATTCGAATCAAAATAATTTCATTTTTTTTTTTTAATTTTTTTAACTCGTGAAATACATTCCTTAGGTTCTTTTCATGAATTAAAAAAAAATATAACGTAAAGTAAAAGTAGTTAACACTAGGAATGATATTTCTGCATTTTCATGTATATATTTTCTTTGACTGCTCATTGTAAAAACAAAAATTTTTACTTCGTAGTTAGTAAATGTAACTTTGTAATTTAAAATGTAATTAATGAGTAGATGCACAATTTTTAAAGTTAAAAAAACTTTATTGCATTTATCAAGTTTTATTTAATAATGTCACTGATGCACGAAATTTTCCATTTTAGTTGTATTCAACTTGCAATATTTTTAACTAATTAATTAGCAATTGAATCGTCACTAATTAGTAATTGAATCTTTACTAATTAATTAGTTATTTAAAAGATGCCAAAAGTATAACAAAAAAAAAAATAAAACTTCCAATATAAATAAAGAAGTAAACAGCAATGCGAAATTGTATATATATATATAAATGAAGAATTATTTTGATTGTATTTTTAAAAAAATAACGCAAAAATTGTAAAATTTTAATGATATTACAATAATTGTAAAATTGAAACTAGTGAAATTATTTTTTAACTTTCTGAATGATTTTTACATTCTTTTTTTTTATTTATTTTTCTAAAATAATTTTTTTATTAAAACAAAAGTGAATAAAAATTTGAAATTGTACAATTTGTAAAAAAAAATTTATACAATTTTTTAAATCTAGAATTTATGTTTTTCATATTCATATTTAGATAACGATAAACATATAATATAGAAATATTGCTCAATTGTTATTAACTTAAAGGAATAGATTAAACAAATTGTGTTCATTTATAACAATTATTTGTTTAAATAGTTTTCTTATGTTAATGTTATCACGATATTGTATATGTATAAATGTTTATTATGAGGAAGAGAAAGAAAATTTTTTGGTGATGGAAAATAAATTTATATATATTTTTAATATTACATTTATATATTGTAATTTCTGTTATATTTTAATAATTTTATCCTAAATTTATTAATGTCAATTAAACAAAAAAAAAAAAAAAAAAATGATACTAAGTAATCTAAGAATTGATAAAATATTAATTTTTATTAAATAAACAATTAGTAAAATTAATTTAATGCACAATTTTGGTCATAAAAAATAAAAATATTTTTTCAACTAGGTAAATTCAAAAATTATATATTTTATTTAATTTTTGAAATATTTGAATTTTCTCACAAGCGGTATATACAAATTCAGTTTTGGTATATAAGGAGAAAGTGCCGACATCTTCAAAGGAAATGAGGAAAAACTTTTTCATGATTTTCCATGGATGCAACCATTATTATGGGACGTAATTCTGATCCTTTTTATAATTTTTTTTTTTTTTTTATTTTTAATGTTAAATATAAATAATTTTTTTAAAAAAAGTGAAACATTTTTAAACTGTTTTGATTTTAAATTTAATTGGAAGCAGCACTGTCGTTTTAAAATATTGCGCGGTAAAAAAATTTAAATTAAAAATTTTAATTTTATCCTTCTCTGAATTAGAAAAAAAAAATCGACTTTGTAAGCTTATTGATCTTTATAAATATAACGAATACGGGAATATTCACTTTTATGGCACTTCTAAAGAATTTTTTTTAAAGAATTTAAACCTGTAGGACAAGTTTTATCTATTCTCGAATGAAATGACAGGTTTATCGAGGTGAACAAGAATTTCGTTAATTCTTTTTCCTTCCAAAAATAACTGAACATATTTGAATAAGAATTCTTCTTATTTATTGAAAATTTTATTATTTTAATTACTGTTATTATTATTGTTTTTAACTATACTGTAAATTTGAAGCTAAATAAGTTGTAAATTAAGCAGAATTTGAAAATTACTTAATAAATTAATAGTAATTGATTTATCAATTAGTGTAATTCTATATTTATCAATCACAGTTCATTTCATTGTTAATTTATCCTTTTTTTTTTGTTAAAGAACACATTTTCCTTGATTTTGCATACACCATTCAGGTTGCAATGTATCACAATTGATTCCTTTTTTAATTAAACGTTCACGATGTCTTAAAAGTCTTTGCTCGGCAGATCTCCAACTTGATTCTGGATTTGTCCAAAGTCTTTCGGCTAATGCCGCAGCTCTTGGCCAAAATTTCATGTCCAACGATGAACTATCCACTTGTTCTGACCATAAAGCTGCTTCAGCTCCTATTAAAATTTCATATTTCCAAATTAATAATAAAAAAAAAATTGTATAATCAAAATAGAAAAAAAATGTTTAGAAACAATAAATTAAAAAATACTAAAAAACATATGAACAAATCAAGCAAAAATCTAAACATAAAAATAGCAATAGATTTCAATTTTTTTTCTTTTTACATAATATAAATATGTAAATTTTAAAGTGGAATAAATTAAGAATTACCGAGAACTAATTCTCTTTTTTCAGCCGTAACTGATTGATTAGCGAGAATTTTATATGGCGAATTATCATAAACGAGTTGCCAACCTTTGTAAGGTGAACACCAATTATTACCTTCTCCAACCCAAGAGCTAAATCTGAATAAAAATATATAAATTATACCTTTTTTTACGATTTTTAATAAAAAAAAAATAGTTGCAATAACTAAAAATATTCCAATTTAATTGTCTATAAAAAAAAAAAATTTCCAAACTCACCCACAATCCAAATAAAGAGCATCATAATTTGAAAAAATAATACGTAAATTTTTATCCAATAATCGTTTAATTGTTGAATCAAATTTATCCGTCCAAATTTGTACGATATATTTCTTTGGATCTAAATAATCGATATTCTCCTCATTTGTCAAATCACTTGTCCAAAGAATAGCGGGTAATTCTTTGCCATTATTTACTTTTGTCACTAAATTATATGCTCGATCTTGAAAATGTTTCCAAAGTTTAAAAAAATTTTTCTTATCTCTCGTCCAACCTTGGGATTCCATCCAATTGCCAATAGACTCCGAAGAATTCCAACAATTTATATTTATTTCATCGCCACCCATGTGAAATATATCGGGACGAAAAGCTTTCAAAAAATCTTTATAGATTCCTTCTAAAATCTCATACATTCTTTCACTGATTGGATTCAATTGTCCGCAAGGTGGTTCAACACAATAATTATTCCACGGTTCTGCATTAAAGCAAACAACAGCGTCGCCTTCAACCTATTTTAAATAAATTTCTATTAAAAAATAATTATTATTTCTATTAATAATTAATATTCTAATAATTATTATTTTATTTAAATAATTAATTAGAGGAGAAAAATATGACTCACCCATTGCCAACCCTCGCCAACGTGAGCGGGAGCATCAAATTCCGGTAAAATTCGAACACCATTAAGAAGTCCAAATTCAATAATTTCTTTCACATCATTATCGGTATAAATTTTCTCACGACTATAGGCTCCGTATTGCGAAAATTTTGGCCATGTTTTGCTGACAATTGGAAAACTGTGCGAATCCGTTATATGCCAATGTAGTGTATTTAATTTCGACATTCCCATACCGGAGATAGTTCGTAAAATTGAATTTTTATCCATGAAATTTCGACTTGAATCCAATAATAGTCCACGATAGGGAAACGCTGGTTTATCTTTGATAAGAGCAGATGATAAAATATGAATTTCATCTCGCAAATCATCCAAAACTATTAATTGAGACAATGTTTCCAAACCATGACGCGCTCCAAAATAGTTATTTGCAGTTATCATTGCGAATATCTAAAAAAATAGAAAACAATTTTTTTTTAAATAAATTACATTTATAAAAAATAAAAATTTTATTTACATATAATTATTTAAGTTTTATTAAATAAAAAACTTTACGATTAATTAAACATTTAATATATAATTAACGAATTGATTTTTTATAATAAAATTTTGCAAATTATTCCCTCGTAATGAATAATTTATCATTTCTTGTTTACCTTCTTTTCTTGGCTCTCTGACAAATGTAAAGTGTAGGATTCATCAGTGTCGAGTGTCATAAAAGTATCATCGGATTCAATTTCAAAATTAACAATTAACGTTTGACCAGTTTCTTTTTTTTTTACAAGACGATTAATATTTTCCTTGAGATTAAAAAAATTTTGATTTAAAAGTTCTCCTACTGGTGTATTTAATTTAATACCAACAATTTTTATTTTCTCTGGATTCAACGCAACTGTACGTGAATCCATTGAATAATGTTTTGTCGGTTTTGGCCAAACAATACCATCGCCACATATTAATTGACAAGTTGATAATGATTTTGGATTAGTGATATTTGATGTTAATGATGATTTTTGACAAAATCCCGCTTTGCATTCGTAGTGCCATGGACTGAAATGGAAAAAAAATAAAATTCACTTTACAACCAAAGGAATACATGAGAATAATAATTTACTTTCACCTTTCACAACATAAAAGCCTACTTTTAAACTTGAATAGATTTTATTAAAATTATTAATATTTTTTTTGTAAATAATTATCAAAATTCAAATTTTATCAATTTGTTAAAAATAAATAAATATTGAAAATAACAAGTTTTGGTTATTTAAATAATTATAAAGAGAACATAAATATTTAAAGAAAATAATTTAAATTACTTTTTAAAAATATAATTTTAAAAAATTGGATTTTATCAATAAATAAATAAATTGAAAATAACAAATTCTAGTCATTATTTAATAATAATAATAAAGTGTACAACATAGAAATATTTAAAGAAAACAAAATTATTCTTACCTAAGAAATTCTGCATTGTTGACAATAAATAATTGTGATGAGAGAAGCGTAAATAAAAAAAACATCCCGCCAGTGATAATCAACATTGCGACTGAACGTTGAGAAAATTTCAGCCTTTTTAATCGAAACATCATTCTCCCACTTTTTAGTTCGAAGGAGAAGAGAAAGAGAGAGTGAAAGGAGGGGAAACGGTGGGTTTATAATTTCATTTTACAAGAAATTGTACCAAACACTTTAACTCCAATAATAAACTTAAGAAACTGAATGCACACAACAAAAAAAGGAAATGTAATTGTCAAGATAACATTCATATTCAAGATAAGTTGACACATTGATTATAAAGACATGCATTCATTATTTTTGAATGAATTTTCAGGTTTATATCTATAACTAGATATCCCCTTTAAAAAAATTATTTATTAAATAAAAAATGAAATAATTTGAAAATATAATAATTATTATATATAATTAAAATTAAATACGTTTAAAAAAAAACGTCTCGTTTCTTATTCACCACCAAAACAAATAAAAAACAATTTTGTTGAAAATGTAAATAAAATTAAAAGCTTATCAATGAAAACAGGTTTTTTTTTTAATGTCTAAATTTAGAACAACTGTTAAATTTTTAATATCTCTTATTATTAAATTCTTAAATTAAGAAATTCGAACGAGAATTAATCATTAAAAAATATCAATTATATTATTATTATTGAATTATCAATAACAAATAGCATATAAATTAAAGTGTAGAATATTTAATTTGAAATAAAATCTAAAAATACTTAATTTATTCATCGCCGCGAATTGCTCGATATTTCGCCAATTCATTAGGAAGAACTCGATTGAATTCCACTAGTAAATTTGCCTTCAATTTCCTGTAGCCATCAATTTTACCTTTGACTTCTTCATTTTTTGCTAGTGCCCGTTCAATGCAATCTTTTGTATAAAGTTGTGGATTTTTACCCTGATCGATGTAACTATAAAAAAAAAATTATCAATTCTTATAAAAGTTGTATTTTTTTTATTTATTTATTAGTATTCATAATAAATTGTGGTCCATTTTAATAATTTAATAAAAAAAAAATTATTACTTACTCAAAGACTTCTAATGGAACGTGAACATCTTTAACTTGAGATTTCAATTTGTCAATTTCTTGCAAACCAGTAACAATTCCCTGTCTGTTATAAATATTGTCAATTAATTTTTTTTTAAACACACGCAAAAATATTAGTAATAAATTTTCTAAATTATTTTGATTTTATTCAACAAATTACAATTTAAAAATGTTTCACTATTAGAAATTGAAAGAGAAAACGTTAAATAGAAAGTATAACAAAAATAAAATAAAATCGAATGTTAGGTTATGATTTATTAATCAAAAACCTTCTAAAGGAATTAGTTATTTTTGTAAAAAAAAAAAGTAGATAACAATTATAAATTGTTCATGAAAAGGAAAAACAATACTTCGTTTAATAAACAATGATTTGGTTATTACGAAAATGATATGCGTGAAATCATAAAGATAACAATTAAAACTGTTTTTAAATCGAAAAAAAAAACTTACATTTTTTGATTCAGTACATTTTGTCCTTGTGGTTGAAAATCACTTACAACTATTCTAGTTAATCTCATATTTTCTATAAATAATTCTAATTTTAATTCCAAATCTTCCAGTGGGGATGCCATTTTTTGGTGATGTTTACAATTTTTGGTTTTCTAACCTACAAAATCACTGTACTACTGTCATGAAGTTAGTCTAAAAACATGTTAGCCAACATTAAAGTTTATGGTCTTTCGACATTAGCGCTTCATGTGATCATTTTTCTAATTAATCATTAGTTTTAAAAGCGCTATCTTTTAAACTTTATTAACCATGGTCAACTATGTTTATAATTAATAATTTGTTTACAATTTCTTTATTTCGTTTATTTATTAAATAATTAAATGTAAATAGTGAATGTGATTTATATTTCAAATTTACAACCTCAGAAAATCAATAATTTAATGTTATTTTCATGCTTTTCTCCAAAAAATTTGATTTTTTATAACCTCCAAAAGTAAAAGAGAAAAACGAAATTTTAAATGTAAATTGAATTAAGTTTACAATAAATAAAAACAAAATGTCACTATCTCCACAAGATTTGGTACAATTGTTAGACATTGTAAACGAGGATAATGTTAACATTAATTTTGAAAATCTTTCAAATCAATTACATCAAAAATTTCCCAAGGAGAATCATTTTAAGGTATTGGCAGAAATTTAATTTTTGCAATCATTACAAATTTTTCGATTTTTTTTCATAATATTCCAAAAATTGATTGCTAATATTTATTATTATGTTTTATTTTTTAGATTGGAATGACTCTTTTATTATTATTACAACACAATGATCTTCTTTCTAATCAAATTCAACGTGTTATTGCCGTTGGTCTTTTATACGATCTTTATCGTGGCGAATCAATAGCCACGACACCATTTGCATCAGTATTTGTACAAATTTTAAAATCACCCGAGGAATCAACAATTGTCGGAAAAATCAATAATCCCAGTCATGTGCCAGCATTATCACAATGTGAAAAAAATTTACTTGCCGGATTATTGGGTCCAAAAAGTAATGAAATAATGAAAAAATCACCAAGACAAGTGATTGATGAACTTTATTTTGTACCATCGGCACAACCTGATTTAACAAGTTTACAATTACAAATAATTGAACGTCAATCGGAACTTCCGGCAATGACAAAATGTGGTAATCCAGTAATTTTACCAGAAATTGAACATATCAATTCAAAAGATAATGATAAAAATGCAAGTAAAAAAATAATTGACGAATTAATTACTGGAAATCCACCGCTTTTTGAACAAAGTTATCGTCCAGAATTTCTTCGTTTAGCACCGCCACTTTATCAAACAATGAGCAATCCAATATGGATGAATTTCACTGAACCAACACAATTTACAATTGAATACGATACAAGTATGTGTGTTTCAAATTGTGCCGGTGCAAGACGATTAATGAGTAAAGCATTTAAAAGTGTATTAACATTACAACAACAACAATATCTTGTCACTGTTCTTGAAAAAGATCCAAAACTTGTTTATCATATTGGCTTAACACCAAATAAACTTCCTGATTTAGTTGAAAATAATCCATTAATTGCCATTGAGGTATTATTAAAATTAATGCAATCAAGTCAAATAACTGAATATTTTAGTGTTCTTGTCAATATGGAAATGTCATTACATTCAATGGAAGTTGTTAATCGTTTAACAACAACAGTTGATTTACCAACTGAATTTGTACATCTTTATATTAGTAATTGTATATCAACATGTGAAACAATTAAGGATCGTTATATGCAAAATCGACTTGTTCGTTTGGTTTGTGTTTTTTTACAATCACTTATTAGAAATAAAATTATTAACGTTCAGGAATTATTTATTGAAGTTCAAGCATTTTGTATTGAATTTAGTCGTATTAGAGAGGCCGCTGCATTATTTCGATTATTAAAACAATTGGAATCGGGAGATGTTGGTGGTCTAAGTACTCCAGTGACTAAAAGTAAAATAAATATGAGTTGAGTGAATAAACAATTTTTTGTGAATATAAATAAAGATAAATTTGTTTTTTAAAAAAAAAAAGAAAAATTATATTTTTATCACGGAAAAACTACGTAAAGTACGTAGTACGAGTTTTTTTTCCGTTCATTTGTAGAATATTATTTAATTTATAAAACTTTTTTTTTTTTTTGTTAATTGTAAAATAATAAATTTGTCGAATTTGATAATTATAAAAAAAAATCAAGTTTTGTATAATTTAAAGTCTATACTATTTTCAGTGGATCCTTTCCTTTTTGTACTCTTTTTCGTTAAAATTACGTTTCATTTTGTTATAAAAATAAAATTATTCAGCATAAATGGAATATTTTTAAAAAAATTTAAACATTTTCGTTATCATATATTATATTCTTATAATTCGTACATTTTCAAGTTTTTTTTTTCTTTTTTTCTTTAAATACACTTATGGAAGTCATACATACGCCCATTCAACAAAATTGACGCTGTGAATATATTGTATCAGTAAATATAATATATATATATATATATAGATAATTCAATTGCTCTGTGTGTTAATTTGTTATTTTGTTTTTAACAATTTTTTGTGTTGTTTAACAACAATTTGCTACGTAGTTTCTTAACAAACTGTTTTTCGAATGAAATTATTAAAAAGTTTTTCCAACTAGAAACATGCGATTTTTAAATTTTTTTTTAATAAAGTTTCTAAAATTTTTCACATCTTGTTAATAATTTAAATATTAATGTAGTAATTTTTTGTTGAATACAATTTTTCTCGAAAATTGTAATTCTTTTTTTTTTTCATTCGTAATAACAATCCATCAAATGCTGAGTAAAATTAATATAAAAAGAAGTGTAATACACTTTAACAATTTATTTCTATATCATTCATTTTGTAAATTTCGATTGGAAGAAAGTTAGGAAAAATATTGAAAATATTAATTGAAATTACATAAATTATGTAGAGATCAACGTAGATAGTTCAAAAAAAAAAATGTACACTTTTATAATATCGCTTAATTATATTTTGTAAAATTAAAAAAAAATTTAAAGTCTTGATCAAAAACATGTTCTTACTTCTTTAAAAAAAAAAGAGAAAATCTTTTAAAAAATAATTTTTAATTGTTAAAAATACAATTTCCACTTCTTTTACTTTAGTAATATTAATTTTTATAAAAATGAATAATTTTCGTTTTTTTGCATAATTTTAATAATAATTTAATTAAATGAAAACGACTATTTTTTGTTTGCAATTCAGTTTCATATAATGTCTCAAGAGATAATGATCCATAATATTTGGCATTAATCACTGATTAAATTTAATGAAAGAAAAAGAAACGAAAATGAGAATCTTAAATATGTATGTGAAATTGCAAATAATTATTTATATAAATTCATTCATTCATAAATCGTGTTAACTGATAATATACAAATAGAAATAGTTTCAACGTTGTGTATAAGTTACTATAAATGACTGTAAAATGTAAATTATAAAAAAAAAAAAATTGATATACTTGATTGTTGACGATTTTTAATAACACTATAATAAGTAATATGTACACAATCTATTTCTATTATCTCTTAATAACAATAATGAGACACATCCTTTTTTTTAAATATTATTTACAAGAAAACAGATTACATGACGTAAAACAATTATATAAAATTTAACAAGTTATTTTGAAAGCAAAAACGGTTTACATTTTTCTCATTTTGAAAATTGTTTTATATTTCAAAATGAGTTTTTTTTCAAAACCAAATAAATTTTTAATTAATTCTAAATTATCTTTTTCAAATTCAAATTATTTTTTAAATTTAATTAATTATCTTTGATACATAATGATAATACATCAAAATTTTTTTTGGATTATTATTGAGATTTAAATTCGGAACTAGGATTTTTGAGTTTCTTAAGTTTTTTCGTATTTTTTACTTTAATGATACTTTTCTTATCTTTAATGTCAATTTTATTTGCTTTTACTTTCATTCCCTTCATGTGCATTTTCATTTCTTTTTTAGTGACTTTCTTACCTTTCAAATTTTTCATAGCGTCCTTGTTGGTTTTTGTTTTTGCTTTCATGGGATTTGTAACTGATGACAAACCGGGCCTTATCCCGGGCCCGGTTAGCTTATACTAGGCAGGCATTTTCACTTTTTTCTTTTTGCCCTTCTTCTTTTTCTTATCATGATGAAGTTCCTGTTTTTTCGATAGACACTGACGACAATACCAATCTTCATTTGATGCTGGCGGTATGTGCATACCAACGCATACCCTTAAAAAAAAAAAATGATTTAAAAATTATAATTTTTATTAAATATTATAAAAAGAAAAAATTTATATTTAACTCACCAATGATACCAAGCATCGCAATCATCACATCCTACCATTGGTGATCCATCATCCTGACTTCCGCACGCAGGACAAATCCAAATTTGATTTCCACTTTCATCCTGTAACACTCGTTTCGTAAGAGGAGAAAAAAAAATATCCAAAATTTAACAACCTAACCCATCCTTAGATTTTTAATTAATATTTTCTCTAAATGTCACAAATATGAGAAAAAAAAATTTTGTTTCCTTTGGTAATTGATATTTCTTTTATAAGGAGTCAAAGTTTATTAAATGTAATGAATGAAACTTTTGCTCATGCTATAAGGGATTAGCGATTCGTTCTGTGAAAATGAGACTGTTCTTTTTTTTTTTTTAAAAACAGTATATATAATGATTTCGTTAAAATAATGATTTATGAACAATGTATTGTAATATGACGCATGTGAACGTTATAAACGCAGATTTTTAGAAATTAAATTTCTATATGCTTGACTTGTCTCTTCTTTCTTTCATTTTTCCATTATTTATAAATAATTTTCCCAATATTTTCATATCTTACAAATTAAACGTAAATTAGGATTAAAATTGCCTGCAATCATTTTTTTTAGTTTTTTTACTAATTCTCTAAAATTAAATTTTAAACTAAAAAGAAATGATAACAATAATTGTAAAATATTTTCAATTTTTATGTATTTAAACATAATGAATAATTACTATTCAATTTTATAATTTAATTTTTATTTAACTGCAAGGAAGGGAAGGGAAAAAAAACTTACCGCAGGAGCTGTTGGTGGTGAAATCAATATGTTTCCTCCATTTTCCTTATCTTCTTTTGTATCTTCCTTTTTAGTAACTGCAGCTGGTTTCACCTCTGTACCGTGAAAACTGATTGTTATATACCTAACAGCTTGGTCATGCTAATTTTCTTTTTTTTTTTTAAGCAAAAAACCATGCGCTTTCCATGCAACTAATTTTTTTTTTTAAATATTAAAATTAGCTACTTGCTTCTACTTTAGTAGCGGTTCTACAAAATTTAATTATTTAAATTCAACATAAAGAAGACAATGAAAAAGAATTTTCTAAAGAAAAACCTAAGAGGATTGTAGAAGAAAAATTGTTTATTACTTTTTTTAATTTTCGAAATTTAAAATAGAAACCTCCTCTAATTAATGGAAATTAACACTTATTTTAATACACAATTTAAACCAAATCGGGATTAAAATCAATTTATAAAAAATTTGTTTAATTATTATCAATTTACGAAAGTCAATTAATATTAAATTTTTAATTATTAATTGCTTTTTATTGGTGCGAACAATCCTTTATAATATTTCTTCCATTAGATGTATTAGAAAAAAAAGAATCTTTTCAACATTTAATTTCACAACTACGTATATAATAATAATAATAATAATAATAATAAAAAGCTAGCTTCATCCTATGTACAAAGCATTGCAAAGAAGAGACAAGTATAATATTTAACAAAATTTTTAATACACGTAAAATTAAAATAAAAAAAAATTTTGAGGCAAGCATTAAAAATGTATGTCAATTTTTTCACAATAAATCATTATAAGATTCTTAATATTTTTGAAATTTTTATATTTTCAACATTAGAGTTGAAAAAAAAAGATAATTATTAATTTAAATGTTTTTTTTTTCGAGTTAACAGCAATTTTGTGTTTTATTTTTTCCACAAATGTTTCTTTACAAATCTGTTAATACTATAAAAATTTTTCTAAGTGAAAAATTATAGATATGCATAAACAAAACATTTTTGGAAAAATTATCATATCACTGTTAAATTATTGAATATAAATCATAAATAGATCACTCATATGTAAAATAAATAATGAATGATTTCTAATTAAATTCCTTTATTTAGGAATAAAAATGAAAATGTTTTTTTTTTTTTTGGAAAAAAAATTATGACAACTAATGAAATGAATTATTAGATGTAATGATGGCTCACGTGACCAATTAATGTGGACAATTTAATTTTCTCAAACTGAGGTTTTTTAAAATGGAAATTGAAAAAAAATTAGATTATTATCCGATTCAAAATTTTTTAATTTAAATAAAAATTTAAAAAAAAAAAAAAAAATTGACAAATTCAGTGCATTTGTAAATTTTTGATAATATAGAAACAAAAAGTTACGAATTCAAGTCAAATAGAAAAATGACTACAAAAATAGTAACTATCAAAGAAATTAAAAATAAAAGATCAAATTTATATATGCAAACATAAGAAAAGGTAGAATAAAAATATAAATTTTCTAATTTCTACAGAATTGACAATAGCGCATTTTAAATAAAAGAAAAAAAAATAGAAAAGAATCAACTAAAAGAGAAGCTGTACCATCACCACAGAACACAGAAGAAATGTCAAGAAAAGAGAATGAGGGATATGGAATATGATGAGAGGGTGTATGATCTTCTCCATTTACAGCCTGGATGGGTTGGGCTGACTTTCTTTTACAAAAAAATATTTCTGCGAATTGTATAAAAATTCACTGTTTTTTTTTCTTTCTTTTGCGACATAATCACAGAAAATAAATTTGCTAGAATTATTTTAAACGATCTGCTGAATATATGAAAAAGATATATAATTTTGTAAATTTTAATTTAAAAAATTATATTTATCAATATAATAAGTAATATAATAATATTTATATTATAATAATTATTATAAAATAATATATGATTTAAAATTAAAAAATGTTAATTTTTAGCAATTATAATATAAATAATTATTATTTAATTAAAAAACTGTAAAAGATAAACTTTTGAAAATGTGTTAAAATATCTGATTTTAGAATTAATTTTTGTTTTTGTTTTTTTTAAGAAGGTAAGAAAAATACTTACAACATAGAAAAATGTTGATTGCTGCTGCTGCAATGGAGGACTTGGAGTTTTAGGATAGGAATAAGGAGGAGGTGATGCAAGGGGTTTAAATATAGGTCTTTTTCGAGGAGTGGATGAAAGTGATAAACTAGAAGAAAAAGAAGATTCTGAAGAGAGAGCGGGATATAGGTCTAAATTGCCCTCCTCTGTTTTCTTACTTGGTGCCTTCTGTTTTGGCGGCCGTGTAACAAGTGCCGAGATTTTCGCCAATTCTGGACTTGGCTCTCTTTTCATTGTCTCATCTTCTGGTTTCTTCAATAATGGCTTTATTGTTCTAGAATATTAATTTTATTAAAGAAATAATAATTAAATTGAGAGATTAAATATTAAGAGTAAAAAGTTTTCAAAACAAAATTAATTCTTACATTTTTTTCATTGGAGCAGCATCGGGTGTGGGAGGTCTTGGAGATGATGTTCCCAATTTGAGGGTGAGTTTTGGAACTCCAATTTCATGTGGAATTACAGCCTTTTCTTCTTTCTGTATATTATTAATGTTTAGGAAAAATTTGAAAAAAAAAAATGTAAAATGAAAATTAAAAATTTTAATAAAATAATTACCACAGTCTTTTTGTTTAAATCTTTCTCCTTGCGCTTTTCGCGTTTCTCCTTTTTCTCTTTGATTTTCTCCAATTTCTCCTTCTTTTCACTTTTTTCCTTCTTTATTTTTTCACCCTTCTCTTTGTGTTTCTCTTTTTTGTCCTTCTTTTTCTTGATTTTATCTTTTTTCTCTTTTTTATGCTCCTTTGATTTCTAAAACAATCATAGGGAATTAATATTTTTCAAAATTATAATCGTAAACTTTAAAAAGAAATATTTTCAGAAATTTTTTGTAAAATTGTTTTGTAAAAAATTGAGAGAGAATTAAATTGAAATTATTTAAAATAATTATTAGAGTACAATATATTAGTTTTTAAAATAATGTAATTTTCAAAGAATTTTTGTTGAAGATTACAAAATTATTTGATTTTTCAATGATTTTAATGGAAATTTTTAAAGATAATTTAATTTATAACGATTTAACGATGTTGTAAATAATTGAAATTTCGAAGAATTTTAATGGTAATTTTTGAAGAATTTGAATTAAAATTATTGATTAACGTTTAATTGCAATTTTTTTTTCGTAGTTATTGAATTTCAAAAAGAATTTTAATTTTAAATATTTAAAATAATTGAACTATTTAGAAATGTTATTAATTATTTTAAAAAATAATTTAATTTTTGAATGATTTTAATTAAGATTTTTCAAATAATTGAATTAGGAGAATTTGTCTAAACAACTGAGAAGAGTAATTTATATTAATTAATTATCAATTAATTTACTTAAAAACTAAACAATTCTAGCAGTTTTTCTTTACATTTTTTTTTTAGAAAAAGTAGCATTCAAAATCAGTATTAAAAAAGTAGTCCTGTCGAAAATAAAAATACTATCAAAAAATTAAAGTACTTTAAATAAGAAACCAAAAATAATCCATACCTTATCGAGTTTTTCCAATTTTGCATGTTTAATCGGCACTGATGGTACAATAGGCAATGCCAAAGGAGGAATAATTGATGGTGTATTTATCACAGGTGATGATACTACTGGTGAAGCAACAGGTAATATTAATTCTTTATCCGGTAATTTGATTTTTTCAATTTTTTCTTTCTCTAGTTTTTCGGATTTAACGGATGGCGGCGGAATAATTGGCGCATAATGCGATGGGACAATTGTTTTTTCACGTTCCACTGGTTTCGATTTCACCATTGAATAATCATCAAGTTTCATTGGTGGATTAAGAAACCGTGGTGGTATCGGTAAATTCGCCATACCTGGATGTGAATGTGTTATACCTTTGGGAAGTGGGAGAGGAAAACGTGGAAACATTGGATGTCCAATTGGAGGTGGAATGAGACCTGGAGATGGAAATGGTGGAAAAAATGAAAATGGTAAAAGATTATGTGGTTCACGTAATATGGGAGGTGGTTGAGGAGTTGGAGGTGGTGGATGATGATGATGATGATGATGGGGAGGAGAATCAGGACGTTGAGGGATTTGAGATTTAGATCTATCCATTATATCCATTTCTAATGGTTCCACCATCATTTTTGCCTATGGGAGAAAATTTTTTTAAAAATTAGTAATTATAAAAATTAAATGTGTTTTTTTTAAAGTTTTTTTTTTTTTTGTAAAAATTACCTTTTTAGAATTGAGTGTTGATTTGGGTGTTTTGACTTTTGGTTCTTTTTTCTTGGTGACTCGTTCACGTTTCTTTTTCTTTGGCTCCACGGGCACTGGGAGGCTGAGTTCGGGAGTTTTTGGAGTGCTTGGCGTACCGGGAGGTGACATATTATCGAATGTGTAAGCATAGGTGGCGGGACTTTGAAATTCAGATGCATCACCAACGGGGAGTACAACATCAGGTGTGTGTGGAGTTTTTTTCTCCTCACGTTTTATTTCACCGCTGTCAATTTGATTACGTTCGCCAATATCGATTGGCGAATTTTCTCTCGAGATTTTTAAATCTTTGTGTTTTTCTGTTTCTTTCTCGGGTTTGGAAATCTTTTTAAATATATTGAGTTTTCGCTTGTCAGGTTCGGATGGAAGTTTATCAATATCTTGTTTTTTATCGGGCAGTGGTGTAATGACATTTGATGGGATTTCGATAATTTTTTCTGTTTTCACTTTTGATGGAATTTTTTGCGACTTAGGACTGGCGGTATTTTTAGATTGCGGTGTTTTTGTCGTTGATGGTGTACCTGATGGTCCAGGTGTTTTTCCGCCACCTGGCTTTAATGCTTTTAATTTGGCCAATTCCTTCATGCCAGTGAGCTTTTTCACCTCGTCCGGTTTAAATAGTTCTTTAGCACGATTTTTCTTTTTATTTTCTTTATCCAATTTACGTGCCTCTGGTGTTTTCTTGATGATTTTCTTTGGTTTTTTGTCAGACTTTAATTCTGGTGGAACCATGGGATAAGAACTGGGTGGGGGCGAATCAGATCGTACCTGTTGAGGAGTACGAGCTTCAGGGAGTTTACCTTCACGTGCTGGTGACAAAAATCCTGATGTCGTCATCATGACACTGTGAATCTCGCGCAATGGTCTTCCCTCCTCGGTTAATTTTGGCCGTTTTGTTATTGGACTTTCAAATGAAACTGGATCACCGGGACGTTTGAATACTCCTTGAGGTGACATTCCGTGAGCTGTTAAATTGTCCGATACACCTGCTGGTAATCCATTTGATTCCGTTGACTCCGATACACCGTTTGTTAAATTTATCTCCGATTTCTCCGTGGGATAATCTTCTATAAAAATAGTTAAATTAATTTTACAATTATTATTATTAAAATAATATAAATATAATTGTAATACAATATTTACCTTCAGTTTCAGGATACATTGCCGGTAAATGTTCATGAACATGTACGGGTCTAGTTACAACTTCACGACTACCGGGCTTCAAAAAATTCAAATGATTTTCTCTAGGTATAGGAAGTTTTGGTACTGAAATCGGACATGGAATTGAATCAACATTTCTCACATATTCCGATAATTCTTCAATATTAATATTCATATGACGAAAAGCTAATCCCAAATCGTCGAGATTTGGTTCCGTTCTTCCCACTGTTAATAAGGTAAAGTTTTACTATAGAAGTTAATTAAAAATAATAAAAAAAAAAAAACAGAAGAAATACATACCAACTTCACAATATTGATGTGTGAGTCTTGATATTCGCAGAAGATATTCATGCATGAGATCAACCAAAAATTCCAAAGGAGTGGAATTAATGGAATGCCAACCGACAGTTTGGCACATTTGAGCCACGACAAGTCGCAGAACACTGCGACTGTAGTCCGTCGTCATTTTGCAACTTAAACTGCTAACAAAGTCATTTAATTATTTTTTTTTTTTTTTTAGAAACAGATTAATAGAAAACTAATTTTTAAGGTTTTAAATTGAATCAATAAATATATTCATTCATTTTGTCAACATAACCTATAAAATCAAAAATATTTAATAAATCCAGAAAAATCTTAATCTTTTTAAAGATTAATTAACCATTTTTTTCTACTAATTTGAAAGATAAAATATTTCCTCTATAAGGAATCAGTAACCATTTTCATAAGTAATTTCTGAGATAATAAATTTACATTTTATAACTATTGTGAGTAGAATTGTTTATCAAAAAGTGAAATAATTAGAAAACTATTAAAAGACAAAATTTCCTGAATGATGATGGTTTTTCAAGCATGGAATCCAGTAAATACGTGGTGAATACAATTAAAACTTAATTACCTACCCCCAAAAGAAGTGAAAAGTAAGGTTAAGAATACATTTTTAAATAATATGTACTTTTAAAAAGAACTTACAATCTCTTTTCAAAAACATATGGTGTAATTGTAGTTAATAAATTTTCAAAAAAAAAAAATCTGACAGAGGAATGTGTACAATATAAAAAGAAATTATGTCTTACCTGATTTTCTAAAGTGGAGCATGAAATTAACGACTTCTGAATGGTATTAACCTCACTTCCATAGCAAAATTATATACAGAATATGAAGTCATTCATTTAAGTTATATTTTAATGTTGTTAAACATGTATATATATTATTTAAAGATAAATAAATATCGAGAATGTCTTTCACCTTCTCTCACATCACGAGCGTCCATCGCCATTTTGTTTAACACTGACTAATTTTAAAGATTTTAAATATGGAGTTCAATTTTTCATTATCATTATTTTGCATATTTATTTTTTTTTTTCAATGAATTGTTAAAAAAATTGTTAAAAGATTCTTGTAATTCAATTGTAATGTAATTATTTAAGGAGTTTATTTAGAAAATTATATGTTAATAATATTACTATAAAGATAAATGTTATGATTAAATACTTATCTTCAGACAGTCTTGTTGTTTCCTACATTATCAACAACCTTTTCAAATTTAAAAATTATAACAGAAAAATTAAATAATTTTGTTTATAAATAATATTAATTTATTAATAAATATGAGTTTATTATTAATTTTTTAAATAAATTGTTTATTTGATAAATAAACTAAATTTGTAAATAGTTAAGATTAATTAATTCTTGATAAATGAATGATAATTAATTTTCTGAAAAATAGAAATAAAAACTAATTCTTTATTTCTCAATTTAATTTATTTACAAAAAAATGAGGATCACATTTTCTTATTCTATCACAATGTGATAATTATAATCTACATACCCGATTTTACCGTAATGCTACTATTTTTTTTTTCATAAGTACCAAATAAGTACCTATACATCAGCCTTATGGTTGAATAAATACATATTTAAAATAAATAAATATAAATAAATAATAAATATTTTGATACAAATAAAAATGTAATACATCTCTTTACCGGCATTTCTCTTTTCCAAATTTGTCTTTTAATTTTAAAGTTTAAAATTATTACAAATTTCAAAAAATAGAAGTATTTAAATAATTATTTGAATTTAAATGAATAAATTATTAAATAAACAAAATTTCAGTTTTCTATAATTAAATTACTTATTTAGTCTTCTTCTATTTCAACTAAAATAAATGTAAAAATTTTTTATAATTGAAAAAATAAATAATAATAAAATATAAATTAATTATAATAATTTTAAATTCAACTATTTAAAAATCTGCAACAATTTCAACCTTATTAAAAAAAAAAGACAATTGAAAATTATAAAACAAAACAAAAAATGTTAAAAACAAATTTGTTTCATAATATCAGATTTTCATTTTTTGCCAAAATCTTTTAAGATTTTGTATCAATGAAGAAAAGGGAAATTAGGCGGCAGCAACTGGCACAGGTGGAGGTCGAAGCATCGACCTGGTAGCGGAAGAAAGTTTTTGTGACACTAAATGAGCAATATGTGAAGATCTTTTCCAAACGAATTCTCGTGTTCTGTCATGATCATCTGCACTTTCAACTCGAACCTAAAAAAGAAAAATAATTAGATCCTCCTTTTACTTTTTTCAATTTTTTTTTTAACCACACGTATTTAAAAACTATATTACACTGAGAAAAAGAAAAATATATTTGACCTAAATTTCCACTTTTTTTTCTAAATTTTTACTTTCTCTTCGTTAATTTTTTTTAAACATTTTAATTTCCTTTTTTTTCATCGAAGAAAAGGAAATGATTCCTTTTTTTCTCGTTTATAAAAAAAAGTCAAATAGAAATATTTTTCTCAATGTTATACCTGTTTGGGTTGTAAAACACGAATAGAGTGCAAAGTAGCTGCTCCACCATTAAGAACACGAAGACTCAATCTTCCAGACATTTCGGCAGTTGTTGCTGTTGCACTTCTTAATTCTTTTTTCGCCGATCTACCAAATTCTTTTTCAACTTTTAACATTAATGGTCCTAAACTAAATTTCGTTTTTATTGTTGTATGATCCTTCATCATATTTACAGAAACATCACCAGATCTTTGAAGTGATGCTAATCCATAAAGTGTTGCTTTTGCTCTTGGTTTACTTTTTTTCGATTTGTTCTGAAAGAATTTTTTGAAAAAATAAATTTTCTTTCAAAAAAAAAAAATATCTGATTTTTTGTAAAAAAAAAAAAATTGGAATATTAGAAAAAAACTGACTTTGTTTGAGGATGATGAAGAAGATGTGGTTGGTTTGACAGTGGGAGCAATTTTCGATTTTGTTTTTGTCTTAGTTTTATTTTTAGGCTTCGTTTTCTTCCTTTTGGAAGAATTTGAAGATGGAGCTCGACGACCAGTTGCTGATTGAATAGTGACAACTTCAATTAATTCCTTATTATCATCATCAATAATTGAAGGTGTTATTGTTTGCATAATTGGAGTTGTACTAATCGGTGAAGTTGAATCCTTTGAAAATTCCTCCATTTTCTGCGAAAAAAATTTTAAATTATTGAAAAAAAAAACAATAATTAAAAAATAATAATCAAATCAGCACAAACCTTTGCAACTGTAGAAAATCTCAGTGATGAAGTTCCATTTTTCAATTCAACTGAATTATCAGAAATTGTTGTTGTTGATCCCATAGCACTTTTTCTCTTTCCTTTTTTATTTGACTTTCTTTTGGAATTTTTCTTCTTGAATTTTGTTTTATTCGATTTTGAACTGGAATTTGGATTACTTAATTTCACAGTAACTGGATCATAATTGGTGCTTAATATTTTATTAATACGTCCTAAAATATTGTCAACAAATCGATTGTATTTTGTCACATAAATACTCGTCACATCACTTTTTGGCCGATTGGGAGACTTTAACATTCCTAAAAAAGAAATTTAATTTTTTACAATTATTTAAAAAATAAATAATTAAAAAAAGAACTATTTTCAAAATATATTCAAAAATGAAAATTTATTAAGAATAATTAATCATTTAGAAATTTATTGAATATATTGAAAATGTCAATCTCTGAATAGGAAATCATCATAATAGGCGTCGAGCGGATAAGAGGAAGTTGTTGAGACCATTTAACGATTGTAAACGATGATCGGAAGCCTACTTTAAAGAAACAATGTTAACGGTATTTACCGGTCTACCGGAATTCTTTTAACCAAACAGGTCTTTCATCTGGGTCATAACTCGCTTCCTCTTCACCTACCGACCTACCTAGACAGCACAGTTGCCTTTACCTTTCAAAAAGAATCAAAAACTCTCCTCGCATCATTGATAATAATAATAATGAGAGGGGGACACTTTCATCGAATCAATGATGCGTTCAATTTTTTTTTTTATTATTATATAGAGCGAATTTCATCGATCAGAGATTTTCTCATCACAAAAAAATTTTGTCTGTTTGATATAATTATTATAATCATAATTTGCCAAGTGAAGATGATTTTACAATAAGTAGGTAAATGTGCCACTAAAGAAAATTGATGGAAAAATTTTAAAAAGTAAATTTAAAAAAAAAATCTTAAAGTAAAAAAAAAAATACAATTTTTCAAAAAAAAAAAATTAATTTTCAAATGAAAAATTGTGTGGTTAAAAAAAAAATTATTTTTAAAAATGTCCTATTTTAATTTTATAATTAAGTTTTCACTAAAGTCAAGAAGTCAGTAAAGTTTGTCCATGACCCACAAATTATTTGTAGGTCAGGGTCGCGGTGAAGGAATCCCTGATCAATCCTTCCACACTCTCCGGGTCACTGGTCCCATTCCTGAAGAACACGAAAAGAACTTCAAACAAATGGGGTGAAAGCTGTTAAAAAAAATAACGACGTCTTTGGCCTCTTTAAAACCAATAATATATGGAATTCGATGAAAGTTTCATTTTTCAAACCCACATTATATTTAATTAACTTTTTTTTTTTTTTTTCTTTTTTCAAATTCTCACTAAAAATTTGAAAATTTACTTTCTAATATCTTATAAAATTAAATAATTAAATAATAAGTTATTAAATATCAATTTATAAAATTGAATATTTAAAAATTAATTTTTAAATTAAATTTCAGTCTTAAATTTGAATTTTTCGTAAAAATTTTTTGATTAATAATGAAAAAAAGGAGAAGGAGATAAAGTCGATAAGATCAAAGGTTTGTACACTGTCCACTTACACTTTGTTACTGTCATCTGTCATTTGTCTATCATTTAAATTTCTTAACAATTATAATAATAAAAAAAAAAAAAAAAATTTAAATAAAATAGTCAAGAAAAGTTCAAAGTCAAAGGCTTAATATCGTAAACACGTTACACTCGTAAAACCAAGAATTTACGAATATTTTTAATTGCAAATTCCTATTTGTTTCAATAATTTTAAAATCAAATTTTTTCATATACGAAACGAGCATTAAAACGCAAGGTAGGTCGGCACGTCACGCTGAGAGCGAATACCAAAATTTAAATTTAAAAAAAAAAAATAATAATTCGGGAATCGTAATTGACTTGAATAAAAATTATATTTTTCATTAAATAATTAACTGTGCCTAATTAATGAAAGATGACCGGTAACTCTGTGTCTCTGGACTTTGTTTTTTTTTTTAAAAAAACGTGGTACTTTTTTTTTTTTTTCTCAAAAAAGTGAAATAAATGCAAACACAATTTGGTAAAAACAATAAATTATCTATATTTATAAATCCAAAATTGGACAATGTCTCTGTACAAGTTTCGTAAATCGATGTTGGACATAAATTAAATCGACGAAATGAAAATAAATAATAATAATAATAATAATAATCGGTGGTGTCTACATAATTTGTAGATTTTCTATTTTTTGTTTCCTCTTTTTTGGATTTAACTGGTTTTTTTTTTTTTTTGTTTCTTGTCTGTTTTCTCTCACACACGCGCATACAGGCACCTAAACTCTCATCCTCATCGCTCTCATTATTTTTATTATTATAAAGAAATTAAAAAAAAAAATATATGTATTATATATAAATATGTATATCGACGGATAACTAGTCCACATAAGGCACATGACATCAATATTATGACGAGAACAATGATTTAAAAAAAAAAAAAAATGAAGGGTAGAATACCTGTTGGTTTTGATATAAAATATAAGGACGTGACGTGACGTCACCGACCCTACACATTTTAATGCTACCTTTTTTTTCGCCGTTGAAAAAAAAACTATACTGTCCTTTTTTTTTAGTTTTCATTTGTCATGGATTCAAATCGATTGCGAGTGTATCATGTCGGAAAATAATTAAAATAAATAAATAATTTCATCGCAAATAAATAAAATAAATATACAACACGAATCTTATAATAATAATTAAATTCTATAACGAAAAAATAAAGAGCAGCGGAAATTTTTTGATTTATATTTATATAGTCGAGGTAAGAACGTTAATAGCTTCCCTTCGGGGCTCTTTCACCCACCTCATATAAATAATATTCATAAAGCACGAATTTTTATTTTTTAAAAAAAAAAGACAAAATATTTTTATTTTAAAATTGTCAGATAGAAATCCAATCACGATCGGAATAAAAAAAATTGTGGTTGAAGCAAAAATAAAAGGAATTTAAATGTCTCAGTCAATTTAAATAAGTATAAGAAAGGAAAAATGTGAAATTAAAAAAAAAAATGATTACTAAGAGGTGGGTCAATGTGGCCCAAATTTTCAGACTTTCTCCGCTCCCATTGCCTATTTTTTTTTTCCGAGAGGAAAGAATATTTAATCCTCATGCGAAATAACCGAGAGCCGCACCCCGACCCATCACCTCGAGATCGGCTCTAACATTTACGCACATATTTTTTTTTTTCCTTTAAATTCTAACCGGATCTAATATCAAATATATTTTTCTATTTCAAATCAAAAAATTTCAATTTTTTATTGAGCATTTTTATCTGTAATGAGTAATTAATTCACAGAACTAGAATTTTCTTTTTATTTCAAAAATGTTTGTATAATTTTTATACTATTATTGTAATAAAAATAATTTAATAATTCTGTGAATATTCACGGGCAAAAATTTGAGATATGGCATTGCGGAAGATTTAAAACCTATGTATATTAAAAAAAAATAATTTTCAAAATTTTGAAAGAAAATAAATAAATAAATAATTGTTTATAAATATATTAATAAATTGTCAATATTATGTAAAATATCAACTGGGAATATTATTCAAAAATTTTTTGAAAATTATTTAACTTAAAATTTGTTTACAAATATGTAATAAATAACATTTATTATTGAATTTAACGAAATTTCACAGTGAAAGTCAATTAGAATTTTTTTTTTTTTAATTTAATTAATTATCAATTATTTGTATCAAAAAAATAAAAACTGTGAATTTTTGTTAAATGCGAAAAAAAAGATCTAATTTTGAGTGTATTTAAAATATGTTCTTTCGGTAAAAATATTAATGAATACGTAAAATAGATATAGAAAACTATTATTTAAATTGGACTTTTATCTGTAAAAGATTATCAATTTTTAAAATTATAATTTAAAGAATTTTAATAAATTTTGGATCAATAATTTTCCCTTCTTTCATTATCGTATTCAAATAAATTATACCTTTTTGTAAATTTTGTCTCTCGTTTCTTCCCGTGTTCATTTTTTTTTTTAAAGCCTCATAATGAAACGAATGAAAATTCGCTACTCTAGAGAGGAAAAATTGAAAAAGGATTTATTAAATCCTTTTTTCTTTTTTTTTTTTTCGAGTGCGAAAACGTTCTTACTGATTCGAGGAATGGGTGACGGTTTTACGTGCGTGTTTGCGCGTGTTAGTGTGTTTCTTGGTCTTTCCCTTGAACTCACGTGCTTGTCGCGCTTCGGTAATGCTATCGACGACATCCTCAGCATCAGTAACATCATCGTCATCATCGTCGTCGTCTGAATCTTCGTCATCTTCATCCTCATCATCATCGTCATCGTCGTCGTCCTCAATACCAGGAATTGAATCATCATCATCGTCATCGTCGTCGTCATCGTCATCGGATGCAGCAACTGGCGCTGCCACTGCCGCCGGTGCAATTACCGCCTGATTCAATGAAACCTGATGAGCCGAGGGTACAATTTCAGCTACAACTTCGGGAACTGTCGACGCCGCTTGTCCTTCAGGTGTGTCATCCTCATAAGTGCCAACGTCCGTGTCACTTGATGCCTCCGACGATGCTTCGTCAGCGGCATCGTCAACTGGAATTGCATTTAAATCGGCTTGAACTGCCGCAGGAATTACTTGACTCGGTGCAGCTTGTTGAACAATAGGTGCTGCGGGAACTGCCGCTGCCGCAGGAGTATCATCATCATCGTCGTCATCGTCGTCTACAATTCAAAGAATTTTTTTTTTTTTTTATTCTCGTATTTTCAATTTATTTTATTTAATTTCTAATAAAAAAAAAAGAATGACAAAAATAGAGAAGAAAAAAACAAGAGAAAAATATTAAAATTAAAAGCGAGATGTAATTTCTCATTTAAAGAATTCTGAAATCGTAATTTCAAGAGAAAGTAAAATTGATAAAAACTTTGAAAATTGTGAACTACTTCTATGTAAACTAATAAAATCAAAAATATAAATAGATCCTGCACAGATAAGGAAGGGTAAATATATATATATATTTTCCTCTGTTATCTCATTTGCCAACGGTTCTCTTCCTGTAAATCTCTTCACATTATAACGAGTTAATAAGTTACTTCATGTTCCACTTTGCTGGACTACTGGTTAACACCAGTAACAATTGTCACATTAATATTTATTGTCAAAGACTTTCAGGCAAATTTAAATTTCATTTATTCGATTTTATAATTCAAATTGAGAATTTGAAAAATAAAGAAGTGAAACTAAATCACAAGAAAAAGCACAGTAAAAGTAGAAGAAGAAGAAGAAAAGGAGACAGTGAAAGATAAAGAAGACATAAAAGATAAACAAGAGTGTGATTTCCGCAGTCACTGAACTTGTTTTCAGCTCGTGTAGCAATAAATGAAGAAAAAAAAAAAATTTATAAAAGAAGATATATCCGTCTGAGTGAAAAAAAGAAGTGGTCTTCCGATTCTGGACTGGAAACAACATTTAAGGTATGTGTGTCAATGAAAAAGAAGTAGCGCATAGAAATTCTTGTAGAGGACGACGCACCGAGCTGTCTGGATTATGTTAATTCGGGCAGGGCAAAGCTTCGTGTACCGTTAGATTTCTTGTGGCAAGTAACGAAAGGCAAACGCATGTCTCGTATTATATGAGTATATATAACGGTGCGTGTGTGTCCTGGCCTTGGAATTCGCCATCGACATTATGCCGCTATAATCCATAGATTTCAAAAAAAAAAAAAAAGATCTCATCTCAGATCGAAAAAAAATTTACTCCTTCAAATATATTTCGAATCAATAATAAATTGACACACATATCAAAAAATTGGCTGGAATTATCAAAATTAATTTTTGCATTTAACAATAAATAATGAAACAAAGGGTGAAATCAATAGAGTATTGATAAACGATAATTAGTAAATAATAAATAATAATTAATAGAGAAATTTAGAAAAAAAAAATAATCAAGGATCAATAATTTAAACCGAAAAATTTTACTATAATAATTTACGATATTTAATAATTTAATTAATCAACTTACCTCCGAGAAAATCGTCAAGTATTCTTTCAATATAATCTGAACCAGTGTCATCATCATCATCGTCATCATCATCGTCATCGTCGTCATCGTCCTCTCCTGCAAGTAAATCAAGATCATCGTCATCGTCATCATCATCGTCGTCATCATCAGTAGCAGCTGGAGGTGCCGATGAGACTGCTGCAGCTTGTCTTCCTGTTGCCTTTATTTCCACTTTACTTTCATTTTGTTGAGGTACCGGCGATGAAAAAGCTCCAATTGTCAAACAGCACAATAGTGCTAACACCGCCACTAACTTCATGGCTCTGAAAAAAATTAATAATCATCAAAAATATTTTCCAAATTATTCAATTATATAGTTAAAAAAAATAAATAAAAAGAATTTTTTTTTTTATTCTATTAATATAAATCGAAATTAAATCTTTATTAAATTAATCCAATTGATAACATTTATTAAATTAATAAACGAAAAATTAAATGTGAATTAGATGTCACATTAAATTTATTATGCCAATTTTTTTAAAAATAATTTCACTATTAGCAAATATGAAAATAGTTTGAAATTGCCTTTTTTTTAAAAGTGATACCACTTTCACTTTAAGAATTTTTGAATATAATTACAAGTTTTGTTTTTTTTTTTTACTGTTATTAGTTTGTCCTACATACTAAACACCTATACAGCGATATTTCCCTCTCCGGATGGTAATTTATATTAAAAATAATCAACAAATCATCTCACATCAGACAAAATTATCCCTAAAGCTTATTTTATTGATATGACAATAAAAAAAAAAATTACAAAATAAATTTTTATATCATTCATAATGAAAAATTATATTTTTTTAAAAGATAATTCAAAACATTTTTAATCAATTAATGACGAATATAAGAGAGGAAAAAATTGTAATTCAGAATTAAAATTCTCTAATTGAAATCAATTTTGCCAATTTTATTTAATTTTGTAATTAAACTAAAACTTTTAAGATTTTTAAAATAGAAATAAATTTTCGATTTTAATGTTAAATAAAAAAAGCAAATTGAAAATATTCAATTAGTAACCTTTGTTGAAAATTGAAATAACTATATATTAAAAAATTAAATTCACGAAATTTCATTCTGGAGGAATATTCCTGCTACTTACGCCCAAAATATTGAAAAACAAATCACCTACCAGAATTCTCAGAAGGATTTGATGTTTGTTTTTTTTTTAAATAAATAGAAAAATAAAAAGAAAAACTCCCTTTTCCAAAACCTTTTTTCTCTTCTGCACTTTTAAAAAGTGTCACTGTTTCGTGCTCATTACGCGAATTATCACTTTAATCACAATTATGTCCTTTCTGTGGTGAAATTGTGATAAAAAAAAAAAAAAAAATATGTTTTTCTCACACCGTAGCACAATACAATAATTTGTAAAAATTAAAAACCCCGCGAACTTGAATAAAAAACGATGTTAAAATTATAGAGAAAAAAATAAAATAATAAATCCGAATAATTTTTTTTTTTGTTTTTTTGTAGGCCGCGAAACTCACCTTTCGTGGCCTTTTGAACCAGCGCGAAGAAATAAATATTCCGGACGTCCTGCCAAAGAGGAAGTCGTTTCGGAAACGCGTTTATTTCCAGGAACAGGATCCGTTGTACAACAAGGTGAGAGTGTGAAACAGACGAAGCTCTGTTCAACGAACCTTTTATACCAACTGCCTCCACCTCTTTTAAACTCTTCCGCTCTCCTTCTTTTTGTATCTCTTCAATTCTCGTTTGCTTTGCGCGTATATACTCTCCACGTGGATACGCGGTTTCTCGCTTTCGAGAAATACAAACGCCCTGCATATAATCTCATTTCAGCAGATCTCTTCATGCTTTCCTTTCCTTTATATTAACTTCTCGACATCCTTTGTGTGTTTGATATATCAGTAACTGCTTTGAAAATTATAACATTTAATTATTATTTCTTTTTTTTTTCTTTAAATAATCTTCTAATATATCTAATCAAGTCTGCTTTTGTTTTTAAATAATAAGAAAATAATTTTAAAAAAAAATTACGAAAAGGCAAAATAGAAAAAAGAATTAATTTTTTTTTATATAAAATTGAATAAAAATTAACAATGATTTTTTTTTTAAATAGTAAAATCATGCTGGAAAACTTTTTTCTTGGAGAATAAATTTATAATGGCTAATGAATTCATAAATACATACCGAAAAAGAATTATTCTTCTGCTAAACAGCTTCTTTCACAATTTTTTAATTATAATATAAAAAATAATACTTACAAAAATGTGGTACCAAAATTTTCTTCAACAATAATATACGCGCACTTAAGAAATTTTACACACAAAATTATAACAAACTAATTCACAATTATACAATTAGAAATAGATATTTTGTTTAAATATATCTCAAAATAATATAAAATTTACATTATATTTTGTATAAATAAACTGCAATCCTTGTGAATTCATGTTAATTGACAATTTAAGGTTATGTTATTTGTTTATACAACTATCGAACTCTAACTGAAACTCGATCGATTAATCGAATTTGGAATTTTGAATTTGATTGGTTGATTCAAAATGTATTCCAATTTTTCACATGAAAATTAACCAATCAAATATTTTTATTTAAATATTTAATCTTATCGATATAAATATATATATATATAAGCCTTATAATGTAGCTTCAAATGTTTATTTCTCTAATTATAAAAAACGAAAATTCATATATATATAATGAAAAAATGTGTGCCAGAATATCTGAAATGACCTCTAAAATTAGCAGATTAAACCGTTAAAAGTATCATCATAGATTTAGCATCATTACCAGGTTCTGTACCTTTTTAACTGAAGAGACTTTCACTCATGAAAACGAATACGTATATATATATATACATATATAACCCAACTGTAAAAAATAATGACTACTGAAAGGTATACGAGAAATTTAGTAGGTTGAATTCTTGGGCCATAAGTCATCAATGGAAAATTTTTTTAGATTTTCGTTAATTAATTCAATATATAATAATTATTATAATTTAATAATAGCTTCATATAAATTAAATTTATTATAAAGAAAAAGGAAAAAAAAATTAATAAAACTATATATAGGTTATTAAAATAGAAAACAAGTGAAAGTAAAAAAACCTTACTAAAAGAAAAAAAAAGAAAAGAATTGAAAAAAAAATTATTTGTAAATTCTATTGAATTTTCTTGGTTATTGACTGTCTGACCATGCAAGAGTTGTTCTACTTAAACGAAACTATGGTATGTTAAAACTACTTTTTCCACTTAATTTCCTTATTTTTCTTCAATAATTTTTATTCAATAAATAATACCTATTCAATTTTTAATAATAAATATAAATAATAATAAAAAAATAATAATAATAATTTTACGTTATATTATTATTAATAACTTTTAGGTTATGTTTGTGATATTCAATAAAAACTTATTTTCATTTGACCTAATTTTAATTTCTATAATGACAAAAGCTTTTTATCGTTAAACCCGTCAAACCAAAACATAACCTAAAAATTTTTTGACGTAAGTCTCTTTTTCTCTCGTATATACAAATTATCAATATCAATGAAAATGCAAACGTATATATACATTCAGCATGAATGAAATAAATCAAATCCTCATCCTTTCCCCGTTGTATACAAAAAAGAAAAAAAAAAAATTGTATCGAAAGTTTCGTCATCGTATTTCTGAATAAGACAAATGTTGAGCACATTGGATTACGTTATAAATATATATATATAGTTGAGTGGTTCACGTGCTCGGAAATTTATCAAAAAAGAAATGATAATAAAAAAAAATCATCATATTCTTTATGTATATATATATATAATCCGTCATGGAATATGGAATTTGGTGTCACTATGCATCCAAAGTAGTCCGCGGCTCTACGCCATCACCAAGAATTAGTAATCAGGATATGCTCGCAACTGGTCAGCAAACAACTATATATACATATATATTTTTTTCTGTATAAACCAATACATGTACAGTATTCTTCAACCATGTCACATTGAAGCCTATATCATTCATTATTCATGAATAAATATATATACTAGAAGAACACACAACTGTCCCCAAAATTCCATCACTCAAGAATTTCATCGAAATTTGATATTATAATATTTGAATTTTAGAATATTGAAAAAAAAACTAAGATATATAAATAGCTTCTATTTAATTTTAGATTAATATATTATTTTTTTTATTCAATTTAAATTTATTGTAACAATTATCAAATATTATTAATTAATAATAATAATAATAATAATACAAATAATTATATAATAATAATAACAATAATAATAATATTAATTATATAATAATATTATTATTATTATTTATAATTACTTAATTTATTATATTATTTATAATAATAGTAACAATAATAATAATAATAATTGTTATTATTATTGCAATTTTAGTTTTAAATATTTGAGTATTTGAAAATTCGCGCTACCCACTATACGCAGGCGCGGACTTTGCGCTTTGTTGGCAGCAATGCGTTTTGACGTTTCATGAATTTGGAGGTTATGTGATAAATGTGCCATCAACATGAATGCAGAAATAAATAAATTTAATAATATTATTAATAAAAATTGCAATGTTAATTTTCTTTCTAATGAAAAGGTAACGCTTGCTAATAAGGATTTAGCTGTATACGATAGACATAAAAGACTTATAAATTCTTATTATCGTATTCGTTCTTTAAAAAACATTCCAAGAGACACGTAAGTCGAAAGTTGTATTTTAATTTTTTATTATTAAATCTAATATTTGTAATTTAATAACAAATTTTTCATAAAGAAAGCAAAATTGCCTTTATATTATTTTCAAATATTTACATTTTCAATATTATTTAGGTTAAAAATCTTGTATAACTCATTTTGGAGGACCTTTTTTTTAAATAATTTTTTTTTTTAAATTGATTTAGTTTTAATGATTAGTTATTACAGATACACACATTGTGTAAGATATCTAAAGTTGTAAGTTCTTTTTTTTTTTTATTTTTTTTCTTTTAAAGCGTAGGGTAGTATAATTATAAATTTTAATTATAACAAGCAGCTCTTGACGTTTCACCATGTGTTTCGAGGTCACGGGATAAAACTGACTTTGACGTTATTCGCGATAATCACAAATTTTTGTGGGATGATGATGAAGAAGACGAACCTGAAACGTGGGAAGCACGTCTTGCTAAAAAATATTATGACAAATTATTTAAGGAATATTGCATTTCCGACTTGACTTATTATAAATTCAATAAGGTAATAAAATATCTATTCAAATATCTATTTTAAATTATTAATACTCATTTTTGTATTTGATTTCATTGTCATTGTATTTTATATTTAATTTATTGCATTTAGATAGCACTTCGATGGCGAACAGAGAAAGAAGTAATTGAAGGCAAAGGTCAATTTGAATGTGGAAATAAAAAATGTAATATTAAAAATGAACTTCGATCATGGGAAGTTAATTTTGGTTATGAGGAGCATGGCGAGAAAAAGAATGCTTTAATTAAATTAAGTAAGTTGCAAAAAAAAAAATCAATCAAAATTTTCATTACAAGATTTGTTTTTAAATTAATTTTTCTTTTTTTTTTTAGGATTGTGTCCTGAATGTTCAATTCAATTAAATTATCGATCAAAAAAACGTGAAGTTAAAAGAGAAAAAAAATCACTCAAACGATTGCAACATTGTTCAACATCACGTGATAATTCTGGTCCATCACGTAAAATTGAAATTGAAATTAAAGAAACAAATAGTGAAGAAAATACACCGTCTAAAGAATCTGTATCAACAAAAGAAACCCCAACGGCTGATGAAAGTCAATCAGAATCGGAAATTTGGAAAAATATACCATTGGAAGAAGAAAAAACAAGAGAAGATGAATTTGAGGAATATTTGGCTGATTTATTGCTTTGATTTGTTATCAAGAAAAAAAAAAAAAGAAATACACTTTTTGATTTACGCATGTGTTAAAAATAATATTATTAACTTACATTCAATAGAATACAATAATTGATTTATTTAAAATAAAATCTTACAAGTTTATCGCATTTTACATTGTGCATTTAATATAATGCTGTACAATTTTTTTTTTCAATTTTCCAAAAAATTTCTTTTTTATTGACTTTAGAATAAAAATCTAATCAAAAAAAAAAAATTGTGCAGAATTATTGATATTTAAGCAAAAAAAAAAAAATTTGAAAAAAGGAAAAACTATTATATATTTAATAATTCTGTACACACTGCAAATTTGTTTTTTGTAAGCTAAACTATAAAATATATTTGTATATATATATATTAATTCACTCTCGAAATACAAAATGACTTTGATTACTTCAAAAAGAGAATTTATTTATAAAAATTTCTAAAATTATAATTTTTTTTCCTAGATATATAAAATGAGTCTTGTAATTTTTTTTTTCTTCATAATTACTAATCTATTATTACGTAATAGTTACTAATTTAATATTACGTAAAAACTAATTTATATTACATATTTTTTTAATTATTATTATAATAGTATCTAATTATCTAATTTATTTAAAAAAAACAAAAAAAACATTTTTTTTCTTAATTTACAAATACGTAATGCGATTAAAAATACAAATCAAATATTCGTCATATTTTAAACTTCGTCAGATAATGAATATTGACCTTTCGTTTTTTATAATCACTTATTATACTATCGATTAAAGGCATTGACACTTTTTTTTCAAATTAAAAATTATTCAGTGTCAAAAAATTTTGACAAAAAATTTATTTTTGAAATTTAAACAATTTTTCAACTATACATATAAAACTTTAACAACAATAGAACAAACAACATAGGAAAAATATTTATCTTAAAGTAATTAATGAAATATTTGTGATTTGTTCTTCTATATTGCTTATATTATTGTCGTTAAAATTTTTTTTTTTTTTTTTTTTTTTTTTTTTCAATAAAAGTATACATATATACAAAGATACATTTGTTAAAATTTACTCAATACTAAAAATTAAATTTTCTTATTAAAATATTATTCTTTCAATTTACTATTTGGAACAAAAACAAATGCCACAGAATTAATTTTTTATCTTATTTGAAAGATAAGTTTAAAAAAAATATAAATTTGCACAAATACATTGTTTTATCTATTTAAAAAAAAACAATTCTAAAATATAAAATAAATTTTTTGCAATTACTATTTCGTACTTTTAAGTTTGGAATTTTTTTTTTTTTATAAAACAGTAACAACTGAACTACTGTTTTTTTTTTTTTTATAGTAATACTTTACACGCACCTGTTCTATTCGAATTTTCGATGTAATTATCCTTGAGTTGAGAAATAATTTGCAACAAGCATTTTGAATCAGGGATTTTATGAATTTACGGTTCTTCAATTTCCTTTTGAATTCTTTTTTCTTGATTGTTTTGCTTCTGTGAATCGGAGTCTTCGTCGCTACAATCCTCGTCATGTGTGTGAGTCACGTTTCTTGGAGTTTCAGGCCTCGCATGTGGAATTTGAATATTGTTCGTCTCTACTTCTAAAGTTTTCTGAATAAATTGAAAAATTCAAAATTAGTATTTTTTTCTCGAGAATTTTGTCAAAAAATTTTTGTTAAACACACACACAAAAAAATATCCCAATTAGTAAAATTATTTTAATTTTTTAATTAAAAATAAAATAACTTACAGTTATTAATCGACTGTGTTCTTCTTCTTCATCAGGAAGTTTGAAAGTTCTTGTTCGACTAATCATTGGAGTTTCCATGACAAATCGTTGTTCATGTGCGACTGTACTTTCGTGAGGCATCTAAAAAATTTTATTTTAATAAAAAAAAAAATAATAATAATTTGTCGAATTAGAATTTTAAATTAAAATTTAAAACTATTTTCAAAATACTTACAAGCATCGCAGGCGCTCTAAACATATACGAAAAGGGATAATAAATTAAATTTAAAAATGTGGCAGCATAAAGGTCGGCATATCTAACAACTTGGCTGCTGAAAAATGTTTGTCTGCTTCCACTTCTAAAAAGAGATCCCATCATTCCATAAGCGAGATCCATTTTATGTGTCACGTCTCTTATTGACGCTCTTAATTTTGATATATCCGGTTTTTCTTTGGTACTACTGTCTAAATTTCTAAAAAAAAGGAAATTTTTATTTAAAAGAACTAAATAGTAAAAAAATTAAAATTATGATTAAAATTTGAAATTTTCACTTACTTGTACATTTCTCCCAACATAACATCCAAACTTTGTAACTCGGCGAAAAGTTGACATTTGTCAGTCCAAACATGAAGTTCCTGAACTAATTCAGGAACAATTAAAAATGTTCGCCAACCTCGGATTTTTTTGCTTTTTAAAATATCACCAAATATATGATCTCCAACGTATAACACATCTTTACCTTTCGCTCCAATCATTTCCGTAAAAACATCACAAGAACCACCAGAATAAACTTCTCCTACATTTGAAAATTATTTATTATTTTTTCTTTTTATTAAAAGAATTAATTATTTTTTATGAATAAATTATTATTAAACTCACCCGTATGAAGTGGACCCTTATGAGTACCTAATTTTAAAGCTCCTGTTTTTGTATCCACTTGCCTTAAAATTGTACCTTCTCCAAAGAAAAGTGGCTTTCTAGCGCCAACAACAATGGTATCGAAATATGTTTTCCAATTTCTATGCGGTTCGTCCGACTAGGTGAAAAAAAAAAATTAAATAAATACAAAAAAACAAAATAGACTTTTAAAAACAATACTTTTAAAAAAGTATCTTACCCTCGCTCCATGAGGAAAATCGAATAAATATGTCATAATTTTATTGGTAAACACATAATCACTATTAGTGAGGAGAAAAACTTTGGCACCACTTTCTCTTATTCTGTCAAGAAACATAGGCAATCTCTCGTCTTTTTTAACATACTGATCTAAATTTTCAATTGTTTTACTCTTTAAATCACCTTGAGAGTGAATCCAATCAACGGCACTTCTTACATCTTGAAAGATACTTTTAAAGCTCATTGTTAATTCACCTTCTTTTACTCCCGTTTTTTCCCTTGAAAATTGGGGAGAATTTGTAAAAAAATCTATTAAACATGCCAATAAATATGTTTCTGGCAAATTAAACAAAGTATTGAGAACATAAACTCGTGATTCGTCCAATTGTAGAAATTTATTTGGATACAATTCATAAACTTGGGAACTGAAATAAAAATATTTCTTTATTAAAAAAATATTTCATAAATAAATTATTATTATTAATTTTTTAGAAATATTCAATTTTTACTCGAAATTTTCTTTTTTTTGAACTGAATAATAATGTAAATAAATTATATTTATTTTTATAAAAGAATGTTTTTAGAACGTTGATTTGTCACGTCTTCTTTTTTTTTTTTTTTTTTTGTTATCATCCAAATAGTGTAAATAAAAAGAAGAAAGAAAAAAAAATGACTCATTGTGCGAATAGAAAAACACAAAGAGACGTTTTCTGATTCAATGTACATTACTTACTGCTTTAGAAATTCAAATCCATGAACGCAAACTAAAATATTCCCGTAAGCGTCAACTTTAAGAAGATTGCCATAAAGCGTATCGAACCATAATCCTCTTACTGGAAAACTTGGATCGTAATCAAACTCTTTAAGTTCACGTGGATAGCCAAGAGAAACCAATCGATCTTTTAGAAGGTCAAATCCAAGTTGTTCATACTGGGGAGATTTGTACTCTGAGAAAAAAAAGAACTCAAATTAAAAATTTAATACATTAATTAATTTTTTCAATAATAAATACGTAATTTAGTTACGCTTTTTTTTAATTCTTATTTGAAAATAAAAAAATATTAAGAATTAGTTTTTCTATAATATATTTCTATTAGAAATGAATAATTCAATAGTAAAAATTACATTTTTTGAAATATCAAAAAAAAAAGGAAACAAAATCCTTACCCGCCAGTGTATAGTCCATGTCAAAGCCATAAAATTTAATATTTTCCAGATGAAGACTTCTGTTCACAAATATTCTGAAATACAAAGAATGAAAAAATTAAATTAACATGAAAAGACATAATTTTTGAGAATATGACATTTGTTTATTCTAAAGTAAATGAGTTTTTTTTTTTTTCATAAACCGGTTTAGAGCATGTATCCGATACACTGAAAGTTTTTCAACACGTGTATAAACAGAATGAATAGAACTTGATTCACTATCACAAGTACACATTGGAAAATATAATTCTTTAATCAATAAAATAATTTGTTGATAAACAAATTTTCATTGGTTCTTCTTTTATTTTTGTCGAGATTTTTTTTTTTTTTTTTTTTTTAATAAAACAAAAATTTCTTGAAATCACAAAAAATTAGAAATCACTTACTCATGTGGAGCAAAACGTCTTTCACTAGCAAAATTTTCTTTCTCCTTCATAGTTTTTATTAACATTTTTCAATTAAATCGCGTTCATTAAATAATAACTGTAGGAAAAAATAAATTATAAAATTATAATTTTAAATTTCTCAGTTTCAAATTTTTATGCAGACTCTAAGACATTCATTTTTTTTTTTTTTCTTAAATAAAAGAGCAACGATAATGCAAACAAGTAAGTAATTATTCTTTTGTAAATTTTAATCAGAAATGTTTATAATTTTGTAAATCGAATTCCGTCATGGCCCTGACTTCTGAAAAATTTTCAAACATTAACAAGAGCAGCTTTGTCTTTTTTTGACCTCGAAGAGCACTTATCAAGCTTTAAAAAGTTCATACAAAGCAACTGTGATATTTGAATTAAATAAATTCGAAGATAATATGTACAATCATTATAAATGAGATGAAATTTCCGGAGCAAATTTTGAACACTGAAAGGGGAACAATTTTTTTTTTTTTAAATTAAAAGAAACTAAAAAATTGTTTCTAAGATTAAATAGAAAAATATTTTAATATAAAAAAAAATTAATTTAAAAACAAAGGTGTTTAATTTTGTTCGTTTCCTGATTATTACATTGTTTTGCATCTTCGCAAACTTATGACATTAGATGTAATATTATTCAGAAATTTATCAGAGAGAGAGAGGTCGTTTACCTTTCCAACTATTCAACAGAATAAAAAATTCTAATTATTAAATTCTATTTTTCAAATCTATTCTTTTCTTCCTATGTATTATTCAAGAATACGATTTTTTTTCTATTCTGCTAAACGTTCTTTACAATTCAAATAAATATATTTTTGCCTCATCAGACAAAAACATATTTAAATTATATGCAAAATTAGTCAAATATATAAATATTACAAAATCAAAAGTACAAAAAAAAAAAAATTAATAATCTAACGTCGCTGAAAATAAAATTTTTTCATTTCAACTCGTATTTAAAAAATTTGCAGAGTAACGGTAGAACTGTCGTTGTAAGATCTCGGCGGCAAAAAGGTGAGTCAGTTATTGACATGTTTTTCATAAATTCATTTCACAATAATATTTTAAACGACGCAACTCTCATCAAAATGAATCCTGTTTTGCAGCATCTAATATCATTAAATAATGATTAATTAAATAATAATTTTCATCAAAATATAATTTTTAAAAATTAAACTCATATTAAAACTATTTTTCAAAATTAACGTACTGTAACGTATATCAAAAAAATTATTTTTAAAAAACATTTTTCACAATATTAAAGAAACTGAATTAAAAAAAAATTTTTCTTTCTTTATTCTAAAATAAAAACAAAATTATAAATACAAAAAAAAATGTAAATTTCCTCTTGTTTAAAAAAAAGAAAACAATTGTCAATGAGTCTGCAAAATATATATACACGTTACTGAAGAATTTGTAAAAATAATATTTTCGCATGACACGTACACGTGTATTATTTTAAAAAACAAATTTCTAATCACAATTTTATTTATTCAAAGACAAATGGTTTGACTGTAAATAAAAGAACGTGGAGAACAAGTCCATCCAACAGCTAAACGTATACTGATCTGAGCTTTACAAATACGATCGTTGATATACCATAGTATAGCTACAGTATATACAACGAAGAAAGATTGACGACTTGACCGACTAAATCGGTGTTTCCTCTTCTTACCCATGCCCTCCCCCCCTTTTGGTTTCCATCGTTTTACACACCTATCACCTAAATAATCGCCCCCATCCCCCCTTTTATAATTTTGAACTAGGAGCAACGAGAATGATGATCGCGTGCAAAATTTCACGCAAACTTGGCCTATCTGCAAAATTACTTGTTACGAGTTTCCAAGTTTACAGAGTGAGTCATGACTGTTGGAAATGTACTTCAACTTGAAATGTGGGCTAAAGTTTTAACGTTCTGTTTTTAAAAGTTGTAATTTTTTTTTTTTAAAAAAAAAGACATTTTTTTACAAAAATTAATTATTGGCCCAGTTTTACTCTTTTTTTCACGCTTTCACTGAAACATTAAAGTAAAATTTGTCAATAAAATTAATTATTAAATTAATTAAAATTAATTATTACATTTTAAATTATTAAATTAACTAATTAAAATTAAGTATTAAATTAATTAATTTAAAATCAGTATTGATTTTACATATGTATGTAAAAAGAAATGCTTTTAAATAATTGCAAAATTATATTTTGTAAACATTTTCTGATTTAATTACTGACCTCTTGACAATAATAGAAAACTTTTTTTTTTTTTTTTTTTAATAAATAAAGCAATAATTTGCCGCTATTACAATGCGATTAACTTGGTTAAAATGAACTATAAAAATTATCATTATGATCATAAACTTTTCTGCGTTTGCAGTTTAATTTTATTCGTAATTAACTGGACTTTGTTTTAAATAGAACGCAAATACACAAATAAGTGAATGTTTTCTTTGTTAAAATGTAAATTTCCAAAATGAAAAATTTTCATATTCTAGAAAAATGAAAACCAATTTTATAATTTTGGAAAAAATATAAAAAAAATTAAATACAAATTTTTAAATATTTCAATAACTTTCCAAATTCGTACATGCTTCAAAAAAAAAAGAAAAATGTAAATTTCTTCTAAAAATACATTTTTGTAGAAATGTTCTATCTTAAATCAAATATATTTGAATGAAATTGACAAATCGCTGTGTAAGCATTGAGAAATTTTTGAATTATTTATGGAAAAATATTTTTTTTTTTTTTACAAAAATGATGTGAATTTTTAAGAACATGAATTTACGTTTCTCAAACTATTTTCAATTTTTAAGTTTTTTAAAACAAATATTAATAAACTTCATCTTTTTTATTTATAAAAATTCTTTTTAATTCAATAAAAAAAAAAAAGAAAAATATTTAATTGCCGCACAATATAAATGGCGCTTTTCATGTTAAATATATAAATAATCACGTTGACATTGCGAAACGCAAGTGATACAGAATAATTAATTAAATTAATGCATTCCTACTTTACAATTTGTGCCAAACCCTTTTGCCAAGCCGGAAATAATGTTTAATTGGAAAAAAAAATAATGACAAACCACGACGTCTTTCTCTCTAAGAAGAAATAAATTTTTCCCTTTCCAGAATTAAAAGTTAAAATAAAAAAAAGGATTTATATACCCTTTTTTTTCATTCAGCACTGTAATTAAATTGACAACAATATTTTTTTATTATCAGTTTGTTTGGAATTTTGAAAAAAAATTCTTCTCATTATCTTTGTTATTATTCGTGTATAGTGCAAAAATCAAAGTTGATTTGATAATCGTATGTTTTAAAATTCAAATATAATATATCCTCTCTTTGTCAATGTTATTTCGTAAATCCAATATCTTTAGTTGATGAGACTTGTTTTCCTCCGGGGGGTCGTGGAAATTTTAAATTAGCTTATCTCAATGTCCTGATCGTTGGCTCAAGTTAAAAAGAAATCGTTTTTTTTTTCAATAAAAAAAAAAAAAAAGTGTGAAATAAATTTAAAAACAGTGTAGATTTGTAAGATATTAAAAAATCGAAAACAAAATCTAAATTTTACAAAAAAAAAAATTGTTTTTCATTTGAATTATTTTTTTTTTTCTCTTTAGAAACGGACAAAAAAAAGATCATGTAAAAAATTTAAATTATTAAAAGTACTTAAATTGTAATTTACTTTTTATAAAACTAATTATATTTCTAACTTTAATACGATATCATTCATAAATTTCTCTTTCAAAATATGATTCTAAATTATTAAATTGACTTGAATTAATTTTTCAATTGAAATTTTAATTTATGTATTCAAAAACATATTTATTCTCATTTAAAAAAATTTTTTTTTCTCAATAATTATTAAATAATTATTCGAATTAATTGTAATTAATGAAATTCCTGTTTATTTATTTTCTCAATAGATCTGTTATTATTTTTCTATTATGAAATTTTACATAATCATAATATTTCCAAAATAATCACATATAATTAATATTTGAGAGAAAATTGAAATGTTGATAATTTAAACGCGCTAATTTAAGAATTAGTGGAATCGATCGCAATTGACTTTTTCGCAACCTTATAATCGCCTACGTTGGCAGGAATTATTGATCGCAGGTAATATCTTAACGAGTTTGAATGTTAAGAGACTTTCTGGGCTTATCGAGTACACAAGACTTTACACGACATCAAAAGCTTTGATCGTTTGCAACTATAGAGACTTGCGCACTAATGTGATCTTCCCACGCGTTCTGGAATATCTGCATTGCTCATAAAAAAAAAAAAAATCTTTTATCACTTCTTCCAGTTCACATAATGTTGCACAGCTTTAATAAGTTATAATTAAACAAAACGATTATATATAAACTTTCTCAGAAATATTCATTCATAAAATGAAAATAATTAATCTCAAATACGATACAAATTTTCCAATATTAAAAATAACTTCCAATTTATTAACTTAATCATTAATTAATAATTATCGATAATTTAAATAATTAATAATTTTTTTTTAAATATGAAATTAGTGATAAAATATTTTTTATTTTAATTTAATTGTAAATTATTTAAATTTACTTTTTAATTAATTTCCGTAAACACACATAGCGCAAATATCTTATATACCATACACCAACATCATTTGCGATAAAGTAATTGACTCTTTTGAAATGAAAGAAGATAAAAAAAAAAAAAAAAAGAAATTATTGTGAAAATAAAAATCAACTTCACATTTCAATAACATCAAATTAATATAATGTGTGAATTTAAAAATGTTCAAACATCAATAACAAATTCAATTTGAAATTAAATTAAAAATTTCATTATTAATTTTTATAGTTTTTGATATCAGTAATTGAACTCTTTGATAATCATTTAATCGATTGGAATTAAGTCTCACGGTTCATATCGAAAGAAATTTCTTATGCTCACATTCGTGTGTAATTTAAATCTCTTGCAATTAAAAGGAGTAGATAAAAAAAAAGGTTAAACAATTTTTCTCATTCCACTATATATATATATATCATTAAACAATTAATTTGTTGATAAATTAATTATTTTATTTTCAGCATTATTTAAAAATTGTAGTCTACTCTAATAGGTTATTTCTAATAGTGTCCCTTTTTGTTCCATTCAGTCTTGCTATTAGGTAAATAAAATGCTTAATTTCTCATTTACCTTAAACTATCTTCTTTTAAATTGAAAGATAAATTTATAATCCCTTTTTTATATCATTAATAAATCTCTGTTTTTTCTCAAATGAATTTTTTTTTTTTTTTTGTCGAGAATTTTCTGCAAAATTACCTGTGACTTAATTCACGCTTGTCAGTTAATGAGACTTGAGCACATTCATTAAAGCTGTCCGACACACGTCGAGGTTTTCTAATACGTTCATTTCTTCCTAAATCCTCTGATGTTGGCAGACAAAAATTCGAAATGACATTGTCAACATTTTCATCAGGCAAAAGATATTCATCCGTTTGAAAACGTAATTTACATCCTGTCCAAATAAAAATATTTTAACATTCAAATTTTTAAAACAAAAAAAAAAAAAAATAAGGCACGAAATAAAAAAGAATCCTATATATTTTTCTCGAATTTATTAAATTCGACAAAATTTCTGAATCTAGAAAAAATTGTTCACGTTCTTTTAAACTAGAAAAAAAAATATATATTTATCGTAAATAAAATAATTGATATTTTTTTTCCGAAGAATTTTTTTTTATCTCTCACCTCTTTCAAAGAATTACATTATATATATTTTATTTTTAACAAAGGAGGTCACCATCTTTGTTTGAAATTGTTAACCAACTCGAAACAATTTTCCTGCAAATATTGACCTCCACAACTAAATAAATATTACAAAACTGGGGCTCACCATTTTTTACAAAAGTTGAATTTATCATATCATAATTCATAATTTGAAAGAAAATAATAATAATAGAAAAAAAGTCGATATCACTTATTAAAAAAAAAAAATTTGGCAACTGAACAAATTCAATAAAACAATTCCAAGTGCGGGAATAATGATCGCTCTTCGGAATCTATCACAAAACTGAATGACGCCATTTAAGTGGTGAGATTTCAATACCAGGGAATAATGAGTAATTAGATAAGACTATAAGGTTACGATAAACATAATTTTTTAAAAACAGAGGTCATTTACGCGCATAACGATGAAAGGAAAGATGGAAAAATTTTCTCCCAATGATTGAAATTATCTCAAAATTATGAAATAATAGAAAAATCGAATTTTCGATGTTGAATGATATTAAAATTAATATTAGTAGAGACCAGAGGTATATATATATATACATATATAAATAAAATTCAAAAGATAAATAAGTCAAATTGACAAAATCTTATGAAATACCTAAAGATTGTTCGCAATAACTGTGACTGATAAGCAAGTTTGAGACAAAAAATTTGAAAAATAATAAACACTTGTCAGAGTGACAATAAAATAATTCATTTTTCAAAAAGAATAAATTTCAATTCACTTGGTGTCGTTAATTTAATTTTTATTAAATTTTATCATGAAAAATTAAATATTAAAAAATTAATAATTTCCACGAGTTCATCTCCTTCCTCTATATTTAGATCGGATTTTATTCTCAAACACGAAGATATTTTTGACAGCAGGTGGGAGTTGTTATTACTGTTCTTGATAATATAGTTTTATAAATATTTCAGACAAAAAAAAATCAAATTTCAATTCTCATAACATTCAAATAAAAAAGAATTTTTTTAATCATTTCTAATTTAATTATATGAGACTCCTTTTTTTTTAGAAAAATCTACATTTAAAAAATTTTTTTTTTTGAATATTTTTCTTTGAAATTGTCTATTAGACTTTGTAACAAGAGAAGGAATTATTAATTATAATCAAAATTGAAATTCTTCACGTACGCAAAAACTCTATAAGCTTATTATTTATGTCGAGACGATAAAGCGATAAACATTCTTTAATTACACAATAACCTAGAGACATCAAACATAGCACGATATGATCATGACACAAGAAATTTTGCTGAAAATTCACCGCTTATAAATATTAATTATTGTAAATATTATTATTATTATTAATTTCATTAATTGACAAACTAGAATCTAAAATTGTTGAGCAGATTCAATGTTTTTCAAAGAATTCAATTACATATCGCAAAAAAAAAATAATTAGGAATTTTATTTAAAAAAAAAAAGAAACTAAAAAAATTTCAACGAACCTTTGACCAGCTTGACGATAATATTTTTTGTGACCACTTCCATCTCCGTCAAGAGGTGTCGTTGGAACGTGATGATCCATATCCATGATTAACTACAAAAAAATAAATTCTTAATTAACTGTTCTTTAAATTATAAATAAAAGAATTTTTAAATTACATTTTTTTTAATTATTAATTTTTTTATCATTGCAAAATATTGAGATCACGTTTCTTATGAAATAGAAAGATTATTCTAATTATACAAAATACAAAGATTATTTTTAGTACAAATAAAAATAGATTATTTAAAAAAAAAAGAAAATATTTTTCAATTATTAATTAATAAGCAATGTTTTAAAAACTTGTTTAATTATCATAAAATATTACCTAATTTTTAAGGATTTATTCCTTAGAAATTAATAATTTAAAAAATTTGTTATTTATAATTTTATATTAGTATAAATTAATAAACAAAAAGGAAAATCTATTTCTTGGTAAATATAGTTATTAAATAAACAATTAATATTTCTAATTAAAAATATTTCAAGAATTTAATATGCAAAAATTGCTTTTTTTGGTTTAAAAAAAATAACAACTAGACAAAATGAACTACAAACAAATAATAAGATAAGAGAAAAAATAGCGATTATTGAATATTTTAACAGAAAACAAAGTTTTTTCTTGATTTACTTAGTGTAAAATATGAAATAATTAAGAATCATGCAAAAATTCTTACACAATTATTGTTGAACGTCTAAACGCCTTATACCAACTGGATACTGATTAAAAAAAAAAAAAGATAGGAATTTCACGACAAATAAGTTAAAAAAGATGTCAAATCGACGAGGCAGTCAGCGCCCTCGTTGAACTATACAAAGAGGATTTTATAGAATACTGAAAAGGCGCCGTTTATAAAATTTTCGAGAAATTCTTTTTCATTTTCAAAATATTAAAAAAAATTTCATTTAAATTATCTACTCTAATTTTAAATGATAAAAATTAAAATCTAATAATTATTTCTCAAAAAAAAAAACAATTTCAAAGTAAAATCCAAATAATTTTTCAATGAAACACTTTTACAATGAGTAAATATTTTTAATCGAATTTAAAAAAAAAAATTAAAAATTCAATTTTGATTATTTTGGCAATTTTTCTAAAAAAATTCAAATCTACTTTGTAAATGTAAAAGTTTTTAAATTTCGCTACATTTTTCTGTTTTCTGTTTTAAAAATAAAAAATTTTGCTTTTGTTTCGAAAAACAGAGAAATATTACAAAAATTTATAATAAAAAATAAAAAATTTCAAACAATAAACCGATTATTCAATGGCATAACATATCGATGCAATAATTGCTCCAAAAAAAAAAAAAAAAAAATCGAAGGCGCAGTGTGGTCATGAGTTCCATCTTTGTGCGTGCGTATATAGTTTGGTATTCTAAAATTTTGTAAATTCTCTCCATAAAATATATTATCACTGACAATTTAAATAAGACTTGAGAAACAATAAATAATTCAAAAAAAATTATGAAATAAGGAAATTTTTTTTTAAAGAAACAAATAAAATAGATAATGCACCTGTCGAATTATTGTGGAAGAAGATATCGTTCGTAGCGCTCTCTGATGCTCAAGCGACGTTAAAATTTGAGGTAAAATTCTTAAACTCGCCAATTTTGCGATTCTCCATGCGTCCGCGGTAATCATCATGTTCCCGTGAATAATCCTGACACTGTTTTGTGAAGTTTCGTGCTTGAACAATTGTGTTGCATTGTACCTATTGCGTAAAAATTAATCCAATTTAGTTGACCTCGACATAACATAACCTTTCAAAATTGACAGAGCCGACTATAGAACTTGTTGGAGAAAAAAAAAAAAATAATAATTATTCGTCCTTCAAACATTTACTCACACTAAAATTATTTGCGGTATATTTGTCACCTTTTTTTTATCATATAAAATTATTTAATTCACTTACAGGCAATTTTTTTTTGTGATACAGTTTTGTTACACATCCTTTATTGTCTTTCCAATTCGTTCATCCTAAAAATTCAATAATTTAAAATTTAGTTTATTATTCTTTGATTTTCGTTTTTTAGATATATAAAAAAAAAAAGAAACATTACTCCAAAAGATAGTGGACAAAATTTAATTTTTATTACTTGTTTATATTCGCTGTTGCATGAATATGAATTTTATAATATTGCTTTAGTATTTTCTGTCGTCCTCAAAAAAAAGATAACTCTTTTGACAGTTGACACTTGGCTTTATTTTTTCGCAACACTTATTCGATTATAAATGATTTTAATACAGACACAATTGGAACGATTTATATTAATTTTTATGAAATTAAGAAGAATTTATTCTTAAATTCTTAAGGAATTTATTTTAAAAATAAAATTCAAAATTTAGTAGAAAAGATGAACACTATTTACAAGTTGTAAATTGTTTTTAATTTGAAAGAGTAATTTTCTCACATGACAAAGATTTTATTACGTAATTATAAAAAGGAAAAAAAAACAGAGAAAAAACAGGATTTTCGAGAACGACAGTAGCAACACTTTTGTTATGTCATGTTTTTCAATTTAGACTGACGCGCCTTGAAAAATATATTGTTTAGCTCAATAGTTTAATAGTTTTCTCACATTGTTTTTCTCGATTATTTTTTGCATTCAGCGAATGTAATTTATTTTCCAACATAGAATAGTTACTATTTAGTTATTAGAAACAAGCTTCATCATCTTTACGTACTTACATTTATTTATTTTTTAATGCATTTACACTTTATTTTGTCTTATAATCCACTGTCAAAAAATATAAAATAAAAAACAATGAACATATAAATGAATTGAGTTTTATTTTGTTTCATCCACTCTAAAAATCATTTAATATTTTTTAATTGCAACACAAATTTTGTTTGCATGTTAGATGTTTCGAATTTTCAATTTCCTTTTTTTTTTTTTAAATTAGAAGAATTTATAATTAATATTGAATGGACATTTTTCTTCTTTGTAGAAATAGAAAAATAAAAAATAAGATTAATATTTATTAGATAATTGTCTAATTAATGTTTAATTTTATATTTATTCAATAAATATTTATCTAAAATGGAAAATTTCACTGTTTTTTTTTTTTTTACTCTAATTTTCAATTTCATTGGATCTTTTTAAAATCATTGAATGGCGATTCTGTGAATAATCAGCAAACGATGTACTAAAGGCAAACATTTTTCTAAAAAGATTCGCGATTATAAATTCTTAAGTAATTCAGCCAGTCAACAAAATGAACAATCAAGCATTCAGTTTGGCTGAGAGGCTCATACCATCGACTTATGTGCAACAAGGATTAAATGCGAAAAAAACACGTGAAAATCAAATAAGACACTTTATCGAACACGTGAGTAATCATTAATAAAAGTAAATTAACCCTTTGAGTCAGAAATTTGAAAAAATAAATAAATAAAAATAAGCCAAAAATTCTGAACGTTCAAATGAATGAAATATTTTTTTTATATCTATAAATTATTAAAAATTATGTAAAATAAGATTATTAAATTAATAACTTCTTTTTAGATATTTAAAACAATATTTTGTAAGAAAGAAAAAGAAGTTGCAAAAAAAAAACTCGTTCAAAACTTTTGGCTCATAAAAAAAACCGTTCTTACTTTCCCTTAGAAATAAAACATAGAAAACAAGAAATTAAATTAATATCTGTCTGAAAAGGGTTAATTTCGTTTTAAAAAAATGAATTATTAAATAATTATATTTACCTCTAGCGAAAATGGCCAGAAGATGGATGGGACGATGCGACTATAGAAGCATTTTTAGCCGATCTTGCCCAAATGGACAGCAACAATTTTCCCTCAAATTGCAGTGTTGGCGAACGAGAGGCAAGAATTATATCAAATATTGTTGCTAGACGACATTTTCGTATGGGTCATGGAATTGGAAGATCCGGTGATTTGGAGGAAGTTCAACCAAAAGCAGCTGGTAGCAGTCTCATGTACAAGTTGACAAACGCTTTGGTCCTGGAAGTAATTCGATACATGGGTAAGAAACATTTTCGAAAAAAGAAGTCTTTCAAATTAAATATTAAAATAAAAAGAATATATTATTTTTTTTTTTTTCAGGAGTAAAAACAATAGCGGGTTGTTTTCTATCGCCAATGGCTACGGGCATGAGTTTAGTTCTTTGTATGTTGACATTCAAACAAGACAGACCTCGAGCTAAATATGTCCTGTGGTCGAGAATCGATCAAAAATCAAGTTTCAAATCTATAATCACAGCGGGTTTGGAGCCAGTGGTTCTTGAAATGCAAATAGTTGGTGACGAACTAAAAACTGATATGCAAAGGCTCGAGGCACAAATGTCAGCGTTAGGTGAAAGCGTTGCTTGTGTACTCACAACAACAAGTTGTTTTGCTCCCCGTGCTTGTGATTCAATTGACGCAATTGCTGCTCTCTGCACTCAATACAATATTCCACATTTAGTGAACAATGCTTATGGGTGAGTTACATTAAATCAGAAATAAAAAATTATTACTAAATCTTTTCTTTTTTTTTAGTTTACAGAGTACAAGATGCATGCATCTGATACAAGAGGCCTCGAGAAAAGGAAGAGTTGATGCATTTGTTCAAAGTACGGATAAAAATTTTTTAGTTCCAGTAGGTGGTGCAATAATTGGCTCATTCGATAAAAATACATTGGATCGAATATCAAAAATTTATCCTGGTCGTGCCAATGCAAGTTCTGTGATGGATGTTATGATAACGTTATTGAGTCTCGGTATGGCGGGTTATAAGCAATTGATTGCACAACGAAAAGAAATGTATTCATATTTAAAAGATGAATTAGGCAAAATTGCCAATCGTCATGGTGAGAGACTTCTTGATACAAAGGGAAATCCAATTTCAATGGGTATGACACTTCAATGTCTCAGTCATCAACATGATAATAAACAAGTGACAATGTTGGGTTCCATACTATTTCTCAGGAATGTCAGTGGAACAAGAGTCATTACAACAACAGATTCAAAATTAATTGCCTCACATAAATTTGAAGGTAAACTGAAAAATAGATTTAATATTAATAATAATAAATAATGAATAATAAATAAATAGTAATAAATACCTTGAATTTTCGGAAATTTTTCCACAGGTTGGGGAGCACATAATAGTAATTATCCGGTACCATATTTAACAGCGGCTGCGGCACTTGGTATGAGACGATCGGATGTCGATATGTTTATTCAAAGACTTGATAAGGCATTGACAAAAGTGAGACGACGATCGGCTCCAGTTACACCAACAGCATCTTTGGCTGGTTCCAGTATCAATGGTGATGCAAGTGGTGCTGGTGGTCCAGGGGAATCAAGTACAGCATCCACCAGCCGAGCAAGCAGTAAAGACAGCCTGCGAAAATGAACCGTAATCAACGCAACTGGCCAGTCGAATCAGCACATTAATCTCAATTTATAAGCATCTGCTTATAAAAAAAATTGTCTTCTTCTTCTCTAAAATATCTTCAATCATCTAACTATTAAAAGTCAATAGATAAATAACTATTGCAATTTTTTATTAGAAAAAAAAAAAAAATTTATTTATTGACTTTATTTCATTGACAATCAGTATTAATTATATTTATTTATCTTATAGAACATAAATATCAAAAGAGATGATTTTTTTTTTTTTTTTTTGAAGATATTTTAGAGAAGAAGTAATTTAATGAGCTGATCGATCTGTCCTTTTGCGTTGAGTAATCGACGATTTAGAAAAAAACAATATTAAAAAAAAGGGTCTTTTCTCACCAAGAATTAAATTAATATTTACTCAAGAACTTAGTATATTGTTTTTTTTAACAATTACTATAGTGTTTTGAGTGAATGTAAAATGAAGTAAATAAAAATCCTCGAATAAAGCTTTTAATCTAGAAAAAAAAATTGCCGATATGAACAATAGCAATCAAATTTAAAAAAAAAAAAACTCAAAATAAACACTTTTTCTTTCATATGATAAAATCAAATTTCTTTATTTTTTTATTTCTAGTGTTAATACTTTTTAAAAATATTCCACACTATTTTTTTTCCAAACTTTCCACTAAAAACTGATTTTTGCTTTTATAACATTTTTTATATATCAATCAGAAAAAAAACTTGTACCTTTTTTTAAAAAAAATGAACATTTTCTCGAAAAAAAAAAAAAAAAAAAAATTGTGAAAATTTCCGAGAGAAATAAATCATAATGATTAAAGTAAAGATAAACTAATAATATTAAATATAGTTTTCCTATTTTTTTTTTTGTCACGATTTTACGAATACAGTAGAATTTTCGCTCCATGCAGAAAATCACTGCCGACAATGAAACTGATATTTGCAATTTTTCAAAAAATGAAAAATACTATCTAGGAAGAATTAAATTCTAAATTCCAGTATTTTTTTTTTTATTTTTAATGAAATTAAAAGGAAAAAAAAAGGAATTTAGAATTTTTTTCGTTTTTTGAAAAATTTTGCAAAATTTTTTCTTCATTCTGCCTTTTGTAGAAAAAAAACAGGCTACGATTCAAAAAAATAAATGGCAATAAAAAAAAAAAAACGTAAAAAAAAATCTGTATGGATTTATGCTATACATATGTCACAATGTACTCTCATTGAATACTATATACTTGGCTTTATATCATTATATATAGTGTAATGAGAAAATTAGAAAAGAAAATCTATTAGAAAATTGAAAGGAAGCACTTTTGATAATTCAAAAAAAAATGGTGCTGAATTCTCATCGCGCATAATTAAATAGCACTTTTAGGTGGTAGTGCATATAGAACAATTTAAAAGTTAATAATTCCATTACCACCATCAACATTTGCATTTAAAATTTTAACTGCCTGTTAAAAAAAAAAAAAAAACAAAAAAACTCAAAAATGTTTTTTCTCTCTATTAAATGATTTTTCTAGTTGTATTTTTCAATCACTTATAAATTAATCTATACGTGCATATCTCTAGTATTAATTATAATTCGAAAATTATTATTGAAAAAAAAAATAATTACACTATATATTCATAAAAATCTCTTTCTCACTTTTTTGATAACGCTCAATCAGAATAGTTTAAGATAATTAAAATTTTTCCATTAAAGCTTCTAATAAATATTTTGTTTGCAAAAAAAAAGAAATACAAATTTATTCATCACAATGAAAATTCTATAATTTAATTGAAAATTTTATTTATTCATTTGCTGTCATGACATATTCGATAATGATAGTGAAATAGAAAAAAAATATATATATATATTATAAAGTTACGATAGATTATTCAAAAAAAAGTTACTAATATTATAAAATTATAGAAAGAGAGCTATTAATTAAATTAATAGTAAATTAAATAGTATACGTGGTATTACTAAATACCAAAAAAAAAGAGAGAACATTCCTATGTAAATAAAATCATTATTTTTTAATTCATTTGTTATATATTATTGAAGATTTTTGTAAAACACATATTTTATTGCGCTCGCACCAAAATGAGCCTTTCGCTTACACAACGATTTCTATAATATGTAAAATTATTTATTATTTTATTAAAATATATATCGCCAAATTTTGTGAAATTGCCTAAATTGATATTTTTAAAAAAAAGAGAGTTTTCAATTATTTTCAATTTCGAAAAAAGAAATCTTGAAAAATTGACGATGGTGGAAAATGCTTCGTCCACTTGAGATTAAAAAAAAAAAAAAAGAATGAAAAACTTATTAAATTTGTTGAAGTTTAAAACGTTACCAATATTGTACATATATTATTGTTTTAATTGAAAATTTTTAAGATTATATATATATATATATATTATAAATGTTTAAGATATTCTATTAAGAGTATAGAATAAGAAAAATGCGATATGTCAAAGAATATGGAAATCATTATATATGTGAATATAATGATTCATAAATAATTAAATAATAATAATAAAATAGCAGCAATAAATAATATACTATATAGAAATTGCTTTTTTTTCTCGTGCACAAAATAAATTTGAGGCACAAATAAAAAAGAAAAATATAATTAAAAAAAATGAAAAAATCAAATCGGCTATTGATTTAGAATTATAATACAATAAATGCGATTTTTTCTCTAATACAATTCTATTATATAATAATTCTCTAATGCTCGATACTTTATTTGTATCATACACACACACACACACATACACACATCGTTGTCGAATAAATATTTTAAATTTCCAATGGAGCTGTGAATATTTAAAATCATCTCTACATCCGACAATGCGAAATGTATTTTCACATTATACAGAATTATTATTTGTAATAAAAAGACACCAAGAGAATGCAATAAATATAAATCAACTAGTAACGATTTGTTTTTATTTACATAATCAATTTTATTTAAAAAAAAAATTAAATTAAATAAAAATTTTTTTAAAAAAATGATATTTATTATTAATATTTAATTATTTTATAAAATATTTGAATTAATATTTATGAAAGTTTACTTTTTAATTCTATTAATTATGAACAATTGAATAAAAAAAAAATGCTTTTTAAATATTTTAAAGAAATTTTGAATTTTAAAAAAATGCGCCAGTTAATTTTAAAAATGGTTTCTCATGTGTCAAATTTGTATTTGTTGTTTCAAAATAAAAGTTCATCGCCTATATGATTGTCTTGCAAATACTATATAAGTTTTAAATATTACTTTTAAATATTTAATTATTATTTTAAATTGTAAAAAAAGAATCAATATCAATTTAATAATTGATATTATTTCAGATATAAATGTACTTTAGAAATTCCGTTTAAAGAATCGATAATATTATCCACGTTGGCAATTTACAAATAATTATCAATAAATCTGTATGGTAAGTATTAATTAAAATAAACAATATACAATAATAATTAATTTTCTACTCGATTCAATAATAATAATTCAATTTTTAAATGTATTTATTTTATAAAAGTTGTTTTTAAATTTTCTTTCTAAACATAACCTCAAAATATTGCCTTTTAACGAAATTTATACTTTATTATATAAAATAAATATATTAAAATAAATATTAAAATAAAAATAAATAAATATAATAAAATAAATATTAAAATAAAAATAAATAAATATAATAAAATAAAATATAAAATAAATAATAATAAAAAATAAAATTATAGATAAATTCAAAATAATATTAATATTTTTTTTTAAATATAAAAATTAATTGAATATTGTTATTTTAGATTGCATTTATTGTTATTAATAAAATAAAATGGCCAAATTAAAAGGACACGAAAGATCACAGAAAAGAGCAAGGATATTAAATCACAGTGATTCGGATACGACGTCAATTTCTAAGATGCCTATTTTCAATACATTTTTAACAATTATATTAATAGGAGTTGCTATTTGGTTTAGTTATAAAGGATATTTAGAAACTCGTGTTAATACGCCATATAATGTTGAGAAAGTAAGTAATTTATCTATGAAAAAAAATAAATAAATATTAATTTTTGATGAATTTTCATATTTTTTTCTATTATAGTTAATTAATGAAGCCAAATTAAATAATTCCGAGAGATATTGGGGTACATATAGATCAGGCGTTTATTTTGGAATGAAAACTCGAGATCCTTATTCATTGGTAACGGGTCTTATGTGGTATTTTCCACATTTTTTACGACAAGGAGGAGATGGACTAAGACATTGGTGTGAACAAGGCGATAAATTAGATCGGTAATTATATCAAAAAATTAATGAAACTAAAATTACCAATGTTGATTCAATGAAAAAAAAAAAAAAATTTTAAGGATTCTAATTCCCATCAATGAAATTTGATTATTTTCAACCCTCTGAAAGCTGAAATAAAAAAAAAAACAAAAAAAAAAAACAATATTTATCATTGTTTTGCCCCGGATTTTCCAAAAATTTCGAAATTTCAAATAATTTTGCTATTTCCTCGACTCGGAAGCAATTTTTCTTGTTTGATAATTATTTGTTTCAATGCTAGAAGCATTTTATAAAACGCGAAAAATTGCTTCCGAGGCGGGGAAAACATTATTTATTATTGTTTTGTCCCGGATTTTCTGAAAATTTCGAAATTTCAAGACAATTATTATTTCCCCGCCTCGGAAGCAATTTTTCTCGTTTGATAATTATTTATTTCATAGAAGCTTTTTAAAACACAGAAAAATTTCTTTCAAGTCGAGGAAAGCAGTGATTTTGAATTTTTTTGTCACGGATTTTCCGAAAATCTCGAAATTTCAAGTAAATTGCTATTTCCTCGCCTCGGAAGCAATTTTTCTTCTTTGATAATTATTTATATCAATGCTAGAAGCCTTTTTTTAAAAAAAAAGAAAATTTGCTTCCGAGGCGAGGAAATAGCAATTTACTTGAAATTTCGAGATTTTCGGAAAATCCGTGACAAAAAAATTCAAAATCACTGCTTTCCCCGACTTGGAAGCAATTTTCCTGTGTTTTAAAACGATTCTAGCATTGAAATATATAATTATAAAACGCGAAAAATTGCTTCCGAGGCGAGGAAATAGCATATTACTTGAAATTTCGGGATTTTCGAAAAAAAATTTAAAATCACTGCTTTCCCCGACTTGGAAGCAATTTTTTCTGTTTTTTAAAAGGCTTCTAGCATTGAAATAAATAATTATCAAACGAGAAAAATTGCTTCCAAGGCGGGGAAATAATAATTGTCTTGAAATTTCGAAATTTTCGGAAAATCCGGAACAAAACAATGATAAATATTGTTTTTTTTTTTTTTATTTCAACTTTCAGAGGGTTGAAAATAATCAAATTTCATTAAAGGGAATTAGAATCCTTAAATTTTATTTTTTCATTGAATCAACGTTGGTAACTTTAGTTTCATAATATTATATTTTAATTTAATTCCTTGAATTTGGCAAAAAAAAAAATTATCTTGCTCTTCTTTAAATATATTTAAAAACAATTTCATTAATTAATTATAATTTAATAAAAGGTACGCTTGGTTAGAGCACGATGGAGAAACTTTTGGCGTACAGGAAATAGTTGATGGTGGCGCTATTTTAACAACATCGTTTGTAAAAAAGCCAGGTGGTAGACACGGTGGCGATTGGACAGCGAGAATTGGTGTTAAATCAGAAAAAAAAGGTGAACGCGATGGCGAAGAAATTTCATTTATCTTTTATACGGCAATTGAGGATAAAACAAATGGCAAAATAAGAGTAGTTTTAGGTGATAATCAACGTCTCACTGGAATGGAGGGCAATACTGAGGGTTTGGGATTTTTTTCAATTAATCTCAATATACTTAAAGGTCAAGTGGAGGAACATTCATTTTTGGCAACTGTTGCGCCTGGTTTACATGTTTTAAAAGAAATGGTATTACAAAATTTTCGCGTTGCCACACAAAAAGGAACGAATAAAAAACACATTGTTCTTGGCGGTGAACAATTGTCATCCACTCACGATGGAAGTAAATTAAATCCAAATTTCATTGCAACACAAATAACGGGAAAAATACCATTTGAATTTGAAATTAGTTTTGAATCGGGAAGTTTTAATAATCGTAGTGAAAAATTAATTGGTGAACATTATCAAAAAATACTCAATGAACGACGACAAAAGTTTAATGAGAAATTTGAGAAAATTTTTCAACTTACCGCAAAGGGTTATAAAGAAGATGAAGTTAATTTTGCAAAAATGGCTTTTTCAAATATGATGGGATCAATTGGATATTTTTATGGTTCGGCACAGGTGAAAAGTGATTATACCAAAGAATCGGTACCTTATTGGAAAGCTGCTCTTTACACAGCCGTTCCGAGTCGAAGTTTTTTCCCCCGTGGTTTTCTTTGGGATGAAGGCTTTCATGGATTACTTATTTCTACATGGAATTTAAATATTGAAATGGATATTATGAGTCATTGGTTTGATTTAATGAATATTGAAGGTTGGATACCAAGGGAAATGATTCTTGGACAAGAAGCACTTGTCAAAGTACCAGAAGAATTTGTCACTCAAGTTAATACAAATGCAAATCCACCGACATTTTTTCTCACATTAAAATATATTCTCAATCATAATCGTAATGAATTATTGAGAAATCATTATTATTTATTGGATAAACTTTATCCTAGACTTCAGGCTTGGTTCAATTGGTTTAATACAACACAAATTGGTGATATACCAGGAACATATCGTTGGCGAGGAAGAAATAGTACAACAAATCGTGAATTAAATCCAAAAACTCTAACATCAGGATTAGATGATTATCCAAGAGCTTCACATCCAAATTTAGATGAACGTCATGTTGATTTAAGATGTTGGATTGCACTCGCCGCTAATGTAATGTTTGAAATTGCTGATATTCTACATAAACCAAGCTCAAAATATTTAGATACTTATAATTATTTAACAGACAATGATTTATTAAATCAATTACATTGGTCGCCAAGGACACAAACATTTGCCGATTTTGGATTACATACTGATAAAGTAAACCTCAAGAAACCAACACCATCACCAAGATCACATCAATCTTTGGAAATGTCACGTATTGTTTTAGAGGATCCTATTTTAAGATTTGTCGATAATACATTTGGTTATGTTTCATTATTTCCATTTATTTTACAAATCATTGAACCAAATTCATCGCAATTGGGAAAAATTCTTGACGATATTGTTAATCCTGATTTATTATGGACTAAATATGGATTGAGATCATTGGCAAAAAATTCTCCACTTTATATGAAATATAATACAGAGCATGATGCACCTTATTGGCGTGGTGCTATTTGGATGAATATTAATTATCTTACTGCTAAAGCCTTACATCATTATTCAATAATTGAAGGACCAAATCAAGCAAAAGCAAAGGATATTTATAAAAATTTAAGGAAAAATTTAATTAAAAATGTAATTTCACAATATAAAAAAACGGGATTCCTTTGGGAAAATTATGGTGACACTTATGGAAATGGAAAAGGTTGTCATCCTTTCACTGGATGGACTTCGTTAACAGTTTTACTTATGTCTGAAATTTATTAAATTGTCATTTAATATTTTTAAATTTCAATTTTCTGACTCAAACATTATAATTTTTTACTATATATAATAGAGAAATTTCATTATTAATTAAAAGACATTAGAGTAAAGAAAAAATAATAAAACTGATAATAATGAAATTAAAAAAAAAAATTAATAATAATTAGTCATAAATAATAGAAAACAAGAATTTAATAGCAAGAATACTAGTAATCATATCAAAAATAATTGATAATCTTGTAGACATATTGCAATTATTACAAATCAATTAAATATTTATCAAATATGTATAAAAATTTTTAAACTCATTTTAACGTAGAATAAAGTTTTAAAAAATTTCTAATATAAAATTTTAAAATACTTCTTGAATTTTTATTCTATTTTTTTTTTTTTTGAATGAAATTAAAAATTGGTATGATTGAGTCAGAAAAGGGCATTATCTATAGAAAAATAATATAGACAATCTAATGGCAAAGATTCTAAAATTTTAAGCCTCGAATATTGCTTCAAACTATATTTATGAATTTTTGAAATAGTTTTTCATATATTAACATTTTAAAGGTATATTGCTATTAAAATAAAACTTTATAGTATATAATATTTTAAAGAACGTACAAAACTAAATTTCAAAATGGCTAATTAGTGTAAATGTAGAATAATCTATTGTGTAAATGATTTTTTTTTTATTCTATAAAATTAATTTAATAAACTATACCTGTACGCGCCTTGGCTGTGATGCATTAATATATGTGAATAACAGCATTTAATTTTAACAATGACTTTATAAACCTAAATGTATTCAATTTAAAAAAATTTCTATACGATACTATTCTACTGTTCTATATCTATTTCCGACTGTATAATAAAATTATTTATTTTTAAGAAATTTTTCATTATATCTCATACCTTGTTCATACATTTCACGAAAATAATTTTATTTACGATATATTATATATTTAAAATATTTAATTAGATATTTTTATAATAGATAAATTACAATTTTCCGAAGATAAAAAATAAAAGTTTAAGCATGTCGATGTAGAGGTTATGATAACCGTCAAGCACGTTAAACTAATTTTATGTCAATATTTGATAACAATTTCTACAAATTTAATAGTAAATAAAATCAAACTCACTTGTTGATGTTTATAGAAGATAGATGGTGATTATTTTCCAGAAGTAATTGCATTTTAAATGATTTTATTAAGAAATTTTTACTGCACACAAAAAACGATGTGAATTTTAAAACCGGTAAACTTAAACACCTTACTTCAGACTATTCACTTCTCGAAGTTTCGATTAATCGAATGGAAATTAAGATGGCGTCGGTTTAAAATACTAAGATACTTTCTATGATTTTTATAGATTAAAAACTAATATTAATGTCTTGCATTAATACTAATATATCGAAATTTTCAATACTAATTAGTAATTATTCAAAATAAGAAATTTATATATTAAAAAAGTGCATATTAATCAAATATTATTTCCCGCTTCTATAATGGAAAAAGTAGGTTGAATTATAGAAATAAAAATTGATTTTCATTCGCTGAAGCTCAACCAATGAAATCATTTCTTTCTTCCGGCAATGCGTAACCATGGCAACTGTTTGTATTGACATTCAACTGTCAATTTTCTGTTTTTTTTTCTCTTACTTTTACTTAATTTTAATATCAAAGAGTGTAAAAAAGAGTAATTGAAACACAATTCATCAATTATAAATATTTGAATAAATTTTCTTGATAATGGCCACCGAAAAGGATTTAATTAACGGTAAGTTTGATTTATATTTCATAAATATTTTTGTTATTTATCTTATAGATTAAAATTTATTTATATGATCAAATTGATAATTAAATTTAAGTTGTTCGTCCGAGATAAAGTTAATAATTTTTCATATACTAATGAATAAATATTAAATTTCCGTGAAGTATTGATAAAAAAAAAATTGTCTGCGACCGGCATATTTAACATCTCTGTAAAAGAAAAACATGTCAACGTCTCTTGTGTATACATGTAGGAAATTCAAGCACGAACAAATATGAATTTATGGATGGATTGCAAGATGCAAAACAAACAAAATTTAAAAATTCTAAGGATGTTTATGTTTCGCGTAACGGTGTCCCTGCTTCTACAAGTTTTCCTCTTTCTGAAGTGAGTAAAAAGAAATAATAAAAATTATCGATTTTCTATTTATATTTTAAAAATAAAATAGATTATTTTCAATTGAAAAAAAAAAATAATAAAACTAAATTATAGATTCAAATCTGTAAATGCAGTCATCAATGTCATAAACTTACATTTGAAGATAAACAAAATCTCTTTAATTTGTTTAATAAAAAAACATTTGACGAACAATCGCAATATATTGTCAATTGTATGGATTTAATTGAGACAAAAAAAAAGAAAATTGATAAAACTATTTCACAAAGACAGGCAATTTTTCATTATAATTTAAAAATTGGATTAAAAATTATATCAGTTTGTCAAAGAACACTTTGCAATGTTTTTGGTATAACACAAAGACGAATACAAATTCTTCAAAATAAAATAAAATCTGAAAATAAAAAATTATTTGTTTCAATTAAAGAAGAAATTAATGATAATAATTTATTTGAAAATTATAATGATGAAATTTATCAACAAATGAAAGAAAATATTAATTCATCCAATGATTCTGATCAACAATCAATAAATAAAAAAATACATCAATTATTTAGTGAAAAATATCCTGAAATAGAAATATCACGTCAAATTTGTAACAATGATATAATAACTGAGAATTATTGGGATAATTTTAATGAAAATGAATTTTTTGAAGATATTGATGAACCAATAAATGATCGTTTATTAATTGATGAGAATAATTTTTGCGTTGTGAAATTTGAGGAGGAATGTAAGTTATATTGTATGTATATGGAAAAATAATTATTTTAATGATTATGATGATACTTCACGGAAATTCGAATATTTATTTCTATTTGTATAGTTATTAAGAATTTTTTTTTTTTTTTTTAAACAGTTTTTAGGTGAATATTTTTTCAATAATTTCAGCTGTACGAGATTCTTTGGAAGCCGATGGACAACTTGGACGAATTAAAGCGGAAATGAGAACAGAAGTGATGAAACTTTTGGATGGTTCTAGTAAATCTAGTAGAGTAAAGAGGCCAAAATCTCCACACGATGTGCTTTTTTTAAACGAATTAATTAGAGAATATTTCGATTGGATTGGCTACAAGTACACCTCAAATGTTTTTGTTACTGGTAATTTCTATTTTTAATTTACAGTAAAATAAATTTTATTCTATTAAATTAAATAATTTAACTCAAAAAAAACAATTATTCTCTTTTTTTCACTCTGTTTTAATTAAAATTAAAAAAAAAATTTTATTTACAGAATGTGAATTAGGAAAACAACCTTTGGATCGTGCTTTTCTCACACAAGATTTGGGAGTGAAAGAAACCGAAAAAAGCAAAAGTCTACCATTGTTATTTTGTGTAATTGAAGCATTTAAAGAATTAAAAGCATCGTCAATGAGTTCCTGTTAAAAAAAGAAAAAGAAAACTTTAATATCGTTAATAATTGTTCCGAGAGTGCAATTAAAAATTTGATCTCGTATTTTTAATATTTAATTTTTTTTTCTTGAATATTCTAAATTAAATTGTGATTAATAATAGTGAATAAGATTAAATAAAGAAAAACTATAAAAATTTCACGTAATTAATTTTTTTAAATTAGAAAAATTAATTTGTTTTACTTGTATTTTATGTCCATTTTACTTATTTTAAATGAACAATGATCGGGAATTTTAAATAATAGAAACATTTACGAATTCTTATATATTTTATTGTATTTCTACATTATTTTATTTTTTTTTAGACATATTGTGAAAAGTACAATACAACATTAACGTTGACTTCCATGTTTTTCATCGCATTTCATGGTTATTATAATTAAATGTGATAGAAGCATTTTATCACTTTTACCTTGTAACACATTATTGTTCTGTACAATTTTTTTTTTAAATAATCATATCTTTAAAGTATATAACGTGGTGTATTAATGTTTTTTTTTTTTTTTTCATTTCTAAATCAAACGAATTTCTCAAGTTTATTTTTTTTAAGATTCTTGACAATCTTGGAACTTAATAAATATATTTAATACGTTATTAACCAATATTGAAATTAATCAAAGAATCTAACACGAAGCGTTTGAAAGTTTTATGAGAATTTTTACATTTTTTCAAAAATTCTCTTGCTCCGGTTGTTTTTAGTGACGTCATTTGTGTTTTGACTTCTTTTTCTTTTTTTGTTTGCTTTTTTTATATTTCTTCGATTTTTTTCGATGTCGTTCTTCTTCTGTACTTGAATCAGATGAATCTGAATAACTATCTGAATCTGAACTTGTTTCTTTTTTGATTGATTTCTTTTTCTTATGCTTCTTGTGTTTTTTCTTTCGTTTCTTGTGTGATTCATCGGAACTTTCACTGTCTGTTGATGTTGTTTCTGTACTACTTGATTCATCGTCAGAACTTATTGATTTTATTCGTTTCTTCTTGTCAGTTTCTTTTACAATAATTTGTGATTCATCAAGTTTTACTTTTTTAACAGGAATTGTTTTCTCTTCAGTTTCAGATTCCGATTCAGATGCAGAATAATCGGGTTCAAAATTTGCTTCATCGAGAACACTTCGTTTACGATCGGAAACAAGTCGTGGATTTTTACGTTGTTTTTTTGAATCTTCAGTTATTGTAATTGATGGTATTTCAGAATTTCCTGGTACTTGTTCATTAATTTCGATTTTTTCAATAGAAGCCATTTTTTCCTTGTGCTTTTGCTTTTTATCCAAATGTTTCTCCTTATCTTTTTTGTGTTTCTTTTCTTTTTTCTTTTTACGATCTTTTGATTTACTTCTACTTCGATGTTCTTTTTTACGTTTCTTTTCCTCGCGTTTCTTTTCTTTTCGCTTCTCTTTTTCTTTATCAATTTCCTCATCTTTTCGAATTGGTTTGGGAATGTCAATTTTACGGAACATTATCGGTGGTGTTCGATCACGTTCTCTTTCGCGTTCAATTTTAGAAGCTCGTAAATCTGTTCTTAAATCGGGTCGCATATCTGAACGATTATTTCGTTCTTTTGGCCTATCAATGCGTTTTCTTTCTTCTAAAAAGACTTTTCGTTCGGGATTTAATGGTAATGATTCTCTTTTATCATCGAGACATGGCGATAAACGTCGTTCGCGTATTAATCGAGGTGAACGACTTCTTTGTCGGGTTTCAATTTTTGTTTCTCTTAAAAGAATTTTTGGACTTGGTTTACGTTCCTTGTCGTCTTCAACTTTATCACCGAGTCTTTCTTTTGCCGATAGTCTTGTTGGTGAATGTGTTTCCAAAACTGGTTTGAATTTAGAACGATCTAATTTTGCTTTTTTTGTCGGTTCACTTATTTCGACATTTCTCTCATTTTTCCCAACATTTATTGTCACGTTGACATTTTTACGTTGCTGTTGTTGTTGTTGTTGTTGCTGTTGTTGTTCACGTGGTGGTTCAACTTCGAGAATTTTTGGTTCTGGATTTTGATAGAGAATTTTTCGGCTTTCACTTATTTTTTTTATTTCAATTGGCCTTATGGCATTTATTGCCTTTTGGAAAATTGCATTCTCAGCTCTTTTTAGTACTTCTGATGTGACAACTTTATTGTCCTTTATTTCATCGGATTCACGTTTATTATCATCTGTATCGAGTGTGACTTCTGTTTTTTCATTAGTTTCGTCACGTTCCCATTTGGAAATTTCTGGTACTGGTGCTAAAAATTCATCTTTCTTTGGTGATTTTACTATTTCGGTGGGTTGTTGTTCTTCTGTTTCAATTTCAGTTTCATTTTCTGGGAGAATTGTATATTTTTCTGTTATAACGGTATTTATTTCTGTATCGTCTAATCCACTGTATAAACTATCGATTGCTTTTATTTCGTTTTTAATTTCTGCTTTTAATTCGGGTATTGGTTTGAAATTTGGATTCGGTGGATTTGAACCTGGTTCGGATTCTTCGACTTTTGGCGATGTAATTATTATCTCAGTTTCTGGTGGTTCAGGATTAATTGCAAGTGATTTCTCATCAAATTCTTCAGTTGAAGGTACACTGGATTCATTGGTAATTGGTATTTCTTGTGATTCTTCGGGTTTAATATTTTCAACTTTTAAAAGTGCAGACGCTTCAGCGGCTTTTTCCTCTTCTGTTTTAATAATTTCATTTGCTGTTGCTTCAGATGCTTTCGCTTGTTCTTCTTTGAGTGCTTCCTTTTGAATTAATTTCTTTTCCTTTTTCTTCTTTTTCTTCTTCTCTTTCTCCTCGCTGTCCTTCTTCTTTTTCTTGTCCTTTATTTTTTTTTCTTTCTTTTTCTCCTCGGGTTTTTCCTCATGATCACGATCCTTCTTTCGTGAACGTTCAGGTGATACGTCCTTTAAATCGGATCGAGATTTTGAAATATAAGGACTTGGAGTGCGTTTCTTTTTTCTGTCGACAAATGATTTTTCATAACGCTCATGTCGTTCACGATCCTTTTCTCTTTCGTAATCTCTTTCTCTTCTGTCGCGATCTCTATCACGCATTCGTCCCTTATCTTCCATTCTATGTCGATCTCTTTCATCTCTAAAGCTGAAAATTAAAAAAATTTGTTAACAATTTTCTAATGTCGGGGATTTTTCTTTGAAAAATTTTTTTAATTTTTTATGTAAATAATTTTTGAAAATAAAAATTTGTATTTTTTTTTTTTTTTATTAATGATTTTGCAAGCTTACCGTTCTTTTTCATAATCCCTCTTTTCAAATTGTCTATCATCATCTCTTCTAACCATTTTCTCATCTCGATCTTTATCCCTTCGATCTCGATCATCTTTTTCTCGATTTCTATCATCACGTTCCTTTATTATAGGCGCAGGTCTATCACGATCATCTCTTTCTCGAAGTCTATCTTCACGATCTCTTACCCTAGTTATAAAAATTATTATTATTATTATTATTACAGGAACGATAAAATTAAAAAAAAAATAGATAAACACATTTATTTTGGAAATACAAATGATTGGAAAAATTAATTATAATAAAAAAAATTGAAATTACCTGTCATCTCGTGGAGGTCCTCTTTCACGATCCTCGAGCTCCTGATTTTTGGATGCTGGTTCTCTTGGTAGTCTATCAGTGGGCCTTTCTAAATGATCAACACCTGGAGGTGGCAAATCATAATATCCTTCTGTTCCTGGCGGTGCGACATCATCAAATCGCTTGTGAGTATGTTCTCTATGAGGACTATTATTATATCTTGCAGGTGATGGTCCAGCAGGATATCTGTTAACAGAAAAATCATCAAATTTTATTTTTAAGTGAAGCTAAAAAAAAATATCTAATCCCTATAAACTTCAAGGATTCGTAAAAAATAGTGTCTCGGAACAATAATTCAACTACATTTAAATATTCAGAATTCAAATTAAAAATGATATAAAATTGCTTTTACTAATTATTTTAATATAAAAATTGAAAATTTTTATTAATTTAAGTATTTTATTCTAAAATTTCTTTAATAAAGCTCAAGAAACAAAAAAAGGTACGTTATCCTGGAAGTTTAAAAGAAAGAAAACATTAAAAATAACATTTTTCAGTAATAAAATTGATTATAAAATATTTAAAATACATTTTGAAGAAAGTTACTAATCTACATAACAAATAAGTCATTTAATTTAATAAAATAAAACTCTAATTAATTGACTCATTTGATATGAATAAAATAACTTTTTTTTTTTAAATGTATAATAATAGTTAGGCTGAAATGAATAATCAATTAACGAAACATTGTATATAATTAGTCACCGTCGCATTTACTGTAAAAGTAATTATTATAGATGTAAAGGAAGATGAAACCAACATTTGTAACCAATTTCTACGGTCACAATGTGAATATATTAAATTTCAGAATTTTGTTGACATTATAAAAATAAATGAAATTTTCATTGTTATCTTGCATACGTAGAAAATTAATTGGAACCTTGAAGAAATTGCAAATTCTTTGCTTTAATGTGTTAAAAATGTTGGTTTGGCCCTGAATTCACCTGAATCAGAAACCATGATGAAGTAGATCATTTGAATTGGATGGTATTGTGGGGAGCAGCATTCTCATAATCCACGATGGACCCGCACGTTGGAAAAATATGTTTCTTCGTTCTCTTGTCGAACATTTACAATTAATATTTCATTATTCTTTATTAGAATTTTTTACAAAGAACATTGTACAAAAAAGAATCGTAATAATTGCTAAATAATAATTATAAACACTATACAAAACTAAAAATCCTTAAAAAAAATTTTTATTCTAAATTATAATTTAAATATTAATACAGTGAAGTATTTTTCAAAAATTCACACAATATCGCATTATTTGATCTTATCTTAAAATATATAGTCGTTTATTTACACTTTACACTTATGGTAAATATTAATCTTCAATTATTCATATTGTTAATCGAAAAAAAAATAATCATGGAACCAATAATAACGAAAGTATTGAAATATTTTACAAAATTGTTTATTCGAAAAACCAATTCTATTAAATAATGAATATAAATCAATCTTACCAAAAAATGATCATTGATTATAAAATCAAATTTAATGAACCTCTTTTGGTAAGAGATCATTTATAGGAAAATGAAAGGGACAAATAATAATGTGCTTTGGAAAATGAAAATATCTTTGTTTTTCCTTATTACAAAAATGCGTAGTCATACAAATAAGTTGTGTATTTTTTATAACAAAATACAAAAGAAGAAAGTATGAAATTGCATAATTAATTTAAAAAAAAATAATAAATTGAAATATTAAAAATTTTTAGTGAAAAAATATTATATTTTTTGCAGAAAAAGAGCTTTCTATTTTTCAAAATTGTATAAAATATTTACTAACGTTCAAACTTTCCTCCCTTGTGTAATTTTTTTTTTTTTTTTCAAATAATATTTAACACAATTTTCTTTTTAAAGCTTACTCTCACGTAGATGGTTCTTAAATCTATTCAAGAAAGAACAACACAAAAGCATTGGTACAAAAAAAAAAAAAAAAAGTGAACAATGAAAGATTGTATAAAAAACAATCACTTTACGCATTTACTAATTACTGATCAAATAAATTTCATGTGAAATATTTATTTTTTTTAAATTGTTTCTTTTAATAATAGTATTAACTAATTTTAATCATAAATTTTTAAGATATGAATCTTTAGATTTTTTTTTTATTAAAAAAAGGAAGAAATTTGTGTAAAAACTTCTGACGTATGTCAATAATTAATTTAGAGACGTGATGTTCCTAAATTATAGATAGAGAAATAAATAGGGATGAGTTCACAATTAATAGTGATTGAATAATCAAAAATTTCATTATGGAAAATTTAATCGTCTAAAAGGAAATTTTGTAATTTCCAATGAAGAATAAGAAGAATTTGTTTCTAGAAAGGAAACAAAATTGAAATAGAACCAAATAAAATCACATTATGAAGAAAATTATATTTTCTGCACAATAAAATTTAGTACAACTATTTTTGTCTCTTGTTCCAGGAGAAAGTCTAAAAATTATATTTTCGTAAAAGTTACCACACAGGATATGTGGTACATCGAATTTTTCGTAAATTACATTAATTAATTAACATAGTATTCTCCTTATTACTTGAAATTAGTTAATTAATATTTAATGTCATTAATAAAGAATTAAAAAAAAAAATTTTAATTTGGATCCGAACATGAAAATCGAAATAAGAAAATGAAAATCAGTAGAAAAATCATTATTGGAAATGAAATAGATAATACGTTAAAATTGAGTTAATACTGTTATTAATTATCTTATTTAATTAATTATACTTCAAAGATACTAACCTTTAGTTGTTCTTCGTAGCAGTTAAATAACTGTAAAATTTACAGTATATTGAATCATATCCAATAAAAGGGATATAAACATAATCGATGTTTAAATGTATATCAATTGATATTACAAAAAACGATTTGTTCCTCGGGGACACTCAGATTTTATACATCCACTCTTCAAGGAACAATATTTTTTTTTTCTTTTAATAAAATTAAACTTTACAGTGAAAGAGCAATTTAAACAAGAAATTTTTTTTTTTTAAATATTTATAAAATATTTCCGCTAGTAATTAATATCATAGAATTTTAATTATTTTGATTATTTAATAATAATCAAATCAGAATCTCGTCTATTTTGTCCCCCAAAAAAATTGAATACTTTAAAAAATAATTAATATAAATATTTGTTCAGAAAAATATTTTCATATGTTCAGATTACTTTCGACAATTGGTCTTTCACTAAACAGCTTAAAATATAAACAGTCTTGTAATGGAAATAATTATTTCCTATCACAGAATTGCAATTTTAAAAAATATATATATATATATGTCCACTGCATGTGAACATTTCATCGAAGTTTCATTTAAAAATAAATATTTTAAAACTAGTGACTTGTTTTGATCAGGTACAGTTTTTATATCACAATTTTTTTTTTTTGGTAGTTTACCAAAATTTTGCATCAATTTTTTTTTTTATATTTATATGGAGAGAAAATTTGACTCTCGTTTATTACATTACATTGCAGAATTTTAAAAAAATATTGAAATTATATCTTATTTATTACTATAAAGTAAAAATTAATTTTTTTTTTTTAATAAAAATTTTATAATTTATCACATTTTGATATAAAATACAATAAAATTCCTGCAAGGCAATTTTTTTTTTTTTTATAGGAATTAATAAAAATTGATGCAAAAAGTGAGTGGAAAATTTTAAATATCGACGTTTTGATTTTAACACACTCACTGTGAAATTGACTAGTTTCATTGTTATTTTCTTGGGGTTTTTCAAGAAAATTCTCATAAAAAAGATGAATAAAAAATTCCATTGTTAACAATGAATGTGCTAAAATTTTAGAGAAAAAGAATAAAAAATAAATAAAAAAGTCTCTACATTATAGAGATTGTAAATATCATACTGTTCGCACACTATTAATAATTTTGTTCTTCCTGAAATGTTTTATAAACATTCAGGCCGCATAGAAAAAAAAAAAAAGACAACGCTTAAATATTAAAAATTCTCACTGCGTGCACACATACACACACTTTTCTTTTCTGTTTACTAATAAAGAGAAAAAAAAAAAAAAAAGAAAAAAAAACCGCCACAATGGGTAGTCTCTTATTAACCGGGACAGCGACAATATTTCGATAAACTGTCTGCTTAGCGTGTACATGAATTAAAGAACTATTAGGGCGAAAATACCTGTTGTAGGAATCATAATAGTCTTTCCTGTCCGGTGGTGGGTGTCCCATCGGCATTATTGGTGGATGACCTCCAGCAGCAATTGGAGGCATCATTGATGGTGCATTATGTTGTACTTGATTTCTGGGTGGATATCTGTGTGATAATGGTCTATCACGAGGTGGTAAATCTCTATCACGATCTCTGAATGAATACTCCTGATTTGGTGGATCATTATAATATGTATTAAATGGTTCTCGTGTGTCACGCGACTTTGGACGATCACGCTCTCGATCTCTATGAAATCTGTAAAAAAATAAATAAAACAAAATCGTAACTATAATCCTTTAATTAGTTTTTTTTTTTGTTTAGAAAATTTTAATTATTTTTACCTTGGAGGCGATCTAGCGGGAGATCTATATCTAGGAGGTCCATCGCGATCACGATCTCTTTCTCTATCGCGAGGAATAGAACCTCTTGGTGATTGGCTACGAGAAAATGATCTCGATCTGTAATTAAATATTAAAATTTGAAAATTTGTCTTCTAAATTCTAGTCCCTATAATATCGATTAGAATTAGATCAAGAAAAAATTAATTTTAAATTAAAAAAAATTAAAAATCAATTACCTGCTCATGGAAAAGCTTCCACTTCGTGATCTTCGTTTAATAGGCGTTCGACTACGTCTAAGAGGTGGTGGTGATCTTGACGATCGTCTCTTTGACGGTGGGGATCTTGATCGACTCATTCGTGTTGGTGATCTACGACCAAATGATCGTGATCTAGATCTAGTGTAACTTCGCGATCTAGATCGACTTCTAGTACGTCTACGATGCTTTCCCATTCTTCGATCTCTTTCATCTTTCTCTCGCAACATACGTTCGAAAGCCTCCAAAGGATCATCAATTACACTAAAAAAAATAATTTCCTATTAATTAAAAAATATTTTTTATATTTAGATATAAGAGATTAAATCGTTAAATTATTAAATTATTAAATTAAATAATCCGTCAAAATTTAATTATTTTAATTTTATTTCTTTCAATATTGAATATATTTTATTATTTTCATAAATTATTATCAAGATATTGATTTAATTTTTATTTAATTTACCCTTGTCCACCATTATGTATATTTCGTCCAAGTCCTGGAGGCGGTGGCTGAATACCTCGATAACCGGCTGAAAACAAAATAATTTATTACATTTTTGTTTTCTAAATTAATTTTTGACTGATGCTAATTTTTAAAAAGTTTTAGGCCTCGGATCGACTTTAAGACGCAAGAAAAGTAGTTTTAGTCAATTTAGATTCCAAAAAGTCAATTTTTTTCTTATTTTAATTAAATTTAATTAGTTAATAAATATTTTAATTTAAATAACTAATGTTATTACAAGGTGGCCATTAAAATTTGCGAACAAAATTCAAGACTTTTTCACAATTTAAAAAAAAAACAAATTTCAAAGGTTTTTTAAATTGAGATTTTATTATATAATTTTAAATTAGTAGAATTAATAGGAAAAAAAAAATTTGTTTTCCCGTCTTTTAAGATAAGAAGTTATCAATTATTTTGGAAAATATAAATATATTACAAAAATGTCACGGAGAGAATTTTTTGGAGCATTTCTAGTACTGTTTAGTAGAATTTTTAATTTTTAGAATTCGTTATTTTTTAATCAATCAATTATAAAATTTACTTTCACAAATTCTTAGTCAAACTTTCATTTTTTTTTAATGAAACGTTTTACTTTGAGATAGACCAAATATTTAGGACAATTCAACACGAGTTTCAATTTAAAATAAAATCAAAATGTGAATTAAAAAAAAAAAATCAAGGATAAATTAAAAATTGAATTTTTAAAGAAATATTAAAATTATTAAATAAGTCATTGAATTTTGGAAAAAATTATTATTTATAATAAATTATTATTATTAAATTACAGAAAATTTTACAAAGAATTTCACTTTAAAAGGTTTTAAAGACTTTTATACACGGAAATACAAACCACCAGAAAAGAAAAATTAATTAACATTCAAATAATTAAAATAATAATATTATTAATTCTACTTTCTGAAAGATCAATTTTCAAGAAAAAAATTTAAAATCTACAAAATTAAATTGTTTATTCTATGTAAGTTATATAAATAATTAAATTTTGTAGATTTAAATTTTTTTTTTTTGAAAATTGATATTTCTTCTTTCCGAAAGTACAATTATTAATATTATTTTAATTATTTAAATGTTAATTAATTATTTTTTCTGAAGGTCTGCATTTCCGTGGACAAAACGTCTTTAATTTTAAACAATTATTGAGTGTCATAAAATTTTTTAATTGAAAAATAGTTTAAGATAATTGAAAAATTTCATTAAGATTATTGAAAATAGTTAATTTAGGGAATAATTTTCGTTAAAATTTGTTAAATGATTGAAAAATTAAATATTTAAATAAATACTAAAAAAAACGACGTAATTAGTTTAAAAATTTTGTAAAAAAAAATTTTTAGTAATTAGAAATTAAAAAATTGGTATAATCCAAGACCAGCGAATATTGTGTCATAAAAGTTCCTTAAATAAAAAAAATTTAAATAAACTTACGATTCATCATTCCTCTTGCGGGTCGCGGTGGTCCAGTGTAACCACGAGGAATTGGCGCGGAACGTGCACCTCCATATTGTGAATAAGGAGGCCTCTCATAACGCTGCGGAGGCGGATATTGAGGTCCCTGTTGCTGATGTGGTGGATACATGGGAACACGATGACCCATGTAAGGATCCGGTAATAAAGGCGGATTATGTTGAACCATATTAGAAGGTGGTGGATTATAACCAGTTGTTGGTACTCTTTCATCGCCAGGTGGAAATGGCAATAATGGCTGTTGATTTGTTGCCGGTGGTTGATGTAAATGTGGTTCATCAACAGTTGGCGTACCAGCTCTATCCTCAGTTGATCGTCTAATTCCCGAATCATAATGCATATGATGCTGATAATGTCCATCGGAACCTGGATGATTCGAATACGATTTTGAATGTTGTTGAGGCATCATGTGTGTTGCAGATCCAACATTTTGATAATCACCATGATGCGATTGTCTGGAAGATTAAAATTATGCTATACAAAGTTTTTTCTTTAAATAAATTTGCAATATATTAAGAATTTAGTATTAAATTACCTTTCGCGATGAGCATCTCGATTGTAAGCGCGTCTTTCGCGATGATGTCTTTCTCTGGGATAATCTTCTTCGATTTCTTTTTTATCATGCTCTAATGTATCAGGTCCGGAAGGTATGGGGAGTAAGGGCTCGGTTCCCGGTGGAGGTGGTACTTCCGATTCATCATCGGCGTGTAATTTTGTTGAATCAGTTGGAATTTCAGGTTCAGGAGCCGCGGCTGGTGCAGGAGTTGTTACAGTAGTAGTAGTAGTAGTAGTAGCAGCAGCAGTAGCAGAGGCAGAAGTAGCTGATGCAGATTCTGCAATCACTGAAAAGAATGAAAAATTTTTTTAATCTAAAATAGATTTCCTCTATTTTTAGTGTTTTTAATTAACTTACTAGTCGAAAGTGCTGGTTTCACTACTGGTTTCGGTGATGCTTCAATTTCAGTTGGTGATTTTTCCACAGATTCCTGAGACAATATTGGCGCATCCGTTTGACTAGGTACAATTTTTTCTTGACTTGCTGCAGTTTCCAATTTTGTTGGCTCTGCAGTAATTTCAGATTGAATCTTTGGTGGTCTAAATATTGGCCTCTTGGCGTAACCAGTTTCATTTTTAAAATTTAACACCGCATTTCGAAGAAAACGATTGGGAATCAATGTTTCCGGTGAATTATCCTTATCGGCACAATCAGGACATTCATGATCCTCAGACTCGAGGAGAAATGTTCTTATACCTAGAAAAATGTATAAAAAAATGTATATTATTTCTATTAATATTTAAAAAGATTTGAAATTAAAGAAAAACTTACATTCGTCACAAAATGAATTTCCACAGCAAGGTATCATAACGGCGTCTGTCATAAGATCTTTACATATATTGCAAAGTAGATCGTCAGGAATTTCTGGTTTTTCAACAACGGGATCAGGATCCTGAGAAAATGGCGGACGTTCCTTTTTTCCTTCCTTATATGCCTGACTAATGTAAAAAGTCTCATGAAATGTTCCGAAATTTTTGAAAATATTCATAATATATATAAATATTATATTGAGCATTCATGAGATACTTACTGATCAATAACGGGAACAGCATAATGTCCAGTGGGAGTCATCATTGCACCAGGAACCGATGGACCATCAACAGGTACCATAAAACTCCTAGGAATACCGGTACTTTTTTTAATTTCAATAGGCTCTTGATTTGAACCTAGAGGACAATTTTTAATCCAATGTCCCGGTTGATGACATCTAAAACATCTATAATTCGTCGGAACTTCTCCAGTTTGATTCGCTCCACGTATTTTCATGTAACTGTAAATTTTTTTTTTTTTAAATTAACATATTTTCCAATTTTTTGATTTCTATTTAAAAATAAATTTTTTTTATTACTTTGATGGATCGTAGTCTTGAGTAGATTGCGTCATCATAGCGCGAATTTTATCTTCTTCGGAGCCATCGAGTCGCGTTAAATCTACACCACGTCCTATTGCTGCTTCTTCTTTGGAATTGCCAAATGGCACCGCTTCATTACGATCCCATGATTTTTTCTGTTGTACCGTTAATGGTACACGTGCAACAATGAGACTTGTATTTTTTGCAATTAATGCATTATCGTCATTGTAATCTAAAATTAAAAATTTACATAAAATAAAAACAGAAACCTATTAAAAATGTATATTATTTATTTTTTCATATTGACAAATTTTTAATAATGTATAAATAATTGTAAAATAATATACCTTCTTTTGTTTGAGCATTAGTTATTTGTAGATCAAAATCGGTATTTTTACCGATACGTTTTTGATGAAAAATAGCCTTTTTCAAATCTCCTACGGAAATATGTAAGCCATCGAAAGATACTGTGTCGTAATCCAATGTGGATTTAAATTTATAATGGACCGACATTCTTCTTATTTATAAATTCTATTGAAAATAAAATAATATTAAATTAAATTTGAATAAAAGAAAATTAACAATTAACCAATTAGGAACTAATTTTAATACTTTAATTGATATGAATCACGATCTTCTAGATATAAACATGGAATAATTTGGTAAATATTTATTCTGAATGCAAGTAATATTATTTAAGAAAGTATCTTGATGAAGAAAGGTCTCTTTTTCCACAGATCGTCATAAAAAGATGGACCCTTCTCTCCAATCTTTACCCATATAGAATATAATCTTTGAATGTACCCCATTAAACATTATAAATTGTGGAAACATATGCAAATTTAATTAGAAAAAAAAATCAGCAAAATTTAGATTTTCTATTATAAAATTACAATAATCAAATAAAAAAATATATATGACAGACAAAAACTTGAAAGCATGCAAAAATAATTTTCATCTAAATGATAATATTAAGATTATTTTTTAACCGACACCTTCACTTAAAAAAAAATGTATAATAGTTTGTAATTATGAAACTCAATTATAAGATAAATAAAATGATAATATTCTATATATTTTGTTCTAGATTATTCTAATGCAAAAATTAAATGAAAAAGCTACTTTGAATAAAAAATGGATGCAATCTCTTACCCACGCCTTGGCAGTCTCATGTTCTAAATCCAAAATTTTCAATTATATCTCAAAACTTTTGCCGGATGCATCAAAATTGTTATTTAATTCACTTGACAAAAAAGAAAAATTGTTAAATAAAACAATAAATTGAGTAATTGAATAAATTTTAGCCTAAACGAATGTAATCGACGGCTGATTGTGGCTGCAAAATGTCGCAAAATGGCGTAAATTCTTCAAGCTTAAAATATTTTTTGTTTGTTGAGCAGGTGTTCCAAAATGTGAACATGATTGGTCAATGATGCCGGAATGAACATTTTTGATTTGTGGACAATTTTTACTATTTTGATTAATTACGCATGCGTTTGCCGCTGGAAACTATTTGAGCGCGTAATTTAAAAAATCAGTTAAATTTAACTATTGTATGTTGGTAATGTAGAAATGTTGTAAATATGTGCCGGTAAATGTCAAAACAAAGTTTTATTTATAGTCTATACTAGAATAAATTTGTCTCTATAATAATTAAGTAAACAATCAAGAATTAATATTAGAATTTTAATTAACTGCATTTAATATAATTTTTTGTTGTTTAGATGTATATATTAATTCGTGTATATAAAATACATTGTGTATAAATATATTGTTTGAATGTACACGCCAGTTTGATTTAAAAATAAATTTTAATTACTTTTTAATATAAAAGACACGTTATTAATTAATAAAATGTTTTCTGATAAATCGTTCGATTCAGTTGGTTTTAAATCTCAATCTTCGACGGAAAAGTAAGTGTTTAGAGTTTATTTTGAGGTTATGTTTGATTAAAACAACAATATTAATTGTAAAATATTTTAGATCAGAAAAATCATCAAATATACAAACCGATATTGTAGTTTATGAAGAAAGTTCTTCGCAAAGTGAAGAAAAAAAAAGTGTTGAGGTAATTTTACATTAATAAAAAAAATTATATTTCTTTTTAAAAGTAATTAATGATTTATTTTGTTTTAGACTCAAACTCAGACAGAAAGTAAAAAAACTCCTGAATTTAATTATGAAAGATTAGCAGCATTTTTAAAACGAGTTACTCCAGGAATTTTGGAAGCATTAGATGAAACTTATGGTACTAATGCATTTGAAGATTATAATCCAGAAACAACTAGTGAATCATTTTCTGCAGTAAATTGTCTAACAAAATTAAATACTTGGGAAAATCCTGATTTCAAGGAAAGTATTTTTATTTTTAACTTATTTAAATAATTTTACTTTTATTTTAATAGTTTTTACAATTTTTCTTTTAGACAAAAATAAGTGGTTTAACATGGAGTCCCGGTGGTGGATCATTGGCTTTAGGTTATAGTGTTACATTTCATGAAAATTGGTGTAATCATTTGTCGAAAATTAAAATTTACAATTTTACACGTGACAATAAATTTCCAGCAGCACCTAATAAAGTTTTGGAAGTTAATTCATGTATAACGTCAATTCTCTATCATCCACAAGAGCCGTCTATACTTGCAGCTGGATTATTCAATGGTATTTTTTTTTATATAAAAAACGGTTTTTTTTTTTTATAAAAATACAATTTTATTAAAGGTTTTTTTTTTTGGTACAATTTAATAAACACCAGGTTGTAAATTTATAATCAATGGAAAGATAACTGAATTTTAAAATATTGGTTCTAACATTTTTTTTAGTTCTGTAACAATTATTTACAATTTAAAAAAAAATTATTAATTTAATTAAAAATGTATTAGAAATTGATTTATTTACATAGAAATAAAATTGATATAAATAATTTTTTAAATAAAATTATTCTTTAAATCAGTCTTAAAATTGAATAATTATTTCAGGCGATGTTTTGGTTTGGAATCTTCGTGATGATACATCGGTGACACCTGTTCAAGTTTTTTCCCATGGCGATTTTGTCTCACATTTATATTGGCATACGAAAATTGTAACCGATGGTTCTGTTTTAGTATCATCGAGCGCTGAAGGATATATTTTACTTCACAAACTTTTGGCTAATTTTACCACAGTTATTTTATTCAAACGGTAATGTTCATCTCAATTTAAGAATTACTATTTATTTGTATTTTTTTTTATTTGTATCTTCTGTGTATTAGATTTAAAGTGGCAAAAGAGCATAATCCATCGGAGAGTGCAAGACCACGTAGTTCCGGTGGTACTCGAGAACGTGCCATTGAAGCTGGTTTAACAATTACAAGTTTTGATTTCTCATCGAAGGATCCATCAATTTTCATTGTAGGAACATTATGCGGCGGTGTTTATAAATGCAGTGTCGAGCAAGCAGTTTCTGTGGAAGGTAAATTATTAATTAAATTTTAATTTCTTTATTTGATTTTTAGAAATAATTCAAATTAAATAAAACAATTTATATATATTTTTTTTTTTTGAAGGTGATGAATCAATTTTAGATCCTGTTATTGATGAATATAATAGACATGAAGGAAGTGTAACAAGTATTAAATGTTCGCCAACAAAAAATTTCTTTGTTACAAGCGGTACGGATAAAGAAATCAGGATTTACGATTTTGATCAAGTATATAACAATTTATATTCTTAAAAAAAAAACTTCGAAAATATTACAAAATTAATAAAAAAAATAATTTTTTTTTTATTGCAGACAGTTAGTCAAAAAATTATAAATCTCGAAAGTACAATTATTGGACTCTCGTGGTGTATTGGAAACAAAGATATTTTCGCAGCTTATGGAGCAACTTCTATTGTAGGATTTTTTAATGTCAATACCGGCAGTGCCTTACCGAATGTAATACTACAATCAGATACTAGAGAAAATACAACTAGTCTTTGCTTTAATTCCAAAAGGTATGTTTGATAAAAATTAATAGAAACATTTTTTTTTCTTTTAAATTTCCTCTTTAAAATTTAATAATTAATAATTATTTTAGAGACATGGTGGCAATGGGAGATACTCGTGCCTGTTTGGAAATTTGGAAAATTCCAAGATACTATTCATAAATTATTTTTTAACACTGATTTAATTTAAAAAGTCAATTTTTTTAAAATTAATTTAATATCTAGAATTATTTAATTTGAAGAAATAAATTTTGTGTAATGAAAATATTTGACTTTACTTGTCAGAAAGGCAATGTACTGGTGGCAAGACTCGAAATAGATGTTTGAAATGAAAAAGGAATGAGACAAGTCTTTTCTACGAACTCTGGTCGAGACTTGGCTCAAATGTCTCAGCACATGAAGAAGCCAAAACAAGAAAGATTGCAACTTTATATTTTATTATTATTAAAAAAAAAAGCACAAGAAAGTAGATGTAATTTTTTATATTTAACCATTTAGAGAATTCATTTAGATAAAGTAAATATAATTTGAAATAATTTAAAAATAATTTTCATTAAATTAAAGTTTTAAATTATTTTTAATAGTTTTAGTATTTTATATATAGAAAAAAAAATCCGTAAACAATTAAAAACTACTTTTTTTAAAAAGGCCTTGATGAAATTTTACGACGTAGAAATTATGTTTTCCTTCCTCAAATAATCTTCGTTTACAAAGATAATGATACGTATATCACTCTCTAAAGAATAATAAATTATACTACAACATTATTGTTTTCGTTTTTCTCTCTTTTGCCTATTAAAAAGAAGTCTTTTATATTAAAAAAAAAAAATTAAGCTGCAAAAAAAAATTACTTTTTAATTTAATTAATTTTGTTAAAAAGTAATTTTTTTTCAAATTTAAAAAAGAAAAAATTATTATCTATATTTAAATTCGAAACCTAATGTCAATTATTAAATATATGCCGAATATATTTAAAAATGAAATATTAATTATCATCGATGAATCATTTGTTACGTTATATATGACTTGTAAATACGACGTATTCAAAATTTCCACTGGCGTAATTTCTTGGCCGTGTATTCAAGAATGTTTGAGTCATTCAGATTTATCAAATTTTCTAGAAGAACTCAAATTATTTCATTAAACGCACGTATACACAAAAACTTACATCACTAAAATGAGAATATAATATCTAATCAGCTTAATATGTTGGCGTCAATACACACAATCGAGACAGAAAAAGAAAATAACAAAAAAAATTCTCAACTATTTTTAATCTTAGAGAAAATTAAAATAAATATTTATTATTATAAATAAAAATAATTTAAGTATTTTTCATTATTTCATTAAATATAACTTGATTTTGAAAAGAACAAAAAATAAGGTAATAAATTCTGAATTAATGGATAATAATTAACAGAAAATAAAAATCTTTTTTTAAAATGTTTCACTTACGTTTTAAAAATAGTTGCCCACTTTGCGTTTGCTAAACAGTCGATTCCTTGAAGATGTTTTTCCATTTCGTCATTTATATTCAACTTCTGCGTTGTTTCTCTATTGATGTCGATGACCCTCAGAATAATTGCCGTCTTAAAAACAGCAACTGTGACGAATATATTCCTCTTCTTTTCAAGAAAGATCAAGGACAAATCCTCATTCTTTCGTTATCCATTCAAATTTATTTTGATTATATTTAAAAATAATTTAACTCAACAGAAAAAAAAGAAGTAAAAAAAAATTCTTCAATGAAAACAAAAATTAATATTTAATTTAAATATTTGAAATTATTTCTAAAATAAATTATGTAAAAAAAAAAATTGTTCATAAATAAAATTCATGGAAAATTAGCTGTAAAAAAATAGTCCTAAAAAGGATAGATTATTTTTTACCAGTTTTTTTTTTAATAAAAATTCGTACAATATTTTATTATAAATATTTTTCATTTACAATAAAATTATTTCAATCAATTTTTATAAAAAAAATACTGAATATGAAACCTTTATACGTTTTTTGTTTGTCCTTAAAAGGACAGATTTTATGTTTGTTTGAACCAAGCATATTCCTTCATTGGGAAACATTTGCGGGCCCTGAAAAGGGCCCTAAAAAAAAAGGTATTTTGGATTTGGACGGGATATGTAAATTAGGTACACAGATTGAATGTAGATTGAAACTAAAAAAAAAAAAAGGGGGAAATAATTGAATTTTTTCTGTAGGAAAGGAATTAATTTGGATTCATATTAATGTAAGAACTTTCTATTGCAGGAAAAAAAAAGGAAAGGATAGATCACAGTATATTGAGAAATTGGTTTTGTAAATTTGTTGATGCTGTTGTTGTTCATCTTCATTTTCTTCTTAAAAATTGGTTGAAAATTTTTTGTGATTTGTCTTGGTTTTTTTTTCTTTTTTTTTTTTTTTTTTTTTTTTTTGTAAATGGTGAAAACATTTCGCACGTTGATTGCAAATCAATCAGCGGATTTGATTGATCTTCTGGAATGATAAAGACTCTCATATATATATATATATATATGAAATTGTCAATATAATTGATGCTGATGTGAATGAATGAGATCAATAATTTTTTTTTTCCATCGGTGAATACTTTGACGGAACAAGTTTTTTTTTTAACTTGGTCCTTATTTTTTTACTCCTCTATCATCTTCTTAAAATTTCCTCCTTACTTTCTCTTCTTCTTTTATTATCTTCATCTTCTTTTCATCTTTCTCTTATATCCGAAATGCTTTTCTTTTGATTAATTTTTTTTTCTATTGTGCATGTATGCTTTCGAAATTAAAATATGAATTTGAATGTAAATTTTTCAGTAAAAATACCAGAATCTTTCTAAGAAATAGCATTTCAAAAACTCCTCACACTTAAAGCTATATACTATTAATGAAAAAAAAAAAAAATTTTAAAGCTTTTTGAGAAAGCAGACGTTTACGTCCCCATCTCCTTATCCCTCGAGCACACATTCTCTCCCTTGTGGTTCTTTTAATACTCAACACTTGTTCTTGTTTTTTTTTTTATGTTTTTTTTTTTTGGTTCCTCTCTGCAAATTTGCAAAAAAGAAATTTTCTCATTTTTTCCAATCTCAATTTTTCTTAGAAACTTTCATGCACACATACTTATATTCTTGTTTCTCGCCTTCAGTCTCGAATTCGATCATTGCATCTCCAACTTTGACAAAGGACTGATAATAATTATATCCTCCTCGTTAAATCGAGAAGGTTGCCAATGAGCTTTTTTTATATATGTTTGCTACATTGGACAAATAATTCCAGGCCTTTATTATTATTATTCTTATTTATTTATTTATTTTGAAAGTTCTCCTCCATTGTTTACTGCTTTATCGTTTTTATTATGTAACATTCTAATAGTTTAAATTGTTATGAGCGACTGTGCGTGTCATGTGTGTGAAAAACGTTTCGGTGAACACAGACACATTTTGTAAACTACAATTATTATGATGAATTGGATTCATGAAAAAAAAAGAGAGAGAGATAGAGAAGGGAGCAAAAAAATGCGTGAATCTGATTGGAATGAAACGCATTTATTTGATGAAGAAAAATCAAAAACTCCCGTTATTATTTTTGGATAAGCTCTCCGATGATATCTTTCGGTGGCCTCTTCTCTCTTTTCTTTTTATTTTAAGATTTCATTCGATATTCTCGTGATTATTATTGTGCTGCTTTTCATTTCTGGCCTTCGAATTTCTCTCTTTTGTGGAAGATCGAAACTTTTCTTCTTTTCAAACATTTTTCTCTGATCAAAAGCTTTTCTTGTTGTAACGCCCGCACTACTCCCCGATCACTTGGGCCCTTTTCAATTGTCATAAAATTGACCTCTCTCACACCAAAAATGGTCGGAGGGGCTCTTTTGGAGAATTTCTTTTTTTTTTTTTTTTCATTGTCCATAAAAATGAACTGACAGGATGTTCAAAGATTTTATTTTGAATAGATCAGGGCACGCCCTACGCAAACACGTGAGTTCAACTTTTGTTTTCCGAAAAAAACAATCGGATGCGTAACTGGCACAAAATGGGAGCAGATGTCCTCTCGTTCTTACGCATTGCGAGCCTTCCCCTCCATCCTGGTCCAACAAATTCTCCATCCTCTTCATCTGCCACTTTTTTTTTTAATCACTTTTCTTCTTTTATTCTTCTATCACTTTTTTTTTATTTTCTTTCACTATTTTTCACTTTTATTTACTTTTTTTTTTTACTCTTTACTTTCATTAGCACTTGTTAATTGTTTCCTGTCCATCTTATCTTCTGATATAACTTCTATCATTTACAAAATATCTATATCACCCCGACTACATTAAATATTTGTATGCAAAGTTCGTGCTCTTTTTTGTTTTCTTTTTATAGTCTCTGGACGCTTTTTATTATTTTTTTTTTTTTTGCGTCATGAACGCGCACTTACAATCGCAATTATATCTTAATAAAAAAAAAAAAAAAAAAAAATGTCGCTTCGTTTTATAACAATCGCTCTTTTTATTTCGTGCATTTTTTTTTTTTTTAAAGTCTTATTCGATTCATTGCATTGCGTCCGCTTGACCATTTAAGAGATTAAACGGAAATCACAGTGATCGTAGCTTAAAACGTAAGGCTAAACTATTTTTCATTCCATTACACTCATACATACACACATTTACAATATTATAATTTGTTTCTCATTCAAAATACATACTCGAGGAATTGCCTCATTTTATTATCCAAAAAAAAAAAAATTCATCGTCTCGTTTTTTTTTCTTCTTTAAATTAAATTTCTGCTGCTTCTTCTTTTATCCTCGAGAAAATCAAATTTTTGTTTATCACACTTCTTTTCGAAAAAAAGAAAGAATTACATTTTTTTCAGTAAAAAAAAAATTATTTTCCTTTTCTTTTTTTTTTTAGTAAAATTAATTTTCTTTTTCAGAAATACAATTTTTTTTTTTTAGAAAAATAACATTTGAAGAAAATAATTATTTAGGAAAATAATTTTTAAAAACAATTTTTTTTTAAATACAATTTTTAAAGAATATAATTTTTTTTTTTGTTTCTTAAACATTGAAGAAAACAAAATTTTTTCAAACAAGAGAATAAAATTATTTTCAGAAAAAAATGGAATTGTTCTTTTTTTCGAAGAATTAAATTGTTCATGTATTCGTCTTTAAAAAAAAAAAAAAAAAAATTATACAGATATATATATATATAAACAACTACCATTGTCGCTGGTAACAAATATTATTATAACTTTTAAATCGCAAGAAAAACAAAACTATAGGAAATGCCTCGTACAAGTTATAAATCTGAGATTAACATTTTGTCAATAAACATTTTGTTAATCAAAATTATGATTTTTTTTTTTTTTGCTTTAAGAACGAGAAAACAAAACAAAAAAAAAAGGAGGTGAATTAGCTTAAAAGTGTATGACATAATACAGTGTAACTTAATACAAAGAAAAAAAAGGCAATTTATACAAGCGTAAATGTTTGACATTCCAAATTTTATTTTAAGACTGAAGTTTTTTTTTCTTTTTTTTTTTAATTTTCTTTTTTTCTACTTGTCGATTATTTAGAGTGTCAAACATTAACGTATGTTGAAAAATAGTATATAAAAAAGAGCACATTTTCAAAATGTTGTGAAACGAATTTCTATAATTTGTTCATTATTTATTTTTTTCTTCTCATAAGTAGATTTGAAAAAAGAAAATGTGTCCTTTTTTATATTAATATAGGCGAGGAAGCACTCTGTCGGTTTTTTTTTGTTTCACACGCACATACACATACTTTCACAATTATCGTAATTATTCAAACAATTTTTTTTTTTTGTTGTTGTGATAAACATATCTTTTGATATATATCAAGGTACACAATCGAATCTCGATTTCTCTTAAAATAATCAGTACGATTTTTTGCTGAACGCGCAGCAGAATTCACGGACAAGAACGCGCTCTCTTTGTCCGCACTCTTATAATATATAAAAAGTAATGTTTTATTTTATTTTTTATTTTTTTTCCGAAAAAAGAAGAAACCCCGAAAGATCTTATATAATGTATAGAGGGAGAGCCGGTCCTTTTTTCAGATATACATTTTAAAATCAGTCACGTCTTTGCGAACTCACGCGATTTAATTTTTCCTTTTCAATAAAAAATCTGCAAATTTTAAAAAGGTCGCGTGAACTCGCAAAGCGTTATATTTAAATGAATTAAGAATATATATATATATTTATATATTTTTTAATAATAATAATAATAATAATTAAAAAAAAGAAAAAAAGGGAGAAATTAACACAATGAACTACCAATTTTATCGTTCGAAATCCTTTTTCTTTTCGTTAAAGGAATTTTTTCTCTTTTTTTTTTTACAAATATTTCCCAATTAACATTTATGTAATATTAAAACATATAACATGCAGAAAAATTACAAAGACTCAATTTTTTTTTTTTTAATAGATGATAAAATCGGTTGAAATTGTGTTTACACTTAATTTTCAAAAATGATATTCTCTATCAATCAAACAAGTATTATCGACATAGAATATATTAACGAATCACAAAAATGATAAAGCTAAAGATTTTTCCTCACAGATAGAGATAATATCTAAAAAAAAAAAATGTTTCTTATTGACTTATATTAATGTCAACGTCAATATTAATTAATTAATTAATATTTTATTAACATTAATTAATCAATTAATTTTTGAATGTTAACATTTTTTTTTACTTCCATGAAGCATTTCTTTTTTTTTTTTTTTTTTTTTTTACGTTTTACTCCCTTTTTTTCCCCAGCTGTAAACTCGATTCTAAATTTAAGGCTTAATCATTTTAACGGATGTGTGGTAATCGCGCTTTTTTTTTTTTTTATTTGTATGCTGGCTCGTATGAGTATGAAATATTGTTTGTGTATTTTTTGTGTCCTGTATTATTTTTATTCTTATTATATTTTACGGAAACGAACAAAAAAAAAAAGAAAATTAAGAAAAGCTGCAAATTTGCAACTGGACAGATTTATTCGTTCGCCTCGCTCGCACAAAGTGAAAATTTTTTCATTCAATATTATCATACATACATATTTTTGTTTTGATTTCCAATATGATTGGAATCATACAAAATTGATTAATTTACTCTACATTTTTTTTTTTGTTATCAAGTTTTCGTCATTATTAAAAAAAGAATTATGAGGTAACTTTCTCTCTGTGCAAAGAGGGACGAGCAATATTGGCCTTATTTCCGATGTGCTTCAATTATTATTATTATATATATATATTTATATTTAATATGGGATTCTCATAATCTAAAACTAAAAAAAAAAAAATTATTATTTTTTTCAAATTCCAATTTAAATTAAAAAATTTATCCTGATTCTTTTTTAACAGAAAAAAATGAAACGTCATTATTGAATAATTTCATTTTTTTCTGTTGTTTGGTCCTCGATTAAAAGAAAAAAAAAAAAAAATTTCTCCATTGAGAAAAATTGTTTTTTGAAATTAGATTATTGCTGCAAATTTTTTCAAATCAACTTTAAAATAGTGTGGATAAAAATTTGTTTTCTTTTAAAAAACTTATCATGAAAGAATTGCATTCAGTGAAATATGTACATGTTAGATATACAAAAAAAAAAAAAAAAGAAAAATAACGAAGGGAGAAGATGAAATCTGCGATGAAAAATGAAACGACCTTGTTCCAATTCTGGTGGTCGTGTTAATTTTTGTATTTTAGAATAAAAAACGCTATTCCCCGAATGGCATTTAAGATAATGCGCGACAATTTACTTTTTTCTTAACAAATCACTCGGGATTTTTAGTTGTTTTTTTTGTGTCCTTTTGTTTTGCACGTTAACTCGAAAAATTGATTTTATTTTTTCTCTCATCATGGGAATCTTTTTCTTGTAAAGGACCCATTGCGACGAACGATTTTTGTACGTTACAATATCACATTAAAAGTGCCGATCGATTGGGGGGGCCATCCAAAATGCAAAAAAAAAAAAAAAAAAACAAAAAATAAACACATGTACTTTCATTAAAACTGAGATTGAATTTTTTTCAATCATTTTACTTTTTTTTCTTTTTTTTTTTGGAATGACCCAACCATTCGTCATCGCATTTGTTAAATCTACAATCCCACTTTTTCTTTTTAAAAAGAACAATGATCGCTGAAAAGCAGAATTTTTAATGGAATATTTTTTATATATTGATTAAAAAAAAAAATCTTTATTCTGTGTTTCAACGTTCATTATTTTTATAATATTGATTAACTTTAATTTACATTTTTTCTTTTGTATCAATAAACATTGTTAGTGTCGCGACTCAATTATATTGCTCGTTTTTTTTTATATATATATATATTTATACTTGGAAATATCATATTATGACCTTATATTCGAATGTTAAAATTATTATTATTGTACAATTATTAATTACTTTTTCCCCTATTATTAATCATGTACATATAATATATATTTATATATATAATATATATGCGCATTGTGTATATAATATACATAGATCAAAAATTAATTAAAACTTAGTAGTACCTATAGAGTCGTCATCACAGCTAAGGTTTTTTTTTTTTTATATTTTTTTATATTTTTTTGTAATTCTTTCATTGATCGACCGATTGATTTTTCACCTTTTTCTCTGATTGTATTAACTTTTTTTTTCTTTTTTTTAGGCAACCGTTGACGAAACTGTCAATTTGTTTAAATTTACTTTAAAAATTTCGTGCAATTGAAATGAAAATAAAAAAAGAAAATTTTAAGATACCCGTGTCGCTGACATTATAAGCGCGTGTCAATATTTAGTATTTACAAAATAATTAATACTGATAAAAAAAAAATTATTATTATTATCTCGGCCAATTGTTTATGTACAGAATTTCTAGACACGAATAATGACAAATTATTATTTGTTAAAATACAATCATATCAACATCAAAAATTATTTTGGCTTTATTGAAAAAGCTCTATTTTTAAAAAAATAATTATTAAATTGTTGTAAACAATTCTTTTTTTTCCCCCAATAAAACACAGATATGACTAGTAAATTTAAATCTTAAGCAACAAAATTTCAGACAGAACGTCTCGACATCAATTACATTTTTTTTTTTTAATTTCAAAAATGTATTAAATTCGTATTACAAAAAACAACGTCACAATAGGATTTTTTTTTTTTTTTCAAAAACAATTCAATCGTCTTGGAGATAAAAATTTGCAATTTAAAATCTGTAATATCTCCTCACATCGAATATTTAAAATTAAAAATTGTAATTTAACATTTCTATTTGAAATTTTTTATATTTTAAAAGTTTAAAAGGAGTTTTTTTTTTTTTTGCAATCGACAAATCACACGGTAACTGATTTGAAATTCAATATAGAGGGGAAATTTATTATCAGGATTTAAGAATCAATTACCATTTCAAATAAAAATAAATGATAATAAATAACATTAACATATAATGATTAAACGAGAGATTATTGAAATACTGTTAAAGAATAAAAATAATCATCGGTGTTTCTTTCCCATTTGAATAAAATAAAACATATTAATAGAAAAATTGTGACGTTGTCAATTGATTATACGAATTTTTTTAAAACTTTTTACAAGAGAAATAAAATTTTTCTTTTTATCGACTTCAACTAAGTACGAACATCAATTTTTTTTTTTTTTATTTTCTTCTAAGATGCAAATTTTTTTTTTTTTAAAGAATATAAAAATACCAAAAAAATTACAAATTTTGGCAAGAACAATACAAAAAAAAAAATAAATAAAAAAAATCTTGAATGTCTACTTAAATTCTCGTTATGTTTCATATTAAAAACGAAAAAAAAAAAAACACTAAAAAATCTGTCTCGGAAAAAAAAATTTGAAAAACTAAAAAATGGTTTAGTAGCTTTTAGTTAATTAGTCTGAAAAGAATTGCTTCTTTTTTTTCTATCATGTGCACAAGTCATTAGTAAATGTTGATGCGTAACTTGGAAGAAGTCATTATTGCAAAAAGTTTACTCGAAAAGAGACAAAAAAAAATAATAACTAATCTGCAAATTTTGTCGTTTGGATTAAATCAATCAAAGTCTTGATCCGTGATATTCAGATACTATAGATACCATTAAAACAATTTTTTTTTTTTTTAAAACTACAAAACAAAAAAAAAAAAGGAAACTAAACGTAATTTTAATGCATGACTATAAATTATATAAACGAGAGTCTAAATTTCATAATCTTCACAAATTTCACAATTCATCAATATTTCTCAATTACTCAAAATGACTAAATCAAAAATTTTTCTGACATTCCTTTTTTTCTTAGATTCAAGCTACATACTGGGGCCAATCACAATTAAGAAAGAAAAAAAAAGTAATAATTAAAGCGCTTCGCGCAATTCACATTATAATTATAAATATCAAGATTATTATAATTATAATATTTCAATAAAAACTTATCGATTAAAAAAAAAGAGAAAAAAAATATATACAATACCACATCGCAAAAGATTTTTACATTTAACTATTAATTTGTTTTGATTTAATAAGCGATATAAAACGAGAGAAAAAAGCAAAAAATAAAAAAATAAACCAAAATGCATAATGCAAACCCATGCATTAGAAATTCTAAACGAAAATTTACCTTTACCATTTTCAAGTAGAAAAAAAAAAATATTACATATTCTAAATGTAAAGAAAATATACTTTAAACATCGCCTTTTTCATTATAATATTAATAATAATAATTAATTGAAACCTTAAAGAAACAAATTACTTGCTTCTTTCTTTATACATTGAGCAAATCAATCTTCGTTAAAAGCGTCAACGGAATTTAATTCACAAAAAAAAAAGAAAAAAAATTCGAAATATACACCGAGATTTTATTTTTCAATTTATCATCATTTTAATCTAGTTGAATAAAATCCATTAGAAATAACACAATGGTCGTTTTGAGTTAATTAGAAAAACAAAAATCTAATCTATAAAAAAAAAAATTAATTTATTGACCAGATTTCTAGTGTTATTGACGAGCAATTAATATTTTAATAAACAAAGTAAATTATAATTGCATTATATTTTATAATAATTGCTATTATAATTTGCGACACCAGTTCGCTTCGTCTTCATTTTTTTTTCTAAATAAAAAACAAATAATAATAAAGTACTGACTTTTTTTTTTCTTTTTTTTTTTAACCAATGATAAATTAAAAGTGATAAATCTCAAATCGTTGTCGCTCGAACATGGATTTGCTCATTGTAAATAATTTTTACTTAGAATGTATTATCACCCATAAATTTATATTCAGACTCACATGGTCAGATTCATTTAATTCATTCGATCAATGATTCGTTCGTCGTATCAAACACGCCAATAAAAAAAAAAAAACGAAAAAAAAAAAATAATCTCACGCACAGATACTTGTTTTTTTTTTTCTTTTTTTTTATGTTAAATCACCATACACCGTTCAGCGAGAGATACTTACAAAGCCACGAAAAAAACTAAAAAGAAAAGAAAAAAAAAAAAAGTGTCTTCGATTAGATAAACGAAAAAAATAACATCCACCCTCCCTTCGAAAAAAAAAAATATGTACTTTTGTAAATACGAATTTGAAAAATTGGGAGTCAAAATTGAATGCAATTTTTTCAGTGTGATGTGTCTTTGGATAAGAATGCCGAAAAAATTTTAGAATTGTAAAGTCAGAAGTGGAACAAAAAAAATTGCTCAGTCAAGAGAAATTTTTTTTTTAATTAAAAAGTGGGAATTGAAGCGCATCGTTTAAAAACCATTGTGCAGCTTTGCGCTTATCTCTCGATATAGACTTTTTTAAAAGTCGATATACTTGGTTTTCTTTTTTTTTTTTTTTTATCACGGCGTGTGTGTATATGTGAATGTGTGTTTCGTTATTGTTAATTATATGATAATCTAAAATACATATGTATACAGTTTTTTTTTTTTTTATACAGGGCGCGTAGTAGATTCATTAAATGTTTATTACACATCGAAAGGTAGTTGACGGTAGACGTAATAATTGTATCATTATCGCTGGGCTTTTTTTTCAATTAGCAGAAACGTGTATCAAAGTCTATGATCCGGATCCCTTTTTTTTTTTGTTTTATAGGAACAGGATTAAAAGCCTAAAACACGATTAACGCACGGAATGGCGCTAGCACCCTTTTTTTTTTGCATCAAAATTTTTCGCATTATCAATCATTATTAAAGTGAATTAAATATTGATTTGTCCAAAGCCCATTTTTGGGTTACTATACCTGTCTCTACTCCTCCGGGGAGCCGGAGACGCTACTCGCGAACCATGCATTTTTTTTGGATATCAAGCCTGAACGTTTAAAAGCATTTTAAGATGATCGTTGATGTTATAAGAACGGCCAGATTGTTGGCATGTATCCATTAGGCTCATCCAATGACTTGGAGGTTTGGGAAGGCTCGCTGGCGATGGTGGTTCAGAGAATTTTGCTCCTGCATAAAAACTATTTGTCGGGCTGCCACGTGGACTTTCAGTTTTCGTCGGTGATGTACGTATTATATTATTGTTATTAATATTATTATTATTATTGTAATTATTACTTCGCGATGAAAACGGTGGACTGCAACTTAATCGACCTGGAGAACCCTTAGAGCGTCCTCCACTGGGAAAAATGATTGTTGTTTTGATTAAGCCACATCTCTGGCTATTTCTCTTTCCTCCTGTGCTAGGCGAACCCTGCCTTTCAACTTTATCGTTCAACTTTGGCGTTGAATTCGTCATGGCTCACAATTTTGACTTTTTTTTTCCTTCTATTATGAAATTTACGCTTCTTTACACACCAGATCTTCCCGTCTGTAAAAATAAAATAAAAATTTCTAATTTGTGACAGTAAAAAAAAATTAAATAAAAATTTGTCACGTATATTTCTTTCAAATAGTGTGTTTCGAAATTATACGCAATATATTAAAAAAAAAAAAAAAAAAAAAATTAATTCAATATTCACCTATTTCTCGAATCACAAAGTGGAAATAAATTTTCTGTGTAAAACAAATACTCTAAAGCATTAAATGGCATAATAATAATGTTAAATAAAATAATAAATTTTCTCATAATTGCTGATATAAAAATCGATTCTAAAGGTTATTCACTCGTATAACGTCATGAAAGCAAAGACTGTGATAAAGTCTCGAAAGTTTCGAGAAATCAATAACTCGATGTTAATGTAAATATTTAGAAATTGGAAAGCTGATGCTGATTTGAGGTTTTTTTTCTATACTTTTTATTAATAACAGAAAGTGGAGGTAAATATTTTAAAAAAAAAACACACACACGTTACTAATTGATCGTTCACACAATTAAAAATTCTAATATTTACACAACACAATTAGATTATTAATTTCTATGCTCATTAGAATTACAGAAATTTTTCTAAATCGATATCTATTTTTTTCACTTTTGAAATTCTTAGTCTTTTCTTTTTAATAGAATTAGTATTTATAACAATTTCTTTGTTTCGAAAAAAAACCTTCTATATATACAAAAACACGATTTAATAATAAAACATATGGAATTGAAAAGTATGTTAGAAAGGACAAAAATCTATATATGTAGCAATGAAGATTAGAAAGTTGTAAAATTCAGTGCAACGTCTTCAAGAAAGTCTCAGCATTTTTTTTTGTCCTCGAGAAAACTGTAGTAAGTTTTGAAATAAAAATCCAAAAATTAATGGAAAATAATTTTTTAATTATAAATGTTAAAAAGCGATTTAGATTATAATTAATAATATAAAGTTATAAATAAAAACACGAAAAGGTTATTGACAGCAAAGCTTCTGAGCACGCAAACAAAGACGCTATATAGTGCATTCCCCGTTGTAAACTCGGCAAACGAGAAATCACAGACTCCTTTGTCTAAATAAATACAGAACAAAGAGATAATTTTTTTGTAACTTACCAATTTTGATGGTCGGGATCCGTTTTTGAATGCGGATCTCTTGAAATTCTCCTTCCTTGACCGGATTAAGCGGTTTTACTAACTGCGCAATAATCTAGTTATTCAGGACAAGAGAGTAAGGGGAACGCGGAGGAGAGCTTGGTGGGGTTACTCCGTGAACCTCCTGTTCCACAAGCGCAATGCTACCTCGGCCTCGATGTTTCTGTTTTTCCAACAGTCCTGCTTCTACTATTAATTTGCGAATTTTGCCACATTCGGTGACCTTTGGTCACCTTTTTCACAATTTCTTTCACCTACGCGAACAGACGCCCTGGCAACTAGACCCCGTCTTTTTTAGCACAGCTGGAGGCACAAAGATGGTGGACGCGACTTGATGTTTTTTGTTTTTGTCTGCAAACGACAGGAACCGTCAACCTATTCTGACTTGACTACAATTATCCCTTTTTTTTTGACTTGATTTTTTTTTGTTCTCTCACACTGCGAACACGTAACTATTCACGTATAATGACGCGAATTTACCCAAAAAAAAAAAAAAAATACGTGACGCACAAAATACAATTTTTTCCGGTACTCGTAGGCTCGAGTAACGGGTTTTTCTATGACTTTTTTGAAATATTTCAACTTTCTATTCGCAAAATTGAAAAAAACTTTCTTTCCAGACTTGTTTATTTTTAACTCAATTGTTGGTTTCCTTTTATTCACAACGGCCCGTTATAACCGCAAACGAAAAACCACACTTCTCGGTCGACGAGTACGTCTTTCCTCTAGCACTTTTCTCTGTCTTGTGAAGGTTAAAGTTTGCGCAGGTTTTGTTATGCTTTGTGACAGCTTCGAGCAGAAGTTCATTCTTCCACCCCCCTTTTTTTTGTCCACCAATCAGCAGTGTTAAATTATATATGCAACCAATCGGACAACGAGAAATACTTCGGGCATTTCCGGTAAAATTCGATAATTGTTTATAAATAGTAAATTTAAACAATTTCAATCAATAAATAGTTAACAATACACATAGAAAAATTTTTAAATACTTTTTTAATTACTATTATAGTTTAATTAATAAGCTTTGAGAAATAATAAGACATTATACGCTTAATTGATTTCATAACGATCCGAATTGCTCGACCAATCAGCGCGCAGCTGTCATTTATTACACTTCAAAGATTAAACGCGGTAAATTTGAATCGTTATCATATTTCATTTAATAAACAACTAATACAATAAACATAGGTAATTAATCACTAATTTAAATATATTAATTTATACTTTATATTTTATATACGATGTCTATTTAATAATCTTTCTTTTTAAAATATAGTTAGAAATTTTGTACTCTAGAATGTTATTGTATGTTGCAATTATTCTTACCCAAGCTAAACAATATCTATCTAAATTGAAAAACATTAAATATATTTTAATTTACTACGTCATACAGTGATGAAAATCATTTTTACAAGCTGAAAATAAAAATGACGCGTTATTTATTCTGCAATTTGCAAAACAAAACCACGTCCGTCAAGTGGCGCCACAATAACAATGAAGCGGGAAAGTTAGGAAGCTTCCATTGTTGATGAAACGCAAGAATATCAATACTGCTTGTTCTATCTAAATAAGTTTCCTCTTTCCAGTGAAAAATAGTCGATAATTAATGGAAATTTAAGTTTTATAATCAGAAATCAAGAAACAAATATTCAGAGCATCCAGGAAAATAGTTTAATATCAGTGTCTGTTGATTTACAATGGGTGGGGCGCTCAATTTTCAATTTAAGATTGTGTATGTAAAGGACAGAAAACATTAAGAAAAGGAAAGTAAGAGAAAGAGCGAGAGAGAGAGAAAGGAAACACAAACACCGTGACACGAAACGACTATAGTGACCTCTAGATCTATGTTTCCAGTTGTTAGTTCGCGGACGTCGGCAATTTTATTTCTATCATCGCAAAAAGAAGTGTTTTTTTTTTATGTGAACACGATGTCACTGTGAAAATTCGACAATCCCTAAACTGAAGGTAAGATAAGATTTTCTTTTCTTAATAGATTTTATTTTCTACTTTGTAATTTTTAATATTCAAAAAGGTATGTTAAATTTACTTGCTCTCTATCCTCAAGTGTTTCGTGTATTTTTTGTGGTAAATGATTCTAAAAACATTTTCAACAGCTCAATAACAATTGCAGAGCATTTACACTAACAATTTTGATTAATTTATTTATTTTATAATTAATTCTTGTAAGTTTTACAATATTTCGTGCTTTTAACAAACAAGATGCAAGCCATAAAGTGCATATAATTATTTACATAGGGTCAATGGGGTTTAATGACATTTTTATTTTTTGATATCGTCATCTAATATAACCATTGATTGTCGGAAATTTTATTAGTTCTCTCCAATTATGAATGTAACAAAAGGGGATGCAAAAAATATCAGGACATCTCTTTGTTCTTTGTTTGAAATGTTCTTGTTTGGTCGTGCTTATACACGTTTGTGTGTGCGTGTATTTTGGATCGCATTTGCATAATAGATATAAATCTATTTTTCTTTTTTATCCAAGCAATTGTAATTTTCAGTAATTATAAAGATTAGCATGTGTTGTTTGCGTGCTTGGAAAAGTCGTAATCTATTTGTTTTTTTTTGTTTTTTTTTTTTTAATAAAAAAAATACAATTGTATTAATTTTTCTTGATGTTAAACATATCCGACGCCATTTTGAATGTCATGTCACGTTGATTGGCGGGAATTTTCAAATTGGTACTTCCGTTATTTATAAAAATAAAACATAACCAAAAAATTATTCTTAATTTTTCGATTTTAAAGTTATTATTATTTTTCCAAATAGAGTTGAATACAGAGAGAAATTTTTAATCTATTTTGCAAATTTGATATAACAATTGTTGATAATTTATGTAAAGTGACGTGGATATATTATTTTAATATTAAAATTTAATATTAATTTAATAATTAATATTAAATATTAGGTTCAATTGCTTTTGTTGCTTTGAATAATTTTCTAATATAAAAAATTGCTTTTGCAGGTTAGGTGAAATTTGACATATAGGATTTTTTTTCTTTTTTTTTTTTTTTGATAGTGTGTGTCATTAGCCTCTGCCAACATTTGGAGGAAGATGTTTTAACTCTCACGGTTACCATGATGATTCATTCCTTCAGCCTCTTCAGTCCCAAGTTTTCTTATTTTCCTAGAATATATTTGAGAACTTCAGTGTGGGTTATAATTCATACATTATACACATGAAGGAGCACTGTATCAACACCTGTTCTCTAAGAGTTTTGTGACGAAAGAAAAATTCCAGTCTTCACTTGAAAATCGAAAATTAAATTCAACTTTCAAGATTTTTATTATTCTTCTTTATTTTGATTAATTATTCGGTAAGTGTTTTTTTTTATATACAATATATATTTTTTTTTTGATAAATATTTTAAAAATAATTTTTATTTAAATGAAAAATTTGATATGAAAAATTAATTAAATTGTTTTTGTAAATTAGAAATTGAAGGAAATTTTTTGTAATATTGAAAAAATATTACACACTTGGATTTCGTGTCAACACTTAATCTTGCTAAAAGGAACGCATGCGTTCTATATACTCTTCTCTGTGTATTATCTTGGATACGCCCCTGGCTTTTGTAGATGCGAATCCCTTTTTTTTCTTTCTTTTTTTTTTTTTGACCCTGCATTCGATACTAACGCATTTAGTCATTACTGTGTCCTTTGCTCAGTCGTTCAGTCTTCTCTTTTAAACTCATTGATAAGTCTTTTTAGATAACTTCAGGCTTCGAAATTCTCTTTGAACTCACTACTGCTATCGATTTTCAAAGATCCCTTAGTCTCAATTGGGAGGAAATTCTATTCGCGAACTAAAAACTTTTTTTTCTCTCTCTAGTTCTAATCAGGTTTCGATTTTTTTCTTCATTGGAAAAAAATCTAGTTTTCGTTGTAGAAATTGTTTTTTTTTTTTAAAACAATAAATATTTATGATAAAAATGTATAGGGGAAATAATTTTTCTTTTATGAAGACGTTATAATTTTATTTGTGAAACAATTCTCTCTTGGAGTATAAATGAATTTTTTTTTAAAGTCATGTAATGAAAAATAAAGTAGACTGTCAGTTACTGAAAAGAGAAGAATCAGCATATAATGTATACAGCTGGCTTCCTTTTAAAGTGATCTATATGAGTTTCATGAAATTGGACGAAATTGAGTTGAAATTTTTATAAAATTTGTGACGAATACTTTTAATTATTCAATTGCTGTTAATTAAATTAAATAAATTTTTTTTTTTTTTTTTTTAAACAGAAAATAATAGTTTGTCTTATTGTAAAAATAAATAAGAAAAGATACACCTTCGATATCAGTAAGCTTCAAAATCTACCGAATAATTTTCTTCTCTTTGGATTAGCAAGGATTATCCGAAACGGGGAAAATTCTGTTAATCTGAGCAAAGTAGAAGATAAATTTACTATCTCAATCCCCCTTTAAATACAAAAAGTGCCTTTAGTTTAAATATTAAAGAATTATATTTGTTGGCTTTCATATTTTTCTCTATATATTATTTCCCCTGACAATTTAAAAAAATTTTTTTTTTTTAAATTGGAAAAACTAATAGATTTTTTTTTTTAAATCATCGGACTCTATTAAGATAAAAAAAAAAGTTTCGAAAGTTGTTTTTTCAAAGAGCGTAAGAAATTTTATGTTCGCAGCTAATATCAGGGTCGATAGAATAAAAAATATTTTTCGTCATAGTCCAATCTTATTCGATAATTTGTAAAAAAAAAAAATAAATAAATAAGAAATGGAAATTAGTCCTGTGCTATTACGTAAAGACGACAATTGTATTCCGAAACACACTTTCCTTTGGAGCTGATGATCTTCGTGAGATTTCATTGACGTAATTATTGCGTGTACTCTTCTAATAATTAATCTAAAGAAAACTTATTTAAAAAAAAAATTTACTTTTCCTTTCATTCGTTTTGGAAAGTTGAAATTGTTTATTTGAAAAAAAAAAAAATTTCAATTTTTATTTCATAGATTTCAAAAAAGTCATCTATTAGTTCTGAAAGAAAAAAAATTAATCTCTCTAAATTTTTGAAAGATAAAAAAAAATGACGAAGAAATAAAATTCATACAGTCATTCTCATTTTCAGGATGACGTAGTTCACAAGTTGATGACTCGAAAGAGAGGTTTTGTTGCATATATGTGTGTGCGCGCTTCTTGATTAGCAACAGGAGGCAACTGTTGTTCTTAGCTTCATTAAACTGTGACGTTTTAAAACTACAAAAATTAATATTGACAATATAGATTCATCATTATAAATGACAGTTCACTACTAAATTTATATACGAATTGGATAAAAAAAAAAAAAAAGAAAAGAGGATTTCCTTGACTTTTCTTTTGACAATAGGTCACACATTTGTACCATTTTATCCCTCAAGTAACTTAACACTAGTGGAAAAAAAAAATCCGATCCTCTATTCATATGATTCATAATCTTCAAGGCGAAAAGAGTGCGGCGATACCTTTTCTGACAAAAGCAAGCAAAAGTAACCTGCTCTCTTGCGTATATATATATATAAGGTTTACCAAGAAAAAGATATGCTTGGATTAACCACCATTTGTGCTGCTTTTATATTTATTATCCTCGAATTATATACCAGCAACTATAATCTTTTATTAAGTACAGGATATCTTTCCGTTGAATTTCTTATTGCAATCACCATAGGCATTTTTCTTTTTTTTTTTTATAATTGCAATCGTTACGTAAATTTGAATTTTTAGTCCAAAATCACAATCACGAAAATTTATTTTGAAAATACTTTGAATCAAGAAGCAAAAAATTTTTTTTACATTATTAAAGAATTATTTTACATTATTAATTACATTATTAATTACATTATTAATTTAAAAATTAAAAATAAAAAATTAAATTAAAATTAATTATTAATTAAATTAAATTAATTTTTATTATTTAAATTAATAAAAATAATTAATTGATTTGAAATATTATTAATAGAACATTTCAATAATTGCTATATTATAATTATATAATTTGACGACTTTCATTGAATATGAAAATTATATTTATGGTAACTAACATTAATTGCAAGTTTACCGTTAATTGAAAGTAAGATAAACTGTATGTAATTGTAATTGAAACGTTATTCATTAATTCAAAAATTATAATGAATTTAAAACTACCACTTATGGGAGTTTATAATTAATAAATGAAGCTTTTATTGTTTAAAATTGCCACTAATTGAAATTTGAATTATTTACAATTATAACATTATAATTGAATCGTTAATTATAGAATTATGTATTAATAATTGAAACTTGTTTGTTAGGTAGCAATTATGGAAATCGTCATTGTTTTCAAATTATTAATTAAATATTATTTGAAACTATTATTTTTATTCCAATAAAAAAAAAATTGTTACTGCAATTTTTTTTTTTTTTTTTGCTTCAATTAAAATATTTAATTTTTGAAAGTAGGAGAAAATTAATTTTTTAAAATTTAATTTTGATGGATTATTTATTGATTTTATTTAATGATTGTGATTCAATTGTGATAGAAATACGATTGTGAGTTAATATTCATTTTTTCATTCTAGTCTGAAATTATAGGCCTTATGTGAAATTTTTTTTACGTAGTTTTCGAAAAAAAAATTCTTTTCATTTGATTATCACACCTTTTTTCTTCTCGCAATATGCGATTATTGTTGCATGTCATGTTGATATAAAAAAAATTATTTTCGTGTGCTTTTATTATCTGCTTGTTAGATTCTCTGTCCACAAAAATATTCTCTACATTTTTTTCCATTCGTATATATATATATTCAAAAGTAATGAGACTTTTCCATAGAATATAATTTGGTTGAGTAACAAGAGAAATTATATTTTCTATTATATTTTTGCCTTTGTCAGTCGATTCTCTTTTTTATATATATATATATTTTCTCCGAAGTATAGGAATATTAATTAGGTCCACTGATATAAAAGGAAGATGTTTCAAGGTGTTCGTAAATATTAATAATTTCACTATTAATTATAACAAATTTATATAATAGAATACAATTTCCTTTTTTTTGGGGGGGGATAAATTTATTGAAATTATTTCAATTATTATTCTTTACTGTATAATTTATTATTTATGTTTTTAATTTTCAAGGCTTTTTCTAAAGTACGTAAGAAAATTATTTTTTTATTTAAATTCTAAATATTTGGAAATTTTTGAAAAAATTAGACAAAAAATGAATTTATTTTTACAAATTTTTATTTATTAAATAAAGTCGATATGAGAAAAATTATTTATTTTCTTATTTCGACTTTTTCTAATATCAATGTCTTTTGAAAATCGTAAAAAAAAAATTTCCGATATTTTTCGAACTTGAAGAATAACATATGTTGAAGTGCATTAAAAATGTCTGTCCATTGACAAAGAAACTCGAAAAATGTCTCCGTTTCTTGGATTTTTTTTTTAAGTTTCTTGATTTATTTTGTAGGCTTCAAGTGGCAGAGAGAGAAAGAAAGAGAAAGAGAGAGGGAGAGAAAAAAAAAATTTCGCTTATGTTAAACTGGATCATCCAACCACGAGGAATACTTGAAAAAATCAAAAGTCAAAGATTCCAAATGGGCAGAACATAAAAGATTAGGAGGAGTTGGAGAGATGGATTCGTATAGAGCCGGATGCTATGGTCATTCAGGGGACGAAACCTTGTGCACTTTGCGTTTTGAAACACGTTTCAAATACCAGCTTCTATATACATATATATATATATATATATTTGAAGAACTTTTGTGCGCTTGTATCCTATGAGGAATGGTTATAGTTGAGTCTGCAGGAGTTCTGAATCCCGCATGGAGGTGCGGCCTTTCTCTCTTACTTCGAAGGGGACTTCCCTAGGTTCTCTGCTCTCTCCGTAGGGTCGACGCTACCCCTCCGGTTCATTCCAACAAGCTCTCCTCATCATGTGTGCTTTGCTTGTATATGTGTGGGTTAAAACCCAATGGGCCTCAGGGAAGTAGACCTGATCCTTTCCTTTAGAATTCGGCTGACCGAATAAATAGTATTCACGACGCCATGTTCATCTTGAAAAATTCCTACATCTTCCATTTTTTTTTCAAACACACGAGATCTCAAATTTCTGTTTACTGTGTATTCCCATCTCAAATTTCTATTTTTCATTGACAAACAATGAATGGTGACATTTATTTTCCCAAAAAAAAAAATTAGAACCACGTTTTCTGAGAAAATTGTCTTATTTCGTTGGATTTATGATTTTTGTTAGAAAAAAAATTTCATTTCTCTCTAATTTATGATAAATTTTTTTTAATTTTATAAATTAAAGAGAAATATTTTTCTATTATAAT